AACTCGTCCACTGCCTACCACCCTCAAACCAATGGACAAACAGAACGCGTCAACCAGGAAATTGAAAAGTACTTGCGACTTTTCATTAATTATTGACAAGACGATTGGACCGAATGGCTTGCGCTAGCAGCTTTTCAACACAACAACCGTGTACATTCCACGACGGGGAAGACCCCATTCTTTATAAACCATGGTCGTCACCCATATATCACCCACGCGAACCGACTCTGGACAACGACACCCGCATCGTCGGAATTCGCAGCGCACATGGAAAAAATCCACAACGAAACGAAAGCAGCCTTGGAGAAGGTGGCAACAACCATGAAGAGGAGCTACGACAAATATCATCGACCGAGTCATATATATCACACAAACGACAAAGTCTGGCTAGACACGACCCACCTTCATCTACCACGACCAAAGAAAAAACTCGACGACAAACGAACTGGGCCCTTTACCATTGTAAAAGCCATCGGTCCAGCCGCATACAAACTATGGCTGCCACAAACATGGAAAATCCACGACGTATTCAATGAAACGTTATTAACCCCCTACGTCGCACCAGCATTCCCCAACCAGGAACACCCACCTCCACCGCCACCGGACTTGATCGATGACGAGGAACACTTCGAAATTGATCAGGTCCTGGACCACAAACTCTGAAAAATCAAAGCAAAGGGGGGCGGGATGACAACAACGGTTGACTACTTAGTCAGCTGGAAGGGGTACGGCCCAGAATCTAATCAGTGGGTCAACGAAAAACATATGAATGTGGACACCGCCATACACGATTATGAACTATCCCTTAATTAAGCCATCGGAACGATGGTCTTAATAAGAGGGTAATGTTACGATTTTTCTACCTTTCTATCATTTTCCTCTTTAACCCCTATTCGTGCTTAGTCACGGCACCAAAGACAAGCGTCTAGGACTGTAGAAAAAGGCTTAGTCAGCACAACTAGCCGAATCTGCCATTGTCTTTCGACGAAGAGACAACGCTCGACGACGCACAACAAACCTTTTATGTATGATAACGACGCCCTAGGACAATGGGACAAAGGACTCGACAATGCACAATAGGTAGTCGTATATATTTAGGCATCGCTCAGTAGTATTTAAGCAAGGCAGCTCTCGCTGGTAACCCCCAGCTTCGAGCTAAAGTTTATACCTACCATTCTACCTCGAGTCTACATCTGACCTTGAGTCACGACATACGGTTACACATAAGTGAACTCGGGTGATTCCTCGAAGTGCGAAGGAACATCAGTGTATCACGTGTAGCTATCCACGTGACGCTTGGGCCTAACACAAGACATAGAACATTATGTCAAAGGCTGTGAAACATGCCAGCAGGGTAAATCAATGATGCAGCCAAAGACAGCATCTCTGCATCCAAATGAAATTCCAATAGCATCATAGACCTATATCTTGGTAGATATAGTCATCAGCCTACCAGACTGCAATGACTATAATATCATCATAGTCATTGTTGATCAGTTCTCAAAGATGATCATTCTGATTGCTTGTTTGATAGAGTTAACATTGGAAGAATAGGCAAAAATCCTGCAAGATGAGATATATGCTAAACACAGGATGCCACAAGTTGTTATCTCAGACCAGAGACCACAATTCATTTCTAAGTTCCTAAATGATCTTTATAAACTTTTTCACATTCACCAAAATGCTTCAACAGCCTATCACCCACAGACTGATGGACAAACAGAGAGGGCTAATCAAGAAATTAAAAAGTATCTGCAGCTATTCATCAATTACTGCTAGGACAACTGAATCAAATGGCTGGCACTCACCACCTTTCAACATAACAATCATGTTCACTCTGCCATGGGCAAGATGCCATTCTTTATTAACTATGATCACCACTTCAATGTCTCTCAAACTGAATGTGCCCATATGTCAATATCTGCTTTCTCTGATTTCACCATCATAATATCCAAAATCCACAACAAGACATGAGCCACCCTTGAAAAGGTGGCTAATACTATGAAGAAACAATATGACAAACATTGCAGAGCTGAGCAATCTTACAATATTAATGATAAAGTATGGCTGGATACCACAAACCTTCACCTCCCTTAGCCAAAACATAAACTAGCTAACAAACATACCAGCCTCTTCATCATCACAGCTAAAATCAGCACTTCCACATATAAACTCCTTCTTCTGAACACTTGAAAGATCTATAATGTATTCAATAAAGCTCTCCTCATGCTGTTTATTACACCCACTTTCCCAAACCAAAAATGACTGCTACCCTCACTGCCCAATCTTATTGATGATGAGGAACACTATAAAATCAGCCAAATCCTTGATCACAAACTACAAAAAGTAAAAGCAAAGGGTGGCAGAACAATGACAACTGTAGACTACCTTGTTAGTTGGAAGGGCTACAGCCCTGAATCTAACTAGTGGGTAAATGAAAAACACATAGACACTAACAACACTATCCATAAATATGAATTATCCTTAAACTAAGCCATTGGGATAATGGTCTTAAGGAGGAGATAATGTTATGATTTTTACTCTTTCTTTTCTTTTATATGACTAAACCTCTATTTATACTTAGTCAGAGCATTAACCTCAGCACTTAAAGACCATGAGATCAGCTTAATCATCACAACAAGCTGAATCAGTCATTGTCTTTTAATGTGCAACAACAACTGATGATGCACAATTGAACTTTTATAGATAGTAATAATGTCTAAAGACAATAGGCATAAAGGACTCAGCAATGCACAATAAGTAGTAGTATAAATTGGTATGACACTGTACAGTATATAAGAAAGCTCACTCTTGCTGGCTAAACCTCAGCTTCAAGCTAAAGTTTATCTTCACACTATTCTACTCTCAAGCCAATCCTAAAAGGCCTTGTAGTATAACAATCAATAATCACATCAAGTGGACTCTGATGGAACACTCAAACACAAAGTGACATCAGTTTATCACATGTCTATAATCACATGCAGCTTAGGTCTAACAAAGACAATAAGTCAACAGATGCACTGGCATTTGACACTGGCAATCTAAGGACTCTGACAAACTAGATTCTGAAGATCCAACCACCAAGAAAGCACACACTCTCTGTCAGCATAAAAAAAGTGTCAGATGATGAGAATAACATATCTTACCAACTGGCTAAGAACTGAAGGAAACAAGAATGATGTGGAGTCTCTCAAAGGCCTGAACAGATTGTAGAGTATCCAAAGAAAGAGCATCCTGTTATAAAAGGCATTAAGCCAATCAAGTGAAAGAAGTCTGATACAGCCATCTGAGTATTACATGTGATAGAGGAGTCAGAAGACTTTATCACACTAGCCACCTTGCAGAGATAGATCCATCTGAAGCAGATAATTGAGGTTAACCAAGGGCTAATTGATGCACTCTAAGATATAAAGCACTATAGATGCTAGAAGAGATTCACCAGCCTAAGGAGTACATTTGAGGAGTGAAAGAAGACAACAAGACTATTATTCAGATCCAACTAAAGATGCTAGACACACACCAAATGGTCAGCATGAAAATGCTATTAGACAGTGGCTGCATAGGCAGTTCTATCAATGAGAACTTCATCAGACAGAACAGGTTTAACATGTGAAAGATCACCAGACCCATCCCAGTGTACAATGCTGATAGAATGCTCAATGCCAAAGGCTCTATCTCAGAATACTGTGGGCTCCAAATGACTACAGATGAAGAGCATGCTGAATGCATCAGCTTTGCAGTCATCTGACTCCACAATCAGAAAGTATTCTTATAGCATGACTGACTCAAGAAGCACAACCCATAGATGGACTGGAAAAGCAGAAATATTGTATTTGATAGCTGTATGTGTGTTAAGTGATAATAGTCACATTCAGACCAGGATCATCCTGAAGAGTTGATCTGAGAGGAAGTAAATGAAGGAGAACACCTCCTGATGGTAGACCTCTAACTCACTGGAAATTTGAGCAATGATAACTATATCCAATGAGTTAGTAGCTAAGAACTACATGGAAGAACCAAAGAAATCATTCAAAAGTGGTCTCTGGTCATTATAGAGACTATGTAACAAGCATGTCAAAGACCTCCAATTCCAACTTAACTTCTATTGCTCAATTCCACATTTGATCAGACTCTGTCAGACTCCATTTCTCAGTTTTTATTTTATATTTTATTTTATATTTCACCTACTAATTTCATCTCTTTAATTTATCACATCTAGATTCTGTCATAGTAGTGAATAGATGTATATTAGAGTCCTTGGAATCCCAACTCCTCTAGCTATAATATTTTAGATATAGGTTCTATCTCTAGAACTTGATTTCTCAGACTTCACACTAGTATATAAGCTGTAAAATTACTTGTATATGCCTCAGTTTGAATATCAATTTAGATTAGCCAACTCCCTCTCTCTTCTGTTTGACTTGAGAGCCATACTACATATAGATACAGATTTAAAATACATACTACAGCACTTATTAATCTCACTAAGAAAAATGAAAAATGTAGGATATATAAATATGCCCAACAAGAAACTCATTTAAGTGATGATAGCTGGTTTTTGCAGCAGGAAACAAGTCACCCCAATAAAATGGGTAAAGATTCACAATGGTCACTCAGAGAACACTATGGTAGATATATTAGCAAACAAAGGAGCCAACAAAGAAATAGAAGATACCATTAACCTAGAAATAGATTCCACACCATATTTCAGGTACTGCCTTATGCAAACTGACACAAAGCTATATCTACAAGATCCTCCATGAATGCAGGAACCAAAACCTTCTCCAGCACATGAAAATGGTGGCAAATGTGAAGCAATACAGGGGACATATGAGTCTTGGTTTCAGGCCAATGGAATCAGGCCTATGGAAATCAATCAGGCACAAGGATATAGACCATAACATGATCTCCTCTGAATAGTGATGCACAATGCATATAGAATAGGAGAAAAATAGCTAAATATTGCTCCTCAATATCACAACCAAGCATATTATGATCACTGCAATGGCAGCCTGGAACATATGGAACATATCATAGCTGAATGCTCCTCTCCAGGACAGAAAGAGGTATGGAAACTCATCAAAATGTTCTTGGAGCACCACAGTATTCTCTGGCACCCCCCAACAATGTTCAACATTCTTGCATGTGTGACTCCAGTTTTCAAATTACCAGGTGGAAACAGAGACATTGGTAAAGAATGTTTCTATCAAATCATCATCTCCTTATCCATACAAACTATCTGGAATGCCCAGTGTGAGAGTATTATATGGTGAGAGAACTCATCTTTCTTGCCAGAGGAAATCCATAACAGATGGCTGAAGAGGATAAACAAGAGGCTTGACCTAGACTGTCTGATGACATGCAAACATTTTAGCAGGAAAGCACTTGGAAAAGACCTAGTATTAAGGATATGAGCAGGCTCTATCTTTGATGAGCAACAATTTCTGAAAGATTGGACAGAGGTTGATGGGATTTTAGTGAGTATAGGATAGTGACAAAGGCTGGGTAGTGTGAGGTAAGTATAGGGGACTGTGCAGAGAGACAATGAGAATCCTGGCTGAGCTTCAAGTCTCAAGTCCCACACTCAGTGCATAAGCACATTTCCTCATGATGATGTTTCATCAATTCTCTTAAATGGTATACTAACTATATCTGCTTGGTTTCAAACCCTGGCGACAATACTGGCTGCATGTTGGAAGCAACTATGTTGCTGGACCACCTCTGTAATGGCCTCCACCAAAAAAAGAATTTGTTGCCCTCTGTTTGTGATAGCAACATTACCATTGCAGGCTCATCTGTGCCTTTTGATCCCACTAGCTCTCAGTTCAAGGAGGAAGAAGAATGCACAGAAGAGTATCAAGCTGTCGGTATATGACCACCCTCAAGAGGAAGGATTTTGTGCTTCAGATGTTATGGTCTTCAGTAGCAAGTACAAGGCAAAATGATGTGAGTTGCATAATTCATTTTGAATTTCACTCTTCTCATCTCTTTGCTTTCCAAGGTGTCATATTTCCTGCCGAGATGGTTGACATGTCATTGAACAAATCCATCGATGGGAGCTTGTTTCAGAAGATGTTCGATGAGGGAGACTTCATCGCTGCTAGACATCCAAGTTTCCAGCCAGAAGCCCATGAAGAGCTCCAAGGACAATGATTATGTACGCCCTATCTCATCTATTTCTGCTGCTCGCAATTGAAAATTCATAGATATTCTATGTCATTGAAGGTGTTGTTAATGTCAGAATACACCAGACATACTATACCGTGAGCACTGGCAGGATGTTCATGGTGCCTCGAGGTAAGCCACCTCTCTTCATTGTCTAGTGTTTACCCAGGTGTGCGAGTCGGCCGTAGCATCCGATGGCGAGGATCCAATGAGGCTGGACCGTTGATCTTGCCTCCCACGCGAATTGACGACAGCCAAGGCTTTCATACTGTTAGGGTGGCTCTTTGAGCGCTTCTTGAAACATTTCGCAGTCTATCGAAAGCTGTTGTTGATTTGGTCGATGCAGGCACGCTTCATGTTCCACCAACATATGCATGGTGGAAGAGTTTATGCACTCTTCATCCTCGGGGTTTTGCTGCAGAGTATGCCTTTTCCCGGGAAGTCGGAAGTCAAGTTTGACTCCACCACGCGTCAACATCCAATTCATACGTGACGCCCCACATTCATAGTAGCAGGGAATTGTGCCGTATATGTGACCGCTATTTGGCTCCTAGACTGACTGTATTTCTTACTCTACGTGTATTTACCAGCATTCCTGATCACAACAGTTCGTCATTAGCAAGTTATAATGTGAAAAGTCATGAGCGGTAATCAAAAATGTGTTAGATTCTAATACCCTCGTCGTAGCAGGGCACGAAGCCGTCAGTTCTCTTCCCTCAAATCCTTCAAGTTGTCCATGTACTGTTCCATTACGTCTTCAGGTTCTTTACGCCAGCCACGCCTCATCCTCACTATCTCCAGATGCAGCCCAGTAATCTGCACTTTTGTTTCTTTCTTCTCGGATATGACATGCGGTGCGTGAAGAACAAAGGCGTGGCCGAGAATGTGTGTGGGAGCTTCAGTAAGTCGAAAGTTGTGGCACTATCAAAGACGCGAATTGATGACATACCTCGAGATTGGGAACGTTTCCGCGGACAGACAAAAGATGTCCCATTAACCATGGAAGACCGTTGAAATTGGCGGATCTCTATAGCTTCGATTGTGATACTATGTCGTCCAAAGGTTCTGTGCTGGTTGACATGCTGATGAAATGAATCTATGATAGAAAAGTCGAGTTCGCAGATCACAAAAAACAATAATGTGGTCATCAGCACAGAAATAGGGTCATCATTCGGTACTTTGGTCAACATTTTGGCCCAGATACTCGGGCAGAGTGATACTGAGACACGTCGCCACCTACGGCGCACCCGGGAAGAACCCAGGGACCATGGTTCATATCGAAGACATCGTAAAATTCGTGTCCATTCTTGAAAGCGTAGAAAGTCTCCATGAGAAGGCCGGGAGGAACGCGGCAAATGGGAGCCAAGGCTGTTTTGTATTCGTTATCGATTTCTTCGAGCTGGCGGCTTTGGTTTTCTGGGATCTTCACAATGTCATTGACACGTCGAATTTCAGCGAGTGTCAGAGCCACTGTGACGTGACGAGAGCATCGACTTCAGTACCATGACATTGCAATTTCTTCCACCTAGACAATTGTTCCACGAAAGTCAGTACAAATGAGCATGGAACAGAAACAGAAACACCAGAATGTTCTTTAGGTGTTGATACAGTTTGAACATGGCAAAGGCACAGTGACATAACAGTCTGCAGTAATAGATCGATCGCTAGTTCGTAATTCCGGACACGTGAGCGTAAAATTGAAATTCAACCCAGCCCCTATATTGTTCGAAGTACTAGTTGCATTCTCATCTGTTAATGATTCTGTCTAATTGCAAGGTGTGGCTCGGTGGCCAACTTGAGCTAGGGGTCTCCAGTTCGAATCTCGCTATGGGCATTGTACTAGACTTATTAATCTAAAACTATAAAAAGCTGTCAATCCAGCGGTTATAGACCCTATAAGCATATTAAAAAATCCCTTTTTTTGCCGCGTCCAAGTCCCCTTGGCCTCTGGTTGGGTACCGGTAGAAGTACTAGGATTGCGCACAGTGGGTACTATAGTGGAGCCCTTCTCACTAACGCTGATTTAGGATGTACTCAAGTACAAAAGCTTGACTCGCGACTAATGCATCGATGACTCTTGAGGCCCCTTCAAGTGGGGGTGTCTTCTCAGACTGACGTCCCTCAAAGAAACCCTGTGTTACTTCCGTTCATGATCCTGAAAAGTGTCTCCATATCGATAGGAATACATTTCATTCCAAACGATGTGTTAAGTAAAATCCTAAATAAAATAATGATTTTAGTCTAATGAGCTCAACCGTCCTATGTGGGGGCAGCTTCATGCGAAAACACATCTACATAGCGGTTACGAATAGGTCGCTTCGAGCCTTGCGACTTGGGTCGTCCTGGCATAGGTGACGGCGGCGGCCCAGGCTCAGGCCGAGTACTGGGAGGAGTAGGAGGTCCGGGTTCGAGTTCGGGAGTAGGTACTAAGTTCGAACGAACGCGTGGAAGCGCTCGTCGATTTGGTGGTGCGGTCGAAGAATCGACGGCAGACGCCGGCCGAACGGGCGTTCGCCCATTCATCGAATCGGTCAAAGGTCCAGACGTAGACATGCCTGCGTACATGCCTGGTGATGTCGTCGCCGGCCTTGATGGCGGAGGTGGTGGTGGGGCGGGTTTAGCAGCTACATCAGCACCAGCCTACGCATAACAGTGTGAGAAAAACTCTGTGAAAAAGAGAGACCACTAACCTTTTTGTTGACCCATCGTTTCAGCTCTTTGTCGTAATAAAACGACGTTTCTTCTCCTAGACTGGCTTTGACAGGTCCAGAAGTTTCGCCTCGTTTCCACCATCGACCAAACCAAGATCCACTGCTGCTACTGCTCGAATTTGCAACTGGCTTAGGGTCTGTAATAAAATTAGTGCTACAGCATGAGTGAGCCATAAAGACACATGCCAGATTGTTGAGGAGCAGCACTCTTTTGTCTTTTTTTCTCCTCAGATTCGGTGTTTTTGTCGTCGAAAGGCTTGTTGTCCTTGGGCTTAGAGTTTCCAAACCCTAGATCTTCCTCTTCATCCTCCTCTTCGGAAAATTTATGAGGCGGACGCGAAGCTGGTGCTGGCGGGGACGAAAGTGAAAACGTGGTGTTGTCCATGAGGGATACAAAGCCGTCCGTCGACGTCACAACAGCATCGTTCAATTTCACGAAGTTCGTCGCCGTTGGTGTCCGTGAAGACAGACCATCTCCCCACCAAGTAACCTCTTGTGCACTCGGATCGTCATCAGCCTCATCAAACGATGGCTTAGGTGTCGCAACATCGACTTCGTTCATAGTATCAAGAGGCTTATAATCCGAGAGCGCTTGCCCGAAAGAGTGAGATGGCGCAAACATCGTTGTTGTTGCGGAAGCAGACGATATGCGCGGCATAGGAGGTGATTGCTTTCGGCGAATTGTGTCCATGGCTGAAGCGGCCCGTTCTGGTGGCCGATATCCATGAGTCGACATCGCAGATCCAGTGCGGCCTGGAGTAATAGGAAGATTGACCACGGAAGAATGGGGGGACGGATCCGCAGACGGAGCCGCAGACGAGATGGAGCTGTATTGTGAGAATGGTCCCGTATGCCCGCTACGGTCATCAATTTTTGACGCGTCTTCTTCGGTAGCTGTTGTGGCCTCGGCATCACCAGTAACAAGTTTAGTGAAGCGCCCTTCTAGCCATCCGCCTATGGTATCCAGGCTTGGTTTACTCAGTTTCCCGCTCATCCACGAGCCACCTTTATCCGCGTGCGACACACCGACGATGCGATCAGATAAACCCTTCAGCTGCTCTGTAAGCGTTTCGTTGAAGTACGGTGAAGACCGTGATACGCTAGCCAAAATTGCTTCGCAATACCTCATTAAAAGAAGATCAGCAAACTGGCAGCACCAAAAAAAGGGGACTCTACCTGTTAGCAAGTTGCACATAGCCAAATTCAGCCAGAGAGGCAGCTCTGATAAAACGGTACGCTTGAAGGTGAGGCAAACCACCAAAAGGTTCTTGGCCTTTGGTCGGCGTTGCCAAAGATAGCGCAAACTCGACAATCTCGGAAAATATTATGGGGTCAGAATCTTTGTGGAAATTCGGCCACGCCTGGGGACTACGTGAACCTGCAAGTATGAGTCGTGCCGTAGGGTGTCCAATGCCGCCTATCGGCGGAAGAACGGTGCTACCAGCAGGCAGGGTTTGTGAAGAAAGTAGGTAACTGAAATGCCACGTCAAAATAGCGACGACCATCAAAGCCTTCGACATACCAGACGTGCGCAGCTTCAACCCATTGGTTAGCCAATAAGTGATCACCGAAGGCCAACAGTCCCGATGATGTGTCACTATTTATTGACGGTGACAGCATCATGCTGACCGTCTCAGCCCACTTTGAGAGACAATCGGTGGGAATACTACCGGCGGCCACCTGTGGAACTGTAAAGTTGGGTGTCATGGGCGTCATTTGAGGCAGCACCGGCACAGGTAATGACACATGTCCCGTCGCTCTTGAGAGCAAGTTTTGGGGTATCATCTCCTGAACTGTTAAACCATTAGGATTAATGGCGCTACACCAATCCAATCAACTTACCAGATGAAGCACCTTGCCCAGAGTACAACCTATATGCAGCTCGCAAACCTTCCCGACCATTGACAGACGGTGGAAGAGCCTCATTGCCACGGACTTGTAAACTATTCCGAGACGGGTCTTCTTTCACACCTAGTTCGGTCCTGAGGAACTCATTGACAACTTCTTCCCATGCATCCTTGTCTATCCCACTGGCAATAACCATAGCATGAGCCCATAACTTCTCATCCAAGGCATAATGATATGCCTTTTTCCGTTCTCCGCGAAGAAGGAAGTCTTGCATCTTATCCAACGCTGAGGAGCGAAGAACGGATGTGGAGACGGTATCCTCGTTGCGGCCCACTGACGTTACAGATAGACCAGTGTATGAAGAGATGGCTGTGGACTCCAAGGCTGGCGTGAACCCTGAGGCGACCGTCGAGGGAGTCGTGGATTCGCTGATAGTCAGATCTTGTCGAGGTATCAACGCGGAACGTACAGCGGCGTCAATTTGCGGGCTACCAAGTTCGTGAGTACCAATTGGAGACTCACTATTGTGGACCACTTACGAGCCTGAAATCCGACCGTCGTTTTCAACCATAACCTTCAATAATCTCACGAGTACAAGCTTTCCATCTGCTCGACGTCTTTCAGGGCTATTCGCATGAAGATACCCAATGCCCTGTTTCATTTCCTCGGCTCGATGCGTAAGATACTTGATGACTTTGGCTTTTCGAGTCTTCGCTTGGCTTGAGGCGCCTGTCCGAACTAATCCTGATGTAGAACTACCAGGATCCGAGAACAGAGGACCTGGAAAGGATACAGATGTGTCCAAAGCTGATTCAGGAATGATTTTATGGAGAAGTCGAACTTCAACAGCGGTGGAATTGCGAGAAGAAAGAGCTACATCGAACCCAGTGTTAAGCATCGCTGCTCCATGGAAGCAAGTGACTACGTTGCCACCGAAACCAAAACTGAATACCGGTATTCGAGCTGACGAACGACCTAGCGGGTCATTCGTTCCCATCAAAGAAGGTGAAGGTGCGTATGGCGTATGTGTTGGGGGTTTCATCTCTGGCGCGCCTAAGGTTTGAGGCATTTCATTATTATCATAACGATAAATAGCTGAACCATAATCCGTTTCGCTCGTTTGCGCACGAGTATGACGTACGGGGGCATACGGATCTTCGGCCTCAGTCGATGACGATGATAGAGCAGACCCATTGGACATTGAGCGACTCCTCAACGGCTCCCCGCGGGGGAAAGAAGGCGGTGGTGGTGTTTGCTTAGCTGGCGCGAGATAGATTTGGCTCGGAGGAGGAGGCTTGAAAGCATGACTCGAGGAGTACGTACTACCATAACCAGTAGAGGAACGCTTTTTAGGAACGTACATGTCGGCAGGAGGCGGGGTCCGAGTGGACAGAAGATTGACAATAGGTGATGATGCTCTTGAGATGGTGGCAGAAGACTTCGGACGATGGAGATCAGCAGGAGGCGGTTTCTCCCCCGATGCGTTGTTAACGGCAGGAGAGGATGTTTGAGGTAAACCAGCAGATGGCTGGGGTAGGTAGGGGTTGATAGATGGGGCCCCTCCTGCTACAATGGGGGAATCGAGGATAGCAGGAGACGGAGATGAAGACGAGTCCGTGCTACCGGAAAAGAGAGGACGATATGGATCGGCGACGGTAGACTCCGCTGCAACAGGAGGATATTTTACGCTGTCCAGTGGAGAAGATGTCCTACTCGTCGTATTGAGAGGCTGACCTTGCCAATGAGGAACATGAAACCCGTTCGTTTCAGCACGGCGACCGATATCTGCTGACAATGATTGCGTAGAGGGAATGGTAAAAGACCTTAACCCGTTTGCATGATTTGCATCGCGAACTCCTGAGTACTGTGAAGAGGAAGGCGGAGACGAGAAGGAAGTTGAGACAGGTGAAACGGGAGCGTCTAATTTATGCGTCAATTCGAATGGTGACGAGGAGTTCCAACCCAGGCCCTCTGTCTGACTTATCATACCATTTGCGCCAGCGTACGCTTCGGGATCGACGTCTTCTTCTTGAAGGCCTTCGTTAAAGTTAAGAGGATTGCTATAAGGAGAAGTCGACCAATTTTTGCGGGGCGGGCTATCATAGGATGCAGGCGCGTATTGGTGACTATCACTTGTCCCCGGAAGCGTGTCTAGTTGAAAGGGCTTAGAGTGCCCATGAACAGAATTTGGGAGGCCCAGAATGTTTGGAGGCGGGCCGGTGTCCGGAGTGTGAGAAGAACGAGGAGGAAGGTCAGAGCATGCCGGTGTACTGTAAGCGCTATGAGGTGTGGTCCGGCGTGGCGGCAGCGGCAGAGCAGGGGGAGGAGATGACGAGGTAAACGTGTTATGGGTTTGTATGCTGGCCCCGCGTGACATAGTTCGCCGTGCTTTCGTCATCGGAAACGGTGGGTCATACGCGTTGGAAACCTTTGGCCTCTCAATTGGCTTTGTGGGTGAGGTAGGTCGTGCAGGTAGATTGGTAGGTGGGAAGGAAGAAAAAGCAGGTGTCGCTGATGAATATGCGGTCGGATTGTACTGAGCAGCAGCAGTTGGTGTATGCGACGAATATGAAGCCCTGAATGAGGATACAGGGGGGTCAAATGCTGAGGTGGTCGATGGAGAGGCTGGAGAATCGTAAATATGCAAAGGGCCCGGTGGAGATGCTGCATAATGTGGATAACTAGACTGCGTCGTTGCAACCATAGACTTCACTGGCGGCGAGTAGGCATCATGCGAGACGCCGTACAAAGGTTCCCGTCGTTCTACCGCGGCACTGTAATCATGAACTACTCGACGGCGTGAATGACCAAATAAGAGTACGATGCAAAGAAATCAATACCTGGCTGCTGTCCTTGCTTCTCTCCTGGCCCATCGAACTGACCATGAGCCTGTTCACGTCCGGCACCACCAAACGTCGAACCACGTGAATAAAGGGACTGCGATGGGTTGTACTGCTGATTCTGTGCCGTATCGGGCCATGCACTCTGGTGTTCCGTCTTGTTTGACGCATTTCCTACTTCCCCAGGCGCATCGAAAACGGTATCTAGGCGTTCTGAAGACGTATACGTGTCATTGACACCAAACAGGTGCTCTGCCGATTGTGTGACTTTCGTTTCGGTCAACTCTGTTCCCAGTGTTGCAAACGGGTCTAGGGAATCGTCCGAGCCAAAAAGCGACGCTGCTGCTTCAGCACCTTCCATTGTGCAGCAAAATGGAGGAAATTGGGGGCTACCTAGGCGGTATAGGCGGTCGACACGGAAGCCGACTGGGAGTCTTTGGAGGGTCGTAACCACGTACTATTTGGCCCGCTTTGGTTGGACCCACGACGTGTCACCTCGTCTTTTGGGTTTCAATTCCAAGCGTTCAAAAAGAAACTATCCAACGACTCAAGTACTCAAAATTGACAATTATAACTGTGTACGTGACTAAATGGCCCAGTTAAAATACGACAACTAACAAGAAAACCAAACTATCGACAATATAAGAATAGAAATATCCAACAGAATGTGCAAAGGATAGGATGCGTGACATGGAAATAGACGGTGCAGACAGATACAAAGCAGAAAGCAGAGTTGACAATCACAGAATTAAATGAGCGTGTCCATAGAAAGAAGATTATAGAGTTGAGGGAGTGCGGGCCGAAAGAATGACTTCAGGACGGATAATGGTAGGCTCTCCAGACTGAGTAGGAGTTTTATCAAGTAATTTCTCGACTGTCAGGATAGAGTTAGAGCGAAAAAAACAGGAGAACCTAAACGTACTGGAACTAAGATGTTTATTATACGCGCTAGAATATTTTCGCATGTTCATCAACTGTGGACGAACCATGCCTATTAATGCCTCTCTTTGCTCCCCTTCAGCAACCTGCAGCGCACGTTGAAGGACGTAATCTAGGCCCGGTAAGCCGTGAGTGGCATGTCTTCACGCAGTCACCGTAAATGCGACTTACTGGCAAATTGATCCTTCATCATCGTCATGACCGGATTCGTGCCATCCTGCTTCGGCATCATCAGTTCCTCTATGAGGACATGTCGGCTTTCGGCATCTGCGCAGATAAGGGCTTTCTCGCAGACATTTGACGCAAACTTGTGCCGAGCCATCTGCAACATCTGGCCTCGTAGTTTAGCTATCACCTGAGTCCTATCGTGCGGTTGTCCGTGATCCAATACAAATTGGATAACATAGTTCTGTCCCGCGAGGCCGGTTAGTCTGCGATGATGGACACAAAATGACAACGTACTCCGAACTGATCCTGCATCAAATTGTTGGTGTAGTCGTGTAGTTCCTCCAGCAATGGGCGTGCAAATTCTTCAGGCAAGTGTTCAAGGCAGCGTTGAAGTACACGACAGCCGTAAGCATGTGTGGATAACTCATGAACACTTCCCCTAAACGAACTCACGAAGCCCAGTTTGTCCGGGGACACACGTTCGATCAGCTTTTGAATTACCTACAAGGATGATCAGCACAAGAATTTCAAAGTGCGGATTAAACGTACATGGTTCCCATTTGCGTCCCTGACACATTTTAAAACATGGCCGTCAAGTTCTCTGACGAAGGTCGCCTGTTGATCAGGTGGTATATATTCTATAGCCTAGAACAAGTCAGGGCGAGACACGACGGAAATCAAGGAGGTATACCTTTTGAACCACTCTACAACCATACATTTGTAACGAAAGATGAAGAATATGGCCCTCCATAGTATTGGCGAGCAGCGTCTTTTGCATTTGCGTTCCATGTTCGAATAGTTTTTGAATAACCTGGAAACATCCCCCGTCAGTCAGGAAGGGGGCCAACCAAAACAAACCGTCTGCTCACATAATTACCGAAGACGTCTTGTACTAGTTGTAAAATATTGGCTGGTACGATCTCTTCGAAAACGAGTTGCTTCTCTTCGCTAGTGGCAGTCTCTAATTTCTGTTGTATGAAACGCGACCCATGCTGGTCGCCACTGAACTCAACAATATATCCATAGATATCCTGTGATCGTCAGTTAAGAAAACGCATGTTTCTATGGAAGAAGCCTTACCCGCAGCTCCCACTTACGGGTTTTGTTTGACCGGAACTCATCCAATACCGGACTACGCAACGACATGACCGGATGACCGCCGTCACGCCGGCCAAAGCGCATTCCATGGGGATACATGGCCTGAGCAGTAGGACCGTAGATTGTACTCCCGCCCACCATTGGAGGCACTTGTGCACTATAGTCGATACCAGAACCGTATGGTTGAGCATGAGGGGAAGGACTTGTCCGAACAGGAGCGTACATAATGGTCTGCGACGCTAAATGCTGTTGAATAGTGTACTGTGAATAGAAGTCAGTCGCCAGTCCCAACATGACAAAACAAAATACAGACAGATAGTTCACGTTTCTTCTCATTCGACGTTTCCGGATTATTATTGGGAACTTGCGGGGGTATCATAGGAGAATGGGCGGGAGGGTACATCATAGCTTGGGGAGCCGGATAATAGAAATGGGACCCGGGCGGGCGGTTCACAGAGTAGTCATAGAACATCGCGGATTGCTGGCGAATATCAGCCATGCCATTGAAGGCCTGGTGCCCAGGAAAAATCGTGGGAGCAGTGTTCGCCAAATGTGGGGAAGCATACAGCGACGGATCTGATGGAGCAGCTCCGTATGCATAAGGATATTCGACAAACGAGTCTCTACCGGCCGCATTAGGATAGAAGCCGCTGTAGTCAGGCTGAGGGAACGAGGGATAAGGTCCACGGCCTTGAGGCATAGCTATTGGGCCTCTCAGCTGGCTAGGAGCAGGTTGGGAGGGGCCACCGAGCTGTCGAGTCTGCACAGTGAAGTCATCTTCGACAGCCATACTACGAAGAGTTAATGAAAGATCATCTACGCTTGAAGCCTTCTGCATAGAATCAAACCCTGCGGGGGCACTTGGTTGGGCAGAATAGTTGCTTGCAACGAAGGCTTTCGTCGGCGATGTCGCAGAAGCATATCGAGAAGAATTCGAATCTTTGCCCAAAGTACCGTCGTACCGCTGAGGAGAAATTTGACCTTTCTTCGAACCAGAAGATCGGTCGTCCTGACAGCGATGAAAGTAAGTGAGCAAAAAAAAAAAGGATAAAGGAAGGGAGAAAGGCTATTTGCTACGACATACAATTCTTGGACCCGAAAATGGTGCCGATTGTGACTGCCTTTGCTTGGGATGATGTAGATTCAACGGCGGCTCCTGCTACAGACGGGTCATGTATAAACAAAGTCCGAAGGTTACACATGACTAACCAGTTGAGCGAATTCCTTTTTCTGAGGACTCCCGCCGTTAGCATCATCCCAAGCTCCGCTAGTTGACCGCGATGCTGGCCACCCTTCCCCAAAGTTACCGCGAAAATTATGATCTCCCTGCGACACTGAGAGATCATTCCCACTAGCGGCTGACGAAATCGAGGGATTTCTTCGTGATGGGGTAGTTCCTGAATCCCAAACCTAAAACCCAAAATCAACCATTCTAAAACGGAGAAAGTGAATTTCCAAGGACTCACCTGCCATCCTGAATTATTGACAAGTCCCTTGAACGCATTGGCGCCAGCCATGCCAACGCTTAACATGTTACCACTCGTAGTCGGTGTAATCTTCCTTGGCGGGGCCAGCTAGTATGAAGAATGAGTGCCACAAGAGTACAGTGAAGCCTCGTAACAAACGTTTGTCGAGGGATTCGTAGGGGAGTGAGCTCCGGAATGTGTTGACGACCCAGACGGTTTGCGCTTAGACTCCCCATACATTGACGAAAATAGGTGCTATATAATAAGTCTACGCCATTGAGAGGTGAACAGAAGTCCAGCTGGCATGGCACTCACTTGGTGTAGCCAGAAGGCTAAATTACGATGCTGGGAATGGATGAGGGACTATGGTAGTCAACAAGGAAGATACGATGATTGTTTGCTGGAAAACACGACGTAAACCTAGGCGAAACACACGGTGGCCAAAAGAGGGCGAATATGAGAACGTGATAGGGCACAGGGGGGTTGCTAGAGCGAAATGGAGGCCAGAGACGCGACTTACGAGGCGAGAGGAAAGGCAGACAGCTAGGACCGGAAGGAAGCAGATAGGAGAGAAAGGAAAGAGCGGCACGTCGAGGAAGGACGCGAAACTGAGCCAAAACTTTGGCAAAGGCAAAAATGAACCGTTTCTCCTAGAAAATATTTAAAAAAAGTAACACCGGAGGCAATATAGAGGAATAAAATAAAATCTTGGCTCGCGTTTCAACGGAATCAAATGAGGAAATCTCGCGTGGCACGGGGAACTTATCTCGTCCTTCTTTTCCAATTCGAAGCTAGGCGCGTCAGTGACGTAATAATTGCAATGCTTCCGGACAATCCTTCCCGTCAATCTTTCAGCCGTTGCTCCTTGACTTGACTCCGGCAGCAACGCAAGAAAAAGTCAGAAAAATCCGCATAAAAATCATATTTTTTTCTTCGGTACAGGGTCGTGCTTCCCACCTCGCCGACGGATCCGACCCATTTTGGTCCGATCTTATCACCATTATATTCTGTCAAATCACAGGCCAAAATAAGTACCACTTGTGATGCTCAAGGTGTGCCCAAATATTACGGAGGCCCCAACCGGTTCGATGTCACGTCTGATGGGAGCCTATGGAACAAGGTGGTCCCGAAAGTGCGCGACGATTGCCGCAGTGGCTTGTGCATCTCAGATGCACAGGCGATCACGCCACGTATACAGTAAAAATTCATGCATGGAAAATGCTGCATTAGAGAAAGATAATAGATGCTATGCGAGAGATAAAAACAGGAAGAAGGGTAAGATCCACCACGGCAACAGTTTGTGTACTTCACCGAGAGTTGAAGAACCACGACGCCCGCTTAGCTACAAAGACATGATGAATCCTGATTCTATGACACTGGCAAATGCACATACCTCCGGAACTGTCAAAGTGAACGGCGAATGCCAACGACGGTTAGTATTGTTCGGACCAAGATACAGATGGCACATTACCCTGTTTCTTCGTTCTGAAGTCTGGCCAATGGGTTAGCATTGGTGCTACTACCTCCACTGATGGGCCCAGGCACTGATGTCGAAGACACAGTCCCGCCCCCACCTCTTAGAGGCTTGGCGATACGACCAAAATTCAATGAAGACGTTGTCGCCGCCTTTTGTGCTAAACAAAAAATCGAGATGAGACAAGAAGTGAGAATGCAATTACCGCCTACCGCGAGCCTGATCGAGTCGTTCCTTAACAGCCTGAAGTTGAGCCTCGAATTTCTGATTCTGCACGGATAATCTTCGGTCAGCATCTTGAAGGAGGGCCTCCAAGTTCTGTATCCGTTCGTTTCGCGCAAGCAGCTTGCGTTCCGCAATTCCAGCCTCCTTCTTTAGGGAGGAGTTCTGATCAACAAGCTAACCTTATATCAGTCACACGATATGTCGACGCCACTTGTATCAACGCACCTGTTTCTGCACCAAGGTCAGTTGCTCCAAATTCCGTTCTAGGAATGCCATCTTCTTCTGCTGGGCTTTGCTGTTACTGTTTCGAATCACGTTGTTGTATTGCTCCTTGATCTCGTCCAACTGGATTTCCAACTCAACAACCTGAAGGGTACGTACTATTACAAATACAAATCGGGCATGTCTGAAATAGGTGCTCACCTTCTCACACCGATTTTGCAAATCTCGCATGAGAGACTTCTTGACGCCGTCGAATTCCGCTAATTGAACGTTGATAGCCTTTCGCGTGCGCTCGAGATCTTGGGCACTCTCGGCAAGGTTCTTACCACCTTCAATACCGGCGGATGTTACGGCAAAGGCGCGCTGGGTATAGCCGCTCTGGTCAATAAGGTAAGTAAGTTAACAGATGAAAAGGCTGACCTTAAGTTCCTCGTTGACACTCTTCAAACTCTCAATGGAGGCATTCAAACTTCGGACCTCATTCGCTCTCATGTCAAGCTGTTGCTTAAGATCTACGACTTCGCTGAGATGGGCATCGCGTTTCGCCGCGTATTGTGCCTCGAGTTTGTTCTGGGGTGCAAAACAGTATCAGTTGATGTGGTGAAAGGCAAAGGCATATATATATACCTTAAGATCGACCATAGACTCTGCAACATCAACGTTACTGGTTTCTTCGTCATGGATGGTCTTCTCTATTAAACATATGCATGTCAGGAACAAAATTTCCAAAGCAGAAATTTTTAAAAACTTACCAAGAAGCTCTTCGTACTCAGTTTCCAGTGAGGCAACACGACTTTCTAGTTCATCTCTCCTGCGTATCATCATTTCGTTCTCCTCCTGACTCTGTCTAAGCCTGTCAACGGTCTCTCTAACGAGGCTTTGCCCGTCGGCTAATTGCCTTCTAATGGCCGTGAGATCATCCGTCGTTAGTGAGGAAACAGAGTCGGCTGCATCCAACTTCGCGAGAATCTGCCGCAATTGATCATCTTTCTCGGAAAAGGCACCTTGCTGTAGTTATTATTAGGGTAAGCGGTAGTATGAGTAAGCAAGGACAGGTCACGTACCGTGTCGAATTTGGCCATCATGAGCGCCATCTTTTCCTGTTTGCGTTTCTCTTTATCTTCAGCGGATGATTCTTTCGGAGCAGACTTAAGTTCCGCAATCAGTTTCTTCAGTTCCTCCAGTTCATTCTTGCTATCTGCATTCTGCTCTTTGAGGATGTCTATGGTGATGACACCCTCTTTGTTGTCGTAGTCCAACCGTTCAACTTGCAGTCTAAGCTCGTTGATCTGACTGGACATCGACTTGTTCTCCTATATCACGAAGGACAGTATGAGCTTTACTTCCTTGTTTCGCATGAGTACAAACCTGGTTGACGGAAGCCTCTTGTTCCTTCAAAAACACAAGCTCTTCTTTCAACTCCTTCACAAGCTTCTCTGCTGCAACTAAAGCGCTCTCCCTCTCGGCAAGCTGGTCGCTAATCTCGTTCTCTCTTCGCAAGAAGTCCTCCCGCTCGTCCTTCTCCAGGCCAACCACGGTGGGCGTTTGAGGGCGGCTGTCATCAGATCGCATTCCCTCTATAGTGGGGTTCACGGGAACTGGTGTTAAACTGCGTGATGAAGAAGCCGGGGTTGAGGGTGATGAAGATGAAGGAATCTTCTTCATAGGTGCTGCTGGGGCTGCTGGCGAACCATGCTTACCTGGCGTTGCCCACTCTACCTCTTCGACATGTCCGCCAGAACGCCAGACAGCAAGCTCTGCTTCAAGAGCGGCGATATATTTCTGGTATGATGTGTTGGCAGCCTGCGCTTTGCTGAGGAGTCCCTTGAGTTCCAAAGGCGACAGTTCGGTGTTGACGCGGGCAGAGTTCTTGATGGATTTCGCCCGAATACCGAAGCGTAGCGTAGACAGAGTTTCGGCTTCATTGTAAGACGACGGAGAACAGTTAATGATGAGGGTCGTGCGTGAGTTTCCTCCCAGCGATTCTTGGAGGATACGCGTGAGCTTGGAGTCACGGTAGGGAATGTATTTGACCTGTTCCTTTGTCAGAAGCACGATCAAGAGGAAGATAAAAAGTGAAAACCTTTGCATCGGTTAAAGCATTGATAACCATGCCAAGAGCAGACAAAGATTTGTTAATTTTCTTTGCCTCCTCCAACGTCTGGCCAGAGGCTCCTGTCTTACCAACTTTTTCCGAACCGGCTAAATCAACGAGGTAAAGGTTTCCAGTTTTCCGAGCGCCAGTCTCCGTATTGCGTTGCTCAATAGTGATGAGGAAGATACTGTGAGACCGAGACGATTCGGCATTCATGTCTATGGAAGTAATATGCTAAGCGCCACTCAGTGATGTTCAAAGCGACCTACCTGTTGATGATACAACTCGTGCTTCACCACCAGTTCGCATGATTTCATACACTTCTCTCGCACTACTGACATAGTAGTCGGACAGGTTCTTGACGTATACACCTTTTGACTTCTCTTCATGAACTTGCAAGTTATCATTCTGAGCTGATATCCGGAACAAAGTTATTAGCGTTATAGAAAGGGTAACAAAGCAAACGATACGGTGACGTACGAGCCAGCAAATCACGGATTTTCTCCAAATAAATTTCCATGTACGACGCTTTCACAAGGTATTCCAGGTGCGCGTCACTTTCTACGATGGACTGGAAGATCTGTTCAGTTATTCGTGGAATTATACCCTTGAGGTCATCGGAGTCAATGTCAGCACCCTGAAGATGGTGAGTTATTGTTGTTCATGAAGATGGTGGCAGAGGGTATGACAGACCATCATGGTGAATGTCTTTCCGCTTCCCGTTTGACCATAGGCGAAGACGGTACCATTGTACCCATCCAGTACATCTACAGAGCGCAGAGTATGAGAAATATATTGACAAGGATATCACAGAGAACTGCAATATGACGTGCGATCTGGCATTACCTTTGACGATACTGGGTTACCCTATTCAGTGCTGCATGTTATATATGAAAGAATAGCACTCACTCTTTCACGCCATAGTCGAACACCTCATGCTGCTTCGTGCCCATTGGAAAGACTCGGTCGAAAGTGAAGCCATCCTTCTCGGGACCCGACGTGAGTGATGTCGACCGTAATTTGACTGTGGTGAGATTGTCATCGAACGCGACAACGTTTTCTCCACCTTCACGTTGTTCTATCGCGTTGGGAGGCCGAAATCTAGAGTAGGATGGCAAAGGTGAGTGACAATGGGAACTCGACGATGCGAGATGCCGTACCTACAAACGACTTTGATGTTGTTGCCTGTGGTGGCCATGGCGGGACCAACTCTATTATAGGGGCCGCTCTAAAGAATAAAGAATGCAGAAGAGGCAATAAATGTAAAAAGAAGGAAACGGAGCGAATGCAAAGGGCGTGAGTGACGGAAAGAAAGACGATTGGGATCAAAGGCGGATGTATGTTTGCATTTGTTGCCGTGTTACTACGGCTCAACTGAGCTCGCCTAAAACAGCCCAAGCAACGCTGCAACAGCGTGTTCTGGGAACAATGCAAAATCGTAGATAGTATACACTTGCTGAAGGGAAAGTACATATATTACTATCGAGAAGTTAAATGCAAGAGTACAGCCAGAAGTTCAATCGTCATCGCTTCCGGCTGATGGTGGTGCTCGAGCACGGCTGGATGAGGCGGTAGGGCATCGGACAACTGGCTCGCCTGACTGTGCCGCATCTGCAGCATCGATCCATTCGGAATATATGTCGATGGGTTCGGTGAGATCTAGGAATGAGTCAGGGTGCAATCTCAGGATAGGTGCACAGATAGCATACGGTTAACTTTGCTCTGGAATCGCTGGTCGCAGACCTTGCAAATCAGCTGGGCAACTCCTTCTTTCCTGTCCATTCTCACTGACACTGACTTGTCGTGGTGGCAGAAAAGGCATGTGAACGTAATGTCTGTGTCTCTTGTGAGCATCTGTGAGACCATGAATGCATGCTATACGCACCAAGTGGCTCCTTTTTCCTCGTCGGACCCGGTTTCCTCGACGATTTTTTACGTTTGCCCATGGTGTCGCTAAAGCAAGCAGTCAACCGTAGTCGAGGCTCCTCAAATGGAAAGAGGACAAGGTCACGTGTATGACGCGCCAAGCGGAGTTCGTATTGTCCACGTTTGTTTGGCCTGCAACTGCAACTCCCGTTTGTCCACCATCTCTCTGTTACGCTCGCCTTTTTTTTGCGATGGCTACGCGTCGTCCCCCGTCGTCGCGCTCGAAGAATAACAATCAGGCCCCACCGCAGCCACCGCGCTCCCGTTCAGCCATGGCCAAAACGTCGTCCCCAACAGAGAATCCGTCACTACCTGTGCCATCAACGTCAAGACCCCAGAAACCAGCGACAACCGTCCTGTCGAGGCAGAAAGATGATCCGGAATCGAATATACAGGTTGTTTTACGGTGTCGGCGACGCTCAGAGCGCGAAGTCGAAAGCAATAGTCCGATCATTGTTACTTCGAATGGAGCCAAAAGTAACCAGGTGTCCATTGAAACGACAGCTCCGACCTCCACTTTGGGTCTTGTTACTCTCCCACCTATTCGCACGTACCCTTTCGATCTCGTCTTCGGCCCTGAAGCAGACCAGGCATTGATATACCATGAAGTCGTTAGTCCAATGTTGGAGCAGGTGTTGATGGGGTATAATTGCACACTGTTTGCATACGGTCAGACAGGGACCGGAAAAACGTGAGGACCACCAACAACTTGTCAATTTACATTCACATTTTGGTTTCAGCTACACGATGCATGGCGACTTGGTTCCTACGGCCATGGGTAACCCCTCAGTGCATGCTGGCATGATTCCACGCGTTCTCTTCCGACTATTTCATGCTCTGGAGACGTCCGGGTCCGATTTCAGCGTTAAGATCTCCTACATTGAACTATATAACGAAGAACTCCGTGACCTTTTGGCGCCCGATCTTCCTGTTTCAACAGGGAGTACGCAGCTGATGTCCAAGGACACCTCCAAAAATGCAGATGCTGGTTTGAAAATTTTCGATGATGCCAACAAGCGTGGTGTTTTCATACAAGGTATCGAAGAAATACCTGTCAAAGATTCCGCTGATGCATTGGCGGTCTTGACCAAGGGAAGTGACAGGCGCCAAGTAGCTGCAACGAAATTCAATGACCACTCTAGTCGGTCGCATTCTATTTTCTCTATCACTGTTCACACCAAAGACAATGGTGTCGTTGGCGAGGATTTACTTAGGACCGGAAAACTGAACATGGTTGATTTGGCGGGGTCTGAAAACATTGGACGGTCCGGGGCTCAGAATGCGCGCGCCCGTGAGGCTGGAATGATCAACCAGAGCTTGTTGACATTAGGACGTGTGATAAACGCTCTGGTTGATAAGGCGCAACACGTTCCCTACAGGTCGGGGTTTCTTGATTCGAAATGATTTCATCTGATACCTATACAGGGAATCTAAACTTACGCGACTCCTTCAAGACTCGCTCGGAGGCCGCACAAAGACTTGTATCATTGCCACCGTCTCCCCCGCTCGTTCCAACATCGAAGAGACGCTGTCGACCCTTGACTATGCGATGAGGGCCAAATCTATCCGCAACAAGCCTGAACTCAATCAACGCATGACGCGCAACTCCCTCCTAAAAGAGTACGTTGCAGAGATTGAGCGTCTGAAAGCCGACGTCCTTGCTGCACGAGAAAAGAATGGCATATTTTTCTCTGAAGAGACATGGAATCAAATGACCGCTGAGCAGGAGCTGCGGGAGAGTGAGATCCTCGAGGCGAGGAAGCAAGTGGAGATTGTGGAGGGACAGATGAAAGTCGTGCGAGAGGAGTTTGAAGAGAGCATTGGAAGACTGAAGCTCAGAGAAGCCGAGTTGAAGGACACGAGGGAGCACCTAAGATCTACTGAAAAGGTCCTGGAAGAGAAGAAGGCTGAACTTCTGTCAGTCAAAGGTGTGCTCGAAGAAGAACTTGTAGTTCGCCGAGCATTCCAGACGACCGAAGGTATGCTTGACACGGTTGCTGGAGGGTTGAAGGCCGTAGCTCACGAAAGCATCGCCGATGTTGGAAGTTTGTTCAACAAACTTGGTACGTTCCATGTGCCAATGAGATCGGTGTAATAATTGACGTACAACTCCTCACAGAACGTAAAGCTGATGTCATGGATTCGAACGCGGAGGCTGTTGTGACACATGGTAGAAGCATCACATCGGCGATACAGCTTCTCTCGCGACACCTTGATGAATTCATGTGCACTTCATCCGCAAATGTCAGTAAATTGCGACAAGAAGCCAAACAATTTGGATCTTCCGAACTGTCAAACCTTGCGTTGTATTCACAACGTATCCACGAATATCTGAAACGAGTCCAAGAATCGCTCAACGATGTACGCGCCCAGGACGACTGCGAAGATCAAGCGCTCACGGTTGTGAAGAAGACCATGCAGGAGACGCACGAGACTTTCAAAGATGGCTTTGGATCATGGGGTACAAGTCTAAGTTCCACTTGTGTACAGCTGTGCGCCAAAGTGGAGACCGCAGGGGTTAATGCTTTCGACGGAGTGGAGAATGCTTTGAAAGCGATGGTCCAATTAGTTGAGAGTATCCTGAGTGATGCCCTCCAGTTCATTGAAGCAGAACGGGAAGGACTTTCTGCCGTGCAGTCTCTGGGTTCAAACGCTGCGAATGCCGAGATCCGGCGGTTGCGCGAGCAGAATGAAGCCTTGACAATAATGATCGAAAACGAGCGAATTAGCGCGGACAAATCAAAGAGCCAACTGGTCCAGCGGATATCTGGGTTGCTTGGGGATTTTGTGATGGAGAGGGATAAGGGGCTCAGGGCAGCTGTAAAGGGCGTTCTGGTTGCAAATGAAAAGGGCGCTGAATCTATGAAGGAATTCATAGCGAAGCAAAATAGCGCTCTGAATGATATGGATAGCGAAGGTTCCAAAGTGGCGATCACCCTGGAGAAGAGAAGCGGAGACGTCAAGCGCACAAGAGACGGTGCCCTCAAAGTAAGCATTTGTTTTCTTGCGGGTATGATGTTTCTTATTAGATTTCAGAACCTACATCAAGCTAAAGAGACTGTCACCACTGAGCTTTCTTCTCTGAATACCAACGTTTCTGGATCAATAACGTCGTATTCAAATACGATACAACAACAAACTCAGGACATGATACAGTCTTGTTCTACAAGTATGAATCCTTTCTGTACGTGTTTGATAACCATTCATGGACGAGCCAGGTTTCGAACAACATCAACGTGCCAAACGCGCTCGAATCGAAATGACTAAGGCTCTGGGCGTGGACGTTCAATCCGAATGTCGATCACTTGACCGTGGTCTTGCATCAACATCTCGTAATACCGAATGCTTCGTGAGCCAGGTATCGTCTATGGTACTGGAAAATTTATGTTTTTCTCTTTCGAGAACATCGTACTCAAGTTATTCTTATAGGCTTCCAGTCTCAATAATACGATCACGAACTTGAAAGATGCCGCAAATTCACAAGTGTCTTCTTTGGACGGTGCAACGCGTTCCTTGGCAGAGGAAGGTGCCAAAGACGACGTGCCGACGGGATCTACGCCTCGTGGAAAAATATGGGAATATGTCGACCACTGGGAGCTCACCAAAAGTCGCGATGACTTGCTCAAGGCGTGGCGGCAGACGGGGCTCTCGTCTGTCGATAGTGAGACCTTTTTGACGGAGCATCTTCCTCTACCAGAGGAGGACGATATTGCTATGGCGATCGAGGATACACTATCGACGTCCTCTGTTCAATCACCCAGTTCACCGGAGCCGCCGGTGTCGCTGGTTTCTTCTGCATCTTCCGTGTCATATCCAACAATACCACAACCAATAATGAAAGGGGACATGAAGTATTCTACAAAGAGCTCCAGAGCCATAACGGGGACATTGACGGATGCTAGAAATGTTTACACGACACGAGGAAGTAGACGACGATGATGATGGACGATGTACTGCTACTGTCGTAGATGAATTATTTATTGACCATACTCTTTATTACAGCATTACCAGTCATAGTGACACTTGCGGCTCCGATGAATATGAGTGAGCGTGAGTCATTCCTAAAGGATTGCTGGTCCTTTCCGGCTAGCTACCAGTCAAATATGTTGACGTCTTTGGCTCGGTGCCGCATTAGGTCTGGTATAAAAGGCCATTTGGGAACTGCCAGAACTCCTATATCCCAGTATTCAAAATGGCCTCTACGTCCTCTATCGCAGCTACCACTCAGCGAGTCGTCTTGCCGGATATTCCAGAGCTCTACGACCCTGCCTTTCTCGACATCCTTCCACCAAAGCGCGCTTCCGTTACCGAGGCCTTCACTGAGCCTGTCGCGGTATCAACCAATCCCATGATGCAGGCTCTCCATGCTACCGCAAACCAAACACTCACGGAGAACATGGCGCCTACCTTGGAGTCCACCCTCTCGCCTACCCTTGATGCTTTCAGGGCCTTGGACGGATTCCAAAAGGACAATCTTGCGGAAGTGCTGAGCAAGTCTTGGGCAGAGGATGCGCCCCTCACCCTTCGTCTCATCTGGCAGCTGAGGAGCGTTCCCGACGGCAAGGGTGAAAAGGAGGCCTTCTACCGGCAAGTCTTCCATCACTACATTCTTTTCCCAGTGGCTCATCTTTTCTTTCAGTGCCTTTGGGTGGTTGTACGACAATCATCCTCGTACCGCCATTTCCAATCTCCATCTCCTCTATGAGCCCGTCTGCTTCAACGACAAAATCAAAAACGATACTGGTCGTGCCCATGGATATTGGAAAGACTTGCTCAACATCCTCGCACTTGCCACAGTTGATGAACTCGGGTCAGATGAATCCACCTTCCTTCATCGTGGTGGTCGGGCCGCACTTGCCAAGCGACGGGGCAAAGGCTACCGCGCTGGCCGTCGCCCGCCTACTGACAAACGCGCCAAAACTGAACCGCGCCAGAACCCGGAAGAGCACAACAAGGAGAGTCAGCGTCAGGCTCGAGAGGCGCGAGCGGCTCGTGGGTTGGAACGGTATGAGACTCTCGCATCCAAGCTCAAGGAACCTAAATATCGGGCCCTATACATCGCTGTTGCTCGTCTATTTGCCGCTCGTCTCTGCATGGATATTTCTTTGTTGACCCAGTCAGAGTCCATCCCCACGGAGGCCGGTCGTCTCTCCCATCTTCGTCAGCTCTCTCTGGTCGGAAAATGGGCACCGAGTGCAGGCGGTTCCCATGACCGGTTCACTAACATTACTACAGCCATCAGCTACCTCATGTATAATTCGCGCGCGAGCCTCCCCATCATGTTCCCCTCGTCTCTCGAGTCTTCTACCGTCCACCCCTTCGAAAAGGCCTCTATCCTTCGTTCATTCTTCCAGCGTTGGGTTCTCACCCCTCTTCGTACAGCCTCTGAGATACCCGAGACATACATGTCGGCGAATCGGTGGGATGAGATCAAATACACCCGTGTCCCCTCAGTGTGTATGAAGAACAACAGCGAACGGTTCTTCAAGCATGATCCCGAGGGCTTCCAGGATTACATGATTGAGGTTGAGAGCGGAAAGAAAACTATTAGTGGTGCAACCCTCATGCCCAATGAAATCCTGCACCAAATAGTTGCACACTCAGCTGATCGCGGGGCATCAGAAAAGTATCCAAAGCTCGCAGAGTTCAAAAAGACCATTGCCGAGAACAAAGTGCGTGTAGCAGAGGCTCAGTGGAACACTCTTATCTCCAGACTCCGTGAGTCGGGATCCATCGACAACGCTATTGCTTTGTGCGACGTCTCTGGTTCCATGGGAAGTTTCCAACACAGCGATGCCAAAGATCCCATCCTGCCCGCTCTAGCCCTGTCGCTGGTTCTCTCCAAACTTTCCAAAGCGCCTTTCAACGATGGCTTCATCACCTTTTCTCGTCGTCCTGAATTCATCCGTCTGGATCCTACCAAGTCGCTCTACGATACCGTTGCCGGGATGGTCGAGACGAACTGGGAGATGAACACAAACTTCAATGCAGTCTTTATGGATCTTCTCCTTCCTCTTGCTATCAAGCACAACATCAAGCAGGAGGATATGATCAAGCGGTTCTTTGTGTTCTCGGATATGCAGTTTGATGAGGCAGACGGCCAGTCGAGCGATCCTGCGGCTTGGGAGACCAACTACGATATGATCGAGAAGGCGTACAAGGCGGCAGGGTATGAGGTGCCTCAACTTGTCTTTTGGGATCTCTCCCGATACGGTACTACGCAAGTCATGGCGGAGCGCAAGGGAATTGCTTTGATGAATGGATTCTCGCCTGCGTTAATGAAAGTGTTCATGGGAGAGTGTGAGGAGGGGGAACTTGAGGGATGGGAGAAGGTCGCAGAGGGCAATGAGAAGGTAAAGAAGGAAGATGAATTTAATCCCTTGAATGTCATGAAGAAATCGGTGATGAAGAAGAGTTTCGACGGGCTGGTCGTTGTCGATTGAAAGGCTATTTCGCATACTGTATTTTTATTCGCATTAACCCTCCTCAAGCATAGTCACCCTCCTCTGCATGTAATCTATCATTGTAATAGTGGTGTCCTTGTAATGTACAATATATTTTTGAACAGGGTCCAAGGTGCGAGTCGTTAACAAAACAAAGCACTTTCAAACTTTCGATACAGTGAAACTTGACGAATAACTCAAGCAAGCATGGGTAGTGTATTACATGGAACAATTTGTAAGATGCTTCGTTCGAGTGATTATCCCGTAGGACCCGCGTATGGTGGTACTACGATGCACGGCAATCAGGAACATTCATCATTCGCTGCACTGAAAAGCCAAGACCTAGCGAAGCGCGGACGGCAGCCGACACTAAAAGAAATTGGTTGTATCTATTCGGATCTATACTGGCGGCAAGGACTGTTCATGACAATTACCCCCAGAAACCTGAATGAATCGGGTCCCTACTCGACTTGCCTGCTCATCTGAATGAGTGATCCACACGATGGCTTTGAGCGCCGTGTTGTCGGAGCGCAGGTCCTTTAGCAACGACTGCTCCACCAACAGCACCAGCTCTGGGTCCAAAGCAGACGTAGGTTCTAATCATACTTGCATCAGAATGGTGGGAGAAAAGTGTGCACTATACCCTGACCATCTAGCAGAAGCACTTCGGCAGTATTCAATGCCAGAGCAATGGAGAGTGCAATCCTCTGGGATTCTCCCCCTGATAGATTTGTCCATTCACGGTCCCAGAGGTTGCGATCAAGGCTCCATGCGGCGCCTAGGTCGATGATGTGCTGGAAGGTCGACATGGATCTGTCCGACCTAGCAGATAATGAAAGTACCGTGTTCACAAAGTCCCGCGGAGTACCAGGGAGAAGGGGAGACCGCTGGGGGACATAGGCCACTTTTTTACGGTAAGCAGGTATGCCTGAGGAGGGGTGAGCGGCAGGCTAGAGTAGGGAAAGCAGATGCTGGCCATAAGTCATTGGTGTTCTGCAAAAAAGCAAGTCAAGTCAAAGCTAGCCATAAATATCAAGGGCGTACGATCCACGGTATAGAACGAGACCATCGTATACATTTAGGTGCGCTATGCATTTCAGCAATGTGGTCTTTCCGGAACCACTTTTGCCCTGTAGCGCTACCACATCTCCTGCGACACGTCAAGAAACGCTGGAGCACAAACGACACCCATACCTGCAGTTACTACAAGATTAATGTCTGTAAATATTGGTTCGTTGTTGCGAGCCTCATTGGCGGACGAAATGTCTCGCAGTTCTAGCAAGTTTACCATGGCTGTCAGGATCAAAGGGCCGGTAATTCAAATCACCGCAGCCATGAGTAGAGAGCGTGTATAAACGACGAAAATAATAAGTGCACCAATAATATCTAGTCGTAAATACATTAAATCATGGTGGGGTGACGGCCATCTGTGCCTCCAGCTCTTCTTGCGAAAGCGACGTGCTCTCCATGATAACCCCAAAACCGACTTTCGCAGCATTCTGTCGCAATATAGTGAGCTAGGCCATGGACTGCGATCAAAGAGAAATACCAACCTTCCAGTGATCAATCTCTCCTGATAACATAAAGGTGAATGTGGGGGTAAACCGCTGTTCAAGCAGTGCTGATACTTTGCCCCCGGAATCGACCTGAGCCCGGAACGTCGCCAACCGAAGATCGTACTTGACACCCAGGGTTGCAATCGCGTCCCGACGGGCTGGTGCAGCGATCACCTGCAGGTCGGCGGCAACATCGACCTTGTCGCTCAACTTTTGCCAGTACGTCGCCTGCAATATACCAGCCGGTTGGAAGTTTGCGGTCGCTATCCAGTTTTTGTCCGTACCCGTGAGCTTGGCAATGTAGGTCGTAGCGAGTTCTGATATTTCAGGAGCGGGCCGCTGATACAGGCACTCAACACCAAGAGCGAGGTTTTTCGTCACTGATTGCAGATAACTGCCAACGTAGATGCCCGTCAAATCTGTGGGCCAGGGGTTCACGGCTTTCCCGTTCAGACTGTAGTCCTGTCCCTGATAATCGTGCTCCAATTGGAGCAAGTTGTGTCCCGGCTGGGATGACATCTGTATACTGCGTCAGGAAGACGGCTCACATCGAATGCCATGATTAACGCACCTGGGCCTGAAATTTGGAGACATTTCCGGGTGACCAACCCTGGTTCAGCCGGGCATTCACGTTTCCATCGTGGTCCACTCCACCTTGCATGAATACCTGTGGGTAAAGTCTCAGGATGGCGTATCAATGTTCCGTTGCAGAAAGCCCACTTTTTCATTCGCAAACATGGCACCAAAATTATAGGAAGGCGCAGATGTTTGTGAGCCCAATGCAAAGGAGTGAGTGACTTGGAATAGCGGGTTCATGGACATGCTCTTGGTGAGGTCGGCGCGAGCGCCATCGAAGAACAAATTTGTGAGATGGGTCGCTGGGCAGGGAACGGTCAGTCACGTAGAGCTGTGGAAAGCAATAGAGATAGCGCACCCTTGACTTCCTTCTGGAGATTTTCAACGTTGCCTGGGAATGGTAATCCAAGATCAGCCCGCCACTTTGCAAAGCGATTGTAGTAAGAAAATGGAGATTTGGATGGGAAAGCGGCAGTCGACGAGGATGACGGTGAGGCAGAGGAGTCAGCGAGACCATTTTTTATGGGTAGCGATACGGACGCCATTGTTGACCGACGCGCAAGCAATGGGCTCGTCGCTGCCCAAGCTGAGAAAAAAAGTGGATGACAAACAACAGCAAATGGGTTACGTAAAACCCTAACCTAAGCATTCTTTACGCGAATTCTTTATTTTCGAACAAGGCGGTGCAAGGCCGATTGAACTGCGCGTCCGATACCACCTTCCAGCGATGCACCGGGTGCGCAGTTCCGTAGTTCCCACTTGATGTTATGGCTGACGGAATTTTTCATTATCTTCAGAATGATGTTAGTGTATACATCAAGGTGAGAAAGGCACAGGGGGGGACGCCGAGCTGCGGATAGCTCACGGTTGCCAGTGGCGGAGGTTGCGCACTACCCTTTTCAGGCCAATTTCAGGCATTAAATCGTAATGATCTCGGCTCGCGCGGCTCCACTTTATTTTTGACTGCGCGTTCGTTTTAATACAATACGTCCATAGCCCGGACTGCCAGTCAGTCTTTTCCCCCCATCATGTATCTACCAATGATGACGCCGCGGCGGTACATTACCCTCGTCCTTGTCCTCGTCGTATGTTTTCCTACCTCTCTTCATCTCCGTCATACTGAATAGCGTAACAGATTAGCATTCATTACATCTTGTCTATCGCTTTCGAAGATTATAAGCGCATCTCCTCTCTCAGCAACTGGGGTTCACAACTGCATGTGTCCGAAGAAAAGACTCAAGAAATCAGTTCGTATGCTGTGGCATTCCCAGATACGCTATATCACAATGCTTCGGAACGAGCCAATGCCACGTTTGTCCTCCTGGCCCGAAACAGCGACATCAATGGAGTAGTCTCGAGCATGCAGTCCGTTGAAGACCGCTTCAACAGGCATTATAATTATCCTTGGGTGCTACTCAATGACGAGCCTTTTACGGATTCGTTCAAAGAGTGCGGCTTGTTTCACTATCGTCAACGCCGCCGTCATTTCTGACGCTGTATTCATCAGGCGCGTCAGCATCATCAGCAGAGCTCCGATTTCATTTGGACTAATCCCCAAAGAACATTGGGTTCAGCCTGACTGGATCGACGAAGACCGAGCGCGGTTAGGCCGCCAGAAGATGATGGCCCAGCGTATTATTTATGCCGGTGAGCTCACAGTTACTCTAACCTGTTACCTTCATTCATCATCACCGCAGGCAGTGTACCGTATGAACAGTTTCCGTCCTTTGACTTCTCTGACTCACTGCCAATCGCAGCTACCGCAACATGTGCCGTTTCAATTCTGGAGTGAGTGTATCCGATACTCGTACTCTGATCTTGACCTCTGACGTCAACGTCCACTCAGTTCTTCTTTCATCATGAGCTTTTACGGCCATACCGGTACTACTGGAGGTGAGCTATAAATGGAAACCATTGACCATGATCCTTCTTATTGACCATCGCATCCTATCTGTCTAGAGTGGAGTGAGCTTCGCATATATTATCCGCCTTCCATGCTATTCTGACTATCCTTCTAGACCAGATGTCAGGTTCTTTTGTGATATAAAATACGATCCTTTCATTTACATGCGAGAACACGATAAAATATATAGTGAGTTAATGTCTATCATTACCTGTGACAAGCTTATTGTGTAACTAGGCTTCACAATTTCATTAACGGAGTGGGCGCCCACGATACCCACGTTGTGGAGTACGGTAAAAGGTGGCGTGAAAATCCCCGTGAAGCTGACAGTGCAACTCAGCCTGTTACAGAATTCATGGCAACTCATCCCGACTACATTGATCCGCATAACGCCATGGATTATCTATCTAACAACGGCGGGAACACCTATAATCTTTGTCACTGTTAGTTCTCACCATGATCCCGCCCTGGCTGAACTAACACGTAAATACAGTCTGGAGCAATTTCGAAATTGCAGATATGGACTTTTGGAGGTCAGAGGCTTACCAGGCCTTTTTCAATTTCTTAGAATCAAAAGGAGGTTTCTATTATGAGGTATGTTGCATCTGTTACTGTCCTTAGCCATCGCTGCTGAAAATATCTACCTTTGTGTGTTCAGCGCTGGGGAGACGCCCCAGTCCACAGCATTGCGGCTGCCCTCTTCGCTCGAAGAGACCAGATCCACTTCTTCCGAGATATCGGTTATCGCCATGAATCATTCCAGCATTGCCCACAGGGTGATCAGTGGTCAGAAGGCAGGTGTTCATGCGATCCTGCAGACAGTTTTGGTAAGTACAGGCTCCCACATGGATACCTTTCCATGGATACAGACTCACTGTTCCCCGAAGATTATTCCCCGAATTCTTGCGTGAAGAAGTTTGAAGACTTGTTCTCATAGTACCCCCGTGCTGGCATTAACCACTGTATCTAACAATATCACTTTATAATTATGGGTTGTACGATAGTACAAATAGATGGGATTATTGGAGTCATGAGCCGATGGAACCTGTCCGTATTGCCTACGTAACCAACACGAATGACTGTGCACTTGGCCGAACCCTAACCCTATGAAGGCTTTCTGTTTGCGCAATTTGCCGCAGGTTCAATTCTCTCATACTCTTTACCTCTGCCCACCATGATGACGCCCTGGCGTTATGTTGTACTTGTCCTGGGGATTATTGTCAAATACTTTGCTGGTTCCTATGACCGTCCATCACTGACGTTTCTAACAGATTAGTCTGCACTACATAATGAGCTTTGCTCATCCGGGCTACAGTCAAGCGACATCACTTTCCAACATCAAGACGCAATGGAACGGTTCAAAACCACCGTACCAGATTCCTGTCCCCGACGATTACTATGTTCACAACAATGTAACCTCACCGCAAGGACGGAAGGCTTCCGCAGCAATTGTCATGCTCGGCGCGTCCTTGGTTACCGTGCTGCTTGATAGCAGCTCATTTTCATTTTTTTTTTTACAGCACGCAACAGTGATTTGAATGGTATCATCGTCAGCATGAAGCAGATGGAGGACCGTTTCAACAAAAAGTTCCGGTATCCTTATGTGTTCTTGAATGAGCAACCTTTTTCGGAACAATTTAAGCGGTTCGACCCATCGTTGGCTTTTACTCTTTCGAGACTCATCGACTTTCAGCCGGGTTTCAGAGCTTACGGATGTTGATGTTAAGTTTGGATTTATCCCTCATGACCACTGGTACCAGCCCGAGACCATAGACGAGGCTAAGGCATCAGAGGCTCGAGCAGATATGGTGAAGAACAAGGTCATTTATGGAGGTGCGTTCGTATCCCTGCATACACCGTTGATCTGTCTGAATTGTTGTATAGGAAGCGTGCCGTTGGTGGAAATTTTACCGTGCTTCGAACGTACACTTACTTGACACAGCTATCGGAATATGTGCCGGTTCAACTCCGGAGTGAGGATACCAATTTATATGTACGAATTTTTTCTCAACCATTCGCAAGTTCTTTTACAGACACGAGCTTTTGAAGCCGTACAAGTACTATTGGAGGTAAATCCACATACTTCACCTACACTCGCGCGCTGACACCTCAATCAGAGTCGAGTATGGAAACATTATCTTAAGTTTTACGTTGATGTTCTGACAATTGACAAAAGGCCTGACGTCAAGTTCTTCTGTGACCTTGACTACGACCCTTTCCTGATCATGCAAGACCAGCAAAAGGTTTACGGTATGCTTTAGCACTGTCTTCCTTCTTTCAATCTTTACTATGCATTAGGTTTCACTGTATCCTTGTACGAATACGAGAGAACCATTCCGACGCTTTGGGCAGCGGTTCGCGGTGTGTCTCACGATGTATAATTAGTCACAGTTCTGACTTTGCCTTAGAATTCTTGGAAGCAAACCCTGGTATAACACCAAAAGATAACGCCATGGATTTCCTCTCTGACGATGGCGGCTTGACGTACAACCGATGCCACTGTAAGTCGATATATTTGATTATATCCTCACCGCTCAAGTTCGTAGTTTGGAGCAATTTTGAGATCGGTGATCTTGATCTATGGAGAGGTGAAGCCTATTCTAAATTTTTCGACTTCCTGGATTCGAAAGGCGGATTTTACTATGAGGTTTGCCATTCTAGTGTAGTCTTTTGTTACGGATTCATGACAGGGATTCTCTTTAGCGATGGGGTGACGCTCCTGTTCACAGCATAGGAGCAGCGTTGTTTGCAAGGAAGGATCAGATAGTACGTGCTGCCTCTTCTTTATGAACCGGCTGAAGTTCTTTTAAGCATTTCTTCAATGATATTGGTAAGTATTTCCCGTATGCGCAGAACCTTCTGTTGACCGGTCTCCATCCTGTTTAGGCTATCGGCATGAACCTTTCCAACATTGTCCTCAAGGCGAAGCTCACAAGCGGGGAAAGTGCTGGTGTGATAGTAATCAAAACTTCGGTCGGTTTCTATCCCTACTGAAGTTTGTGACCTCCTAACCAGTGTAAATGCAGACTATGAGGGATACTCGTGCCTCAACCGGTACGATAGACTGTTTAACTAGGATTCAAAGGATGTATCTACATGATAGCCAAGGCAATACCTTTGCCAGCATTATTTGCTTGTTTTTTCCTTTCCAGCTACCCTGCCTGGACTTACTTCAAAGAATGCTAACGCAAGTGTAATATACGAAATGCAAGATGATAATGATACGGTGGATATGCAATGTGCGGTAACTCCAAAGACCCAAAGAAAAGAGAACCAACTTTGTCATAGGATAGACTGGGAGTAGTATTGGAACTGGCAGACTCCTAAATATGGGAGACGCGGAAAATCAGCGAAAGCCTCACCGAGTCGTATAATCGCGTCCAGTGTGACCCCAAAGAACTGTCGATAAGACGATCCACATGTTCTCCAATCAGCGAATGTGTCAAGGAGGGCTGAAAGCGTTCACGTAGCTGATTGGCGGTTTGTTCCCCGGAAGCAGCGAAACATGGCAGGGCGGAGTCTACAAGATTTTAGGTCACTTTCTGACACGCTCGTAACCTTGGCAATGCCTACGTACCCTTTTGCATTAGCTCAACGAGGGCTAGAACCAAAGTCAGCGACACGTCGGAGAAAGGTCAATAGCAACGCACTAATGATTCTATCGCAGTGCTTCCTGGCAGCTTCAAACCCATCTTTAAACAACCGCCTGAACTCTAAGAAAGACGGGCCTGTAGCACCACCCAAAACTTCTATATACTCTAGAGGAAATTTAAACGGGGCAGCCTCAAAGCCGATGTTTCCAGGCGTATTGCTCAGTATAAATCCAAAGTCTATATGTATGAGGTGACCGTCCCTGTCTAGAAGGATGTTACCATTGTGCCGATCCTTTATCTGCAGAAGATAGGTGATGACAGAATATCCTAGCTTCGGTCAGCATATACGTCAGTATCGGACAATCCCAGATTTGGCATTCACCTGCAAGAGATTTCGCGAAATTCCTCTGAGCACGAATGAATTTCGCTGATGATGGATCACCATACGTCTTTTTGGTTGCGGGGCGATTTAGATCCCGGGAGATGACAATAACGAATAGACTGGACGTACGCTTTTGAAATGATCAAACAAAGTAACGTGGCCCAATCGACCTTGAGCGAGCCGACGAGCATATTCAGCTTTTTTGATTGAATGAATGGAAGGTGCGTCTGTTATCGTTTCTACCAGTCCAGAAGAGCCTCCAGTTATGAGAATGTGGAAACTGATCAAAATGAAATACTGATTCTAAACTAATGAGGTATTAGACAGACTTACTATCTCGCCCAGCATTGACAATTTTCTTCCTCCCATATTCGTTGAAACTCACGAATGAGATGGGTTGCTAGCTGTTCCTGCCGAAGATCACCGCCTGTCTTGACAATAACCGAGACGCAATCCCAGTTCGCTGAGGGAATGTCAGACATACATATAGCTATTGCAAGTGGTAAAAGTATTACCGAGATGTCCATATGGTGATCCATGCCTTATGCGACTCTATTATCAGATAGATGAGCGATTAACGAGGCACGTAGGTTGAACCAAACCTTTTTGGCTGCCCAGGATTCACCTAAAACTACCGCGGAAGGGTCTGACTTGTTTATCTCTCTTCTGATAATACCCTCGTCTTCAGCAGTTTTCCTTCCACTGATATTGTCTATCCGTATAAGATTATCCATCTCTCGGTTTTCTCTCATCCGCTCCATCCGCTCCGCCTCCAACGCCAGCATCTCTTGCATGATGCGCTCCCGTATCGCCGAAGCTTCAGAGAGTTGCAGCCGCATTCGTGTTGGTTGGAGATGCAGCGATGACTGATCTTGGGGACCCAACCCTGGGGAATGTCTCGTTGCATAGTCTCTTGGCGTTGCTAACCAACTGGAACCGGGAAGCCAACTTATGGGACCCCATTGTGACTGGGACTCCGACGATGCACCGTTCGTAACAGGTTCCCGAACAAGGTTGGCGTTGAGCTGAGCGAGCATGATCGCAGCCGTCCGCATGCGTTCAGAATATTCATCAAGAGATAGGGCGGGACTATTATCGACGTGATCAGGGACGGGTGACAAATGTGCGGAAGAATCAGAGGTAATGGATAGAGCACGGTTCATGGGTGCGGCGTGTTCTGGTGGTGAAGGGGAAGGTGGAACCGATGAGGAGCGTGACCACGCAACCATATCGAGTTCCCTATTCTTTGGAGTCGGAGGTAGCACTATAGAATCAGAAAGATCAATAGGCCGAGAACGAAGAGATTGATCGGATCCATAGAGCTGCTCGACGAGATCCATCTCTTCGTCGGATTCGACGGGTGATGAAGCTGTTAGAGGCGAAGAGACAAAAAAGGGAGAAAAGGCGGACACATGAGCTACAGCAGCCACGACGTCAGTATCGTTGAGAGGGTCAGAGTTGGGACTGTGACGTGAAGAGAGTGGAGGGAATGGGATCAATTCTTTGGAGGTGCCCTTTTTTTCGTGCTCCTTGACAACTATTTTTTTCAAGACGTCTTTGTTGACCCGTTTGTTTGGATCGAAATCGAGGTCATCGTGAAGGATCTCTATCAAGAGTACGTAGGGGGCGCGTTCGGCTGAGTTGAGAACGACACTTTCGCCGGGGGGAATTCGCACGATGCGATGATGGGGTTGCGATCCACCCATGAGACGGGGAGAATCTGACGAAGAGCACCACATAGGCATGCATACCTATTTCCTTGTGAAAAAGAGGTAGATCGTATGAAATGTAAATACCTCAGCTGGAAGTTGGTGATTCAAAGCGGTCAACTCTGCTCTTAGGGCACTTATTCGGGCCGGCCGTGGAATATCGAGAAGCCTATTTGAAATACTTTCAAGAACTAGCAGAAACTGGATCTAAAAGACTGTCAGAGGAGAAACTAATATTGAACAAGATGTACCTCTGATCGACAATAATGGCTTCGAAGGAGATGGGTCTGGGATAATCCATCGTAGGATTGTAACAGACCATCGGCATAACTAATCGACACGGAACGTGGAGGGGGACGTGACGCGGAGACGGAAGGGGATGACTGATAGGGTGAAACGATTTGTTCAGTGTCGAGTTGTCCCAAAGGATCCTCGGACAGGCGTGATTTTCGTATTCCACTAAGGTGTAAAGGTAAAGAAGGAGCTGTCTGTGCAGGACCGACGGCACGATGTCTAAAGGTCTTGTCTTTGTTAGAGATAAGTTCCGAAGACGGTGTATGCTGAGATCCGTCGCTGAGATCGTCAGCGTCATCGTGATCATCACAGCTTGACTCCAAGGAAGCTTTACTCAAATTTGGACTGGCCGCAGGAGCCACCTCGTCCCCGTGTCGGTCGATGCTCCGGTACCTTGTGTCCCCATCGTCCACTCTCCCCTGCTCTATAGCGACTTGGCCCATGATTTCTGTCAGCCTCGGCATAGCTGGTGCGCCTGCGAGTACAACCCCAAGTCCCACAAGGGATGGTCCAACGTGATGCCTAATCTTCTTTCTAGTAAAGCGAGACTGGAAAGAAGAGCAAATGGACGAATAGGGTGCTGGAACCGGAGGCGGAAGATCTCCAAATATAATTTCGTGGCATTGATGGAGGATACGTTGGCATATTAAGAAAGATTTGGAATCGTGTCGCATACCAGAGAGATCACGGAGACTTGCTTGCATGAACCAGAGGGTCTACGAAAATAAATAAAATGCAATCAGATACAAGATATTGTAGACATACTATCATGGCAATATGGGTCGAGCGGTGCGCAATATCGACTACAAAACATTCCAGAGCGTGAGACTTGGATGGCCTGGTCACCAAAAGATGGCAAACAAAGCCCCAGACATCGGCAAGATCCTTGGTGTCGAGCTGGCGCAGTCGCGAGGTGATGTAGTACGTGATTCCTATGTTGTCCGAGTAGAGAGCAAGGTACTGAAGGGCGACATGGACAGAGAAATAATTGACAAAGAGCCGGAGGAGAAGAGCATGGGACATGGAGGGAGAAGATGACAAGGCCGCCGTGTGATCACGACACGTTACTGAACTTTGCCTTCCACGTCCATCATCCATGTATTGGCGTTCACTCTGCGCCTCCACTCTTTTACTCCTCCCCGTCGTGCTTGCCGTCGACGATATACAGGCCCAGCTCGTCGATCTCGCTGCCGCTGGCAACGGCCTCATTCGTCTCAATGCCCAGACGTATGAACTATTGACCACCTCCGACCGCAACTGGTCTGCTGCCATCCAGTTCACAGCACTCGACAAGCGGCGTAGATGTGAACCATGCAGGTCAGTATCTATGTGGATCACCGCTTTATGCACCTTGTAGACTCTGAACAGGGAATTCGACCCATCATGGACTGCAGTTGCCAAAGCTTGGGCAGCCGTCCCTAAGGAACATCGCGACACCCATTTCTTTGGGACCTTGGACTTCGACGATGGTCAAACGGTCTTTTCGCAGGTATGTAGGCCATCCTTTATGTCTTGGCCACGCTCAGTCATTTCCGCAGCTTGGGATGACCTCGGCCCCAGTCGTCTATATGTATCCTCCAACCCAAGGTCTTCGACAGCCTGCCAGTGGGAAATATAATCCTATCAAATATGACTTCTCCAAGTATGTCATTCGCGTTTCCTATGGTACTATTCTTGACTCCCCCACAGTGGTTTCGAGGCAGGACCACTAGCGGAACAGCTTTCCAATCATACCCCCGTCCCCATCCCATACAAGGCACCCATTGACTGGGCTCGTTGGGGCACCTACATTGCTGGTTTCTTGAGTTCACTCTCAATCTTTCGCTATATCGCTCCGGTTCTTAAAAGCCGATGGCTGTGGGCTGTCATCTCGATCCTGAGTTCACTTATTTTCACTTCTGGGTACATGTTTACGCGTATCAGAAACGTGCCATACTCTGGTGCAAACGGTAATTGGATTGCTGGCGGGTATCAGAACCAGTTTGGACAAGAAGTCCAAGTCATTGCTTTAGTTTGTGCGTCAACTCTCTATTTCTGTGTGTAGTTTGCTCATCTTTTGATGTAGATGGTCTCCTCGCATTTTCCTTTCTGATGCTTACCATTATCGTACCTTATCAGACTTCTGCTGCTCGGCAAAGGCTGCAGGTCTATCTCTGGGTTGGAATCATTGTGATTATCTATTCTGTCCTAGTCAGCATTTTCAGAGTCAAGAACAGAGGTAAGTTCTATGCACATTACCTATGATCTCAAGCTTACATCTTTCGAGGCTATCCATTCCGTTTGTTCCTGTAGATACGATCCTTGCCTTGCTAAAAGCAGGCTCAAAATATAGTAGATATGGAAGTAAATGCTATTGATTTGCTATCATCTGTGTAAGGAAAATACGAATTCCCAGATACCACCAATTTTAGTTTCGACTTTTACTAAAACAGGTTGCCGCTTTTCCCAGAACCGCTAGGAACATGCATCCTCACGACTTCTTTTCCTTGAAGAATGTTTTTGACCCTTGTCTCTTTTTTTCTTTTAGCGAGGAGTCACTCTTCCGGGGTTTGTCTCTTACCATCACCTCCGTTCACGAAAAATGTTGTCCATGGACAGAATACGATGCTCAGTAAGTGCTCTTTCCTAATCACAGTTTCCAAGCTCAATATATTTTCAGTACTTCTCTCATGAAGGCAGGGCACTAGGGCCGTGTCCATACGGAACATCTTGCAAGTATGTACACCCAGACCACAACGACTGGAGCATGGCAAAGTCATTCTACGAGCCGGACCCTCAACCATCTCCCCCCAAGCGACCCCGTCTGCCAGCCACAGCGGCGACCTTGAGAGATACCGAGCTTCTCGCAAATCCCCACTACATTGACCTCGACCGTTCTTCACTATGGCCCACGGACCACAAAGCTTTACCATACAGACCTCCTGTCCCTTCGAGCGAGGACGCGTATCTCCAGCATATCTCAACGTAGGGGCGCATCATTTTGCATACCTAGTGGTCGCTGATATTTCTCCTAGTCTCTTCGTGCAGGGTATCCTTCGGCAGCAGGCGATCCATGAGTGCACTGCACGGCGTCGAGAAATACAACAAGTATCTGCGGCGTTTCCAAATCGTAACCAGACCAGTGATATTCAAGTTCTAGAGAGATACAAGGATCTCGATTCTCTTGAGAGAAAGCTTGGGGGTCTGATGACTGAGACGTTAGGCGACCTTGGCGAACTTATGGAACCGGCAACCCTCCAAATAATGGAGGCCTATGTTGACGAATTGTGTAAGTGGGTGAAGGACTCGCGAGGTCAGGTTGAAGATGTGGTCAAATATCTCAAAGGAAACAGCGATAAGATCCGGATACGCGAGCGGAAAGTCAAGGACACCAGCCCCCAAGTGATGAACAATTTGAAGACATTTCTGCAGACCCGAATTGCTAGAGTTGAAGGCCAGATCATTTGTAGGACCGCCGAGATAGTGTGTAGGCTCCTCCTGTTATCTCGAAACTGCTAATTGAATTTAATGTGTAGGCGAAGCATGAACCCGCAAAAGTCGAGAGGCAGAGTCAGTGCGAGGAAGCGTCAGAGTTTGAGATGTACATGACTGCAGCGAAGCAGCTCAAGACGGCTCATCCGTTATTGAATCCTCAGGTGGGAGAAACAGTGGTGAAATCGCGATTGCAACCGATGCTAGAAGAGTTGAAGAAGAATACCACGACATTTGTTGAAGAGAAGTACAAGCTGTTTGCAGCAGGACTAGAAGAGAGTTTCAGCATGAGTTGTATACAGCAGCATTTGTAACCAAAATGGGGTTGTGTTCAAAGTCCGACGTGAACGTGAACTTGCTTTGACCGTCGATGTCGCGGAGGATTCGGTGTCGCGTACGTAACAAAGCTGAAGATTATCACTTTCCATCTTGAAAGAGGATCCACAGTACTACAGAAACGACGGTACCGTCATCGGCAGAGGCTGTCCCAGGCCTAATACCTGCCACTTTGTACATCCATCAGACAAAGAGTGGTCCTCATTGACTCCAGGAGGTAGACCTGCACCTTCAATGAATCCGACTACAAGGGACCCTCGACGACGGCCTAGCCCAGATTCCATTGTTTCTACTCGAAATACTAGACGCTCCCCTTCACCTCGATGGCCAATACCGCCGCCGCCTCTTTCTGTCCAGTCAGCAGCGAGTTCCTCTTTTCCACCTCCAATCTCTGCGACTTCGACCTCTTTCATGTCGCCTCCCCCACCACCACCAGGCCCCAGTGCCATTCCACCACCACCAGGTCCCCCAACGTTAGGTTTGAAGCAGTCAAAATACGAATTGTCTACCGAGGACAGGAAGAAAATCTGGGAACAGAGGCTAAGGTACGCCTGTTTATATCACTATAGACTAACATCCCTAACGGTCTATCAAGTCTTTGGGTTAGCTGGGCAAGGCACCGCACATCTATCATGTCACGCGAGGAAAGGATCAACAAAGTCCAACATATTCTTCACACCGCTCCTCCGTCCTATTCCCCCGCTTCTCGTTTAGAAGAGCTCGAGCGTCTGAAAAAGGAGCAAAACGTGGAAGAAGCAGAGTTCAAAATGATTTTCAACAAAATCATTGAATCCGACAGTTGGCCCATGGTCCCTCGGCCAGAACAAGGAATCGTCGAGAATAGATACGCCGATATGGTGAAGTTGGTTGACACCTTGTCAAAGAGCATCAGTGAATTGAATATCTCCGTGAAAAAAATGCGGGAGGACCAGTCTGCTACCGAAGAGACGCCGACAGTTACCAGCCGGAAACGCGGCCGATTGTCCGACGGGGGACTCGATAATTTTACTTTCAACGTCGCTGAGCTACAGGAGGGAGTTAGCGCAGTAGAGAACCAGTTGCATGACTTGCAAAATTCACTCCTCAATCACGATAATGATATCCAAGCTGAAGTCGTTGGGCTCATGGAAAACCGGTACGACGAGCTCGAAGCAGCCAGGAACGCTGGGACAGATCCGGAGGCACAGTTTCGCCAATTGTCGACCATTAAGCTTAGCACCATGGAGAAACAAATCGAGGAGGTCGCCCTCGAGATGGCAGACGTCATCAACAGGTCGTTTACGGAGGGTGAAGACCACGAGCAAGTGAAGAGAGAAAATGCCGCTTTACTGGGTGAGATTAACATGGTTAGTAGAAATTTTTCTTTTGCTCAGATCTTGTTATGCTCACCTTCCCGCAGCTTCGAGCCCAAGTCCAAACATGGGAGTCCCGGGAAGCAGAAAGTGTTCGGCACATAGCCGTAATCACTGCTGCTCTCGACGACTATAAATCCCACCCTGCCGCGCCGCCTGTGCCCATTGCGCCAGAGCATCTTCGTCCCCACATTGAGTCTGTCGTCCTTCCCGTGATACGAGATACAGTATACACGATGATTGATGAACTGAGGGCGAATCTCCAGCAAACTATGAATCAGAGGGAGATGGAGATCTACGGAGCGCTCTATGATAAGCTCAAGTTGGCCGGCACGGTATCGGAAACAGTTGTGGCACGTATGCAGTCTCCATTGACTGCATCATCTCTGCCTGCATCCAAGTAGCCCGTTGCACCTCTTATTTATATGCATACATATATCTCTTACCGAGCTTGCTTAATCTGGTCCGCAAGAGTGAATTCTTGCTGTATACTCCCATCATTACTCAGACAGTTGTTTTTCCTCGGAGCTGCATCAAGAAGTGCTGTATGTTCATCGTCCACTTCATACTTTTCTTATGGTGCTAGGTTAGGACCAGGATGGATATGTACAGTGACGGGATTATAATACAGTTTTTGGCATTGGCATTTGGGTGGTAAATCGACTAGCAGGTGGTGATAACAATGCGGTATTTTCCAAGAATCAACAAGAAGACGAAACAGATATTCACTTAACGGTGATTGCAATTAGAGCAACGTCGATGGCAACGGTGGGAACTCACAGTATGATTATAGGATAAGCGATGGTTCAAGGCAGTGGACTCTGAGGATAGTAGCGTGTTCCAATACGCGTTCAAGAATTGCAAAGGCCTTAAGAAAGAGGGGTAAAAAAATAGCAACAGAACAGAGAAGACAAATATACGCACGATAAGCAAACCAAGCAACCACTTCCAACCTCCGCCCCCTTCAGGCTTCGTTTCTCCTGCCTTCTTGTCATACACCTAGAAGGTTAAATTATTGGTCAAAAAGCATCCGCGGGAACAGAATCAAACTTACCATAGCTGCTGCAGCTACGATGGTCAGATCGGGGTCCGGGCCCTGGATAAAGAAGGTTACCCTTGTGGTGTATTAACAAAAAAAAAAAAGTAAACTGACAGGGAGGGTGACGTCGACAATGAGCGGGGCCCCGTATCTGGGATATGGGTGGTAACGATTCATGTAAGAGCGCCGGTAGGCTGGAGGCCTAAGCTGAGACGCATGACGGTCAAAGTGCCTAGTGGTATACGGTGGAGGAGGAAGGGTGGTATTCATTGGGGTCGTAGGAAAGTAAAGAAAGCCAAGGTGAGCTTTGTGCTTCGAGCCCTTAAATAAGACAGAGATCGAGTCTGAATTTGTTCTGTCCAAATACCCCCTTTGTGCAGTGAGAACGCAGTGAAGCATACGCAAACAAGATGCAGGGAATCCCGTCATGGAGCACTATTGCACGCATGGGGCGTCGGTGAGTCTGCATGACTTTCAGCATTTTGAACAATGACTTTTAGCTGATGGCAAGCCCCAATATAATGCCGTCTGTCATATATCAGTACCAGGTACTCCTTGAAGAACCAGACTTTTTCAAGTTGGCAGCGAATCCTGGATCTCTGGGCTAGCTCTGGTACACTTCCTCGATTCCTTGGTCTGAGCTTGCGCAATTCCCAACCAGATTCCAGACCTAATGTCATATCTCGTCAACCCTGCGATGCCTTGTACTGAGCCAGACGAAACGACCATCTGTACGGATTATTGAAGATCATGTGACCATATCACAACACGCGCCATCCCTTCAATGATTCAATGCATTTCATCCATACCACTTGCCTGTGAATTTGAGCCTAATGGACACCAACGACCAGTGGTACCCCGAGGAGATATCAGAGCAAGCAAGAAAGCAAGCAAGAGAGGCAATTTCTTCTGAACGCCCAAAATTTGGATATCATCGCTTCACGTCTCGCATAGCCAATCCCGAGAGCGTCAGACTAGTTAGAAAGCAAAGAATCTAAAAGGACAAGATTTTGCCATCAATCAACGGAGAATCTACAAGTCAGAAGAGTGAACTCACTGAGGAACTGTGGACTCCTTGCTCTCAGCTCGAAGACTCTGCCAAATCACTGTTATTCCCATGGAAGATAAAGATGAAAATGTCTGCAAGCTATAGGGGTCTTTCCCGACTACGAGATGATGTTCTTGGGTGAGGTCGCAAGGGCGGTAAGGCCTGTCGGCTTTGCCTATCCCGCTACCAGAAGTCTTCCTGGGTGAGAAGAGCCTTCTCATTCCAATTGGATCGTCAAAATGCCAAAGTTCTACCTGGAAACCCGAGTAAAGACATTTGCTGTTTTTGCGACATGAATGGCGAACTGTGCATCCCAAGATCTGTTGCAAGAGGTGGTTATCCAGCGAAAGATACTGCAATGCGAGACTATAGGAAAAGGTGTGCCAGTGTGCTGAACATGGCTCAACAATAGGCGATGATGAACGTCGAGGAACAAGATGGATGGAGCGAGTGGCTGCCTATCAAGGTCAAATAAATCGAATTTCAACGCAGAGACAGTTGTAAACGGAAATTACTTTTTCACTCGACCTCAAAACCTTTCAATGACTGCCACTGTGGCTCGCTACCTCTTTTCTTCACTACTGCCTTCTCCAAATTTTTACAAAATTTTAATCGATGCAAAAGCGCCCAAAATCCAATGTAATTTTTGGAAAATGCTTGATAAGTCTTCCTTTTTGCAGCTTAGGTCTCTGACGACGTAAAGGGTTCTCGTTGCCAACCCTCTGACCACAGAGCTTGAAGGATAGACGACGCTCTCCGCCGACGTTCTCCCGCCGTAACAGAAATTCAATCGTTCATCTTTCTCCCGTTTCTTCTTCCGTTTCTTATCGACATCAATGTCCTTTCTCTTCCTCCACAAGCTCATTCAACTCAGATTCAATTTAACTGAGTTACCCTCGAAAAGTAAATCCGTTGATGGCGATTACGGCCATCCGTGCTCGTCTTGACCTGCCATTGGGTCGCCAGTGCTCGTAGATTGGCGTAGGAGCTGACTACAAATTCTGGGCATACTGGTTCCCATCGTCCTCGTTGAGTCCAGCGATGTCGACGTCGTTTTCTGGGGTTAGATTCGTGATCAACAACAACTGCTAATGCACGATATCAAATTGCCGTTGTTTTCTTGATGGCTAACTGCTTGGCATTTACACTCTATTGCGTTCGCGCTGTCGGTACTTACGGACGTATACCACTCAAGTACTGCACGCCATTTCTTCGATCGACAAGGTATTGGACCTATCTTCTGGTCTTATTTATAATTGCGTTTCTATCCGTCTATCCGTAACTACCGTCACGACACATTTATATTCCAAACATTCTTTTCAAGTTCCCAAGGCTACCTCTTCAAGGATAAGGCAAATGGAGGATTGGTGAAGGGAATGACAGATTGTTAGCATGGGTGCAGTACGCCCCCGAACGCTGGTGGAGTAGGCTCGCAATTATAAACAATGATTTAATAGCGCTAAATATAAAGGGTCCTTCAGCATGAGACCGCTACCGCCCTTCGTAGCCGTCTCAATTGACCGCACCATGTATTTCCGAAAATCTGACAAAACCTTTCTTTGCGCTCTTGCCACATGTTCTCCTGCACGCGAAAACCCATTAAGATGTGCTCCAAGACCGATCTCACCATAGCCGCTGCCCACATTTGCAATAAGCTCCGCTGCGTACATAGCTTCTCGTATTCAATTTTCTGACTCAACTTTCTTCAGCAAGGTATAGTAAAACAAGTCCTACACATCTCCTCAAAAGCAAGTGCCTCAGGTAATAGGTCTTCTATGCGTGACGATGCGAAGTTCTTGGGAAAAAGCCAACATGCAGTACTTCACCAGGGCATCGACGACATGCCTGACAGATCTTCCATTCATCTCGATCCAGTGATGGACTTCATCAGTATGCGCGCACATTTTGACCAGAACCGACGGTTCATGGAGAGCACTAAGTAGTGCTATGTGCACTGTAATATTATCATTTGCCGCCCTTTCAAGGGAGTTTATTTGCTCCAACTCGAGAAGTTTGTCCTCGGTATTATTTTCCACATCGACACCCATGGATAGGGCAAGCCTCTCTGTTTGACGGCGAAGGTGTGCGCATTTATCAAGTGTTTCTAGCTGGACTGCAACATCAAAAAATGGCCTGCACCATTGTCAGAACCATTCACTTCAGTCAACATGTTTTCTAAAGATGCACTCTACGACATGATGTAGGTCCCCTCGCTCTGGCAAGGAAATAACAACTCGACCATTCGAACTGTCGTCTTCTACAAGGGTATTGGTAGAATCTCTTGACGATAATTCATAGGACAACTAAAGATGAAGACTCCTCAGCAGTGGGAAAGAGAAGGGAAAACAATGGCACATACCGGAGGAGTCATGGTATTCAAGAAAAACGGAAAATATACTACGTGGGCAACAAGCTTGGAGAAGACCACGACGAACTAGACCATCGGTTACGAGAATTAGAGATCCACTGAAACGGCATTTCAGGCAACTATGTGTACATTCGACGATTACTAGGCAGAACATCAACACATGATCTCGCTGAGATGAGCGAATTTACTTTACAACATTCCTTCATTGAAAGAATCATAGTAGCAAGACGAACACGAAAAGGCGCACAGGTGAAGTCCCAAGATCCAAGGCCGGTGCTAAAAATACACCACCTTCTTCTTAGGTGCAACAGGTGTGCGATTTGAAGACACCGCTTGTCGCTGAGCAGCCTTTTCATCTCGCTCCACCTCCAAGTGATTTCTCTTGAAGACGTGAAAGCCATCTTCGTCAGCACCAACGCCCACATATCTGTCTACAACAAAAACAGAAGGATTATGGGTCAGATCTAAAAGGATGAAAGGAAATGTTAGCTAGCATAGACCCAAAGAACCTAAGGCGTATCAACCTTTCTTCCTGAGCGCGCAGTCCTTCGCAAGGTGAGAGGTGTCTCCACAAAGTTTGCAGCACCCTCCATTCGGATACACTCCTTGCTTGTTCTGAGGACAGGACGAGGCTAGGTGTCCTTGGCCACTGCAGACGAAGCAGGAAGCAAAAGGAAGAGGACTCGATGGATCTGAGGGTTTTTTACACCTAGATAAAGTATGCTTGGTCGAGCCACATCTATTATACCATTTCATGAGCACTTTTACATGACCGAATCACGGAAACGGACCTATAACAGATACCGACGACGTTCTTCCCTGTCTTCCCATCCGAGCCTTGGATCTTTGTCTTGGGGCAATTCCTGGCTGCATGGCCTTTTTCACGGCATGCGAAACATGTTGTAAAGGCTTCGCGTTCAGCTATTCGTCGTTGGCGGCGAAGTTCAGATGCGGCAGCTCTACTGACTTTTGCTGGCGAGTTACATGAATTCGAAGCAATGCAGCGTAGGACATACTTTTTCCCTGCTTCAAGTGTGGACTCTTCTTACTACCGAGCGCCGATGCTTTTGAACCATCTTCTAGTTTTGAACGTTTGTTTTTCGTTGGTGGTGTATTTTCGATAGTTGGTTCCTTCTGCTCGTCTATCGTCGCAAGAACTGCAGGATCTGCAGTTTCCGCTGGTGTCGTAGCAAATCCAGCCTCGAGATAGGTTCGTTTCCGTCCAAAGTTCGTAATACGGGTCATTGGAAAGGATAAGCAGATGACGGTCTTGAGTACATGTAATTGAGAGTGCTCATTGTTCCCACGATCCTGCATGATATACGAGACTATTTGTTATATTCCATGTAACCTATGTAGTCGGTGTATCCCTTCTTTTCATTCTCTTCATCTGCGCCATGTCCATAAAGCTCTGTAAAACCAGGCTGACCGTCCGATGGTTTTCCGTACTGCAGCCTCTCTGCAAAGTCGGGATGCGCGACCCAAGGAATACCATTGTGTTTCGTTCCACATTTCACGCCTGGCATATCGGTCAAAATAATGAGTAATGAACTGACTCTAAAGAGAATGCTGCGTACCGAACGAGGTTGATATATGCCAAACCGAACTTGTCAGCTTCAGAGATAAAATAACTGAAGGTTTCCAGTGTTTCTTGAAGAGGCATTCTGTTAAGTTGTCAACGTTTGCAATGTTAACAGTGGAGAATGATATATTGTTACCCCGTATTATTGTATCCTCCGGTAGGGTTGAGTTTGATGCTGACACGGTCCGCGCCCCAAACGTCTATCAATGACAATGCCTTGCACACCTCCAAGCCAAACCTCCAAGGAACTAACATACGCCCACACTGAACACAAGAATGGACCAAAAATCTGGTGGATTAATTACCCATTTGCGCCGTGTATCTCTATCAATGCTTCCATTGAGAGATAAGAACACGGAGGTCATCGATAACGGTGGGGGTGACATAACTTGGCTGGCCGGCAAGATGACGAAACAACAAAGAATGTTTCGAGCCTAGCCGTACACATGATCTTGTTTGATGGACTCGTTGTGCCAAAGAAGACGTCGGAGACAACCAGCTGCCTTAATCTAAGCTGGTTATGTCAAGCCCATCTTAAATATGACCATGCAGGGCAGAATCCTGGTCGTTCACGGGCTAAAAGAGCACTACAGGAAGTTCATCATCCGATATACCGAGGCCGACCCTGACCATGCCATAGTCATCACAAGCATGAGTTCATTATGTTGCTTACAAGAGCGCATGAAGTAACTTTTAACTTTTCTCTACTGAATACAACGTGCAACATGTCTCCTTCGGAGTCACCTGAGTAGTATCGGCCAAGGCATGATGGTATGTGTGCATCGTGGTATACATGTATAGAGATCATGAGCAATGTTCCTGATAACAAGATGTAGCGCACCGGTACCTGCTTCATTGAATTACGCCCGCCGTTAACCGGTAAACCAGCAGTTCACCTCGGCCTGATGCAGGCAACTTGAACTCTGAGGGAGCCTAACGCGCGCCGGTCCCGAGTCAGGTTTTGTCAGATAGAACGGTGAACCAACGGAGGCACCCATGTTATTGAAGAAACTACATCAGAGTATCCGAAGCATCTTTGTTGGACAAATGCAGAGGAAAGAAAAATTTGAACTGATTGGCTTGGGCGTCTATTTTCCACGAGGATGAAAACCGTTCCAGGAAAGAGTCTCAATTAGAGTCCAAGCATACTACGATATACATGCAACAAGCATCAGAGAAAGGTCAAAGATTCTTCAGACGATGGAGAAGATCCACAGAAGAAACATCAGTACATGATACTGATACTGGCGGACGATACGTGCCTAGTAAGAATTGGTGGTAAGACATGGCGTGCAAAAAGACCAGTATATCCAATCCTGACCAGTATAGTGACAGGTTCTTCGTTGCCTAGCTCCTCCTCTTGCATGTCCTCCCCCTCCTCCCCCTCCACTCCACCGTCAAACCACTCTACTGTTTCGTTGTATTCATCTTCGCCAATGTAGCCGTCATCGTCGTCAAGACCATAGTGAAAAGGGATGGCCTAAGGCCATCAGAGTAATTCCAACACCTTGCTATAAAATCTACTTACTCCGAGGGCCTGGGGAAGGATTACTGGTGTTGGAGGCATTGGTGGGTCGTCATTCCCTGTTTCAAACTGGAGAACATTGGTGAACTGAAGTAGGACGAACATAAACAATACCGTGCCCTGAATCGAGGAGGAGGTCGACGATACGGATGGTAGCGCGTAGCATACGAGAAACGGTAAGCCGGTAAGCGAAGAGTTGACGCAAAATTTTGGCGAAGAACTTCATCGTACGTAGGGATATGACGAGGTACATGACGAGGCACGACTTTCAGGATCGTTTTCTTGGAGCAGCACTGAGGCATTTCAAGGGCTGAATCGATGAAGCTTGAAGGGCGACGTTGACAACTGAAATGTCTGTTGAAGCTTATATATTGGATTTTTTCTAGCTTTCAGGGTAAATTTGACACGGCAACCGCAATTGGCTGACCCTATTCCTTCTTTGAACAGGCGTGATGCCGGAACACAGACAGTTGTGAGGGCAGTAATCGAGAATATTCTTTTCGATAAACTGTTCGACGGGACACGCAGGTAACCATTTCCAAGTAGAAGCCATTCCCAGCAATGAATAGAGCTGATCCAGTAGATTAGTCGAAACAATCGAATTTGTAGAGACGCGCCGGACTCGCAGGAGACCTACACCGCCGGCCAGCCGCGAGCCGAACAACCCAGGACGTCGGGTATACGTTGAGTTGGAGGCGCCCAGTCCCTTCCACCGTATCGTCGCTTGTGATATCGAACGAAAGCACTATTAGCGGCCCAACAGATGTTTCTCGTTCTTGCTCCCAGTCCACAGTGATATCCTCGCGCCAAACATACAAGCAGGTGAGAGTTTTACCTTTCAAACTCCTCTGTCCTTAGACATTGAAAAATCCCTCGTATCTTCCGTTCACTTCCTTCAGTATTTCGCCTTCTGTCGCCTAGGGCATTAACGCGGACGCGCGCCAGTGTGACGTGACCTAATGAGTCATTTCCCGTCACAGCAATAAAAGGTCGGAACCGTGTGTATGCCGCGTTATCCTGTATCAGTGATGTACTACCACCACTGAAATGAACAACGTCGTTCAGGTACCCCATACTGGAGTGAATTCTCAACAACAGAACTCGCCTTTAGCAAGATTCGTCAAGGCTAACGACTTGACCAAAAGTCAGTGCGCATGGACCGTAAACGACTGAACACCGCGGTACTCGTCTAGACCAAAGGATTATTACCCTTCAAGAATAAATGCAAGAATACAGCAACACACCTTCTAGCCGTACCCGTTTTCTCTGAGTATCCACCTTTGAGAGCATCTCCTCCTCATCCTCCATGATCCTGGGTCGATTATCCTGATATTTGTCTCTGTTGGTGACTGAAAGGTTCAAGAAGAGCAATCCCTTGGTCGTAAGGTCCTATTCGCCGAGTATCTTGTTGGTCGAATCGTAAGGTGGCATCTGAGCGCTATCCTCATCCACTGGCCCCGTCAATTATGCTTCTTGAGGCCTTGTCTGTGGTCAGGATGGCCCAGGAGCAGCGCCGAAGACTTGTATGCGCCCATTGCCCTCGAGAAGCACGATTAGCAAGACCAGGCCACGATAAAAACCGACCAGATCTGCCTTGTAAGTGAGAAAAATCCATTGTTATCGCTGTAGACTGAACGAAATATGTCTCCGCTGCGGCAGACAATGCAGGTGATGATGACGGTGTCGACGAAGGTGGTGGTGGTGGTGGTGGTGATCGCAGAAATAGGGTTACAAATCAGAACCTTCGGAACTGCCGATCGCAATTTCTTGCCGCAAACATTTTCTCATCGTCTGTCTATTCTTTCTAATAAATATTCTCCTTCTAATAGCTGCATTTCTCAGTCTTCCGGTGCGGTTTACATCATCGAAATCGACCATGTCGATTTTTTCAAACTGACACCGTGCAAAATGACTGTTCCCAATTTGTCGCGGTTTGAATTTTAGGTTCATCTGGGCCTGCTGTACTGCTTCTTCGTTGTCCGACGCTGCCAGATTCAATGCAGCCCTTGCAGGCTGCTGGGCCCAATTTTTCTGCCGAGCGGAGCAGGAACTTTCCTGTAGAACTCGTTCAATTTCTATTTGTGACTTCATTTCTAGTTTATCGCTGAATTGCGAATGCTCTAGCTCCTTTCACACGTTGAAATTCAACACCAAGTATGCACCGCACTCTTCTTCCGATTTCTGGTATTAATCCTTATTTTATCAGCGAAAGTTTTTAGCACTTTCCAGCTTAAATCTGGGTTCAAATTCTTCTATAGGAATCTCCGATTGGACTCGGACGTGCACCGTCCCGGAAGTCCTAAGTGGTATTCGAATTTGGCCCTTCTGTGCTAAAGGCAAAAGGGGCTCTATAAGATCATGGACCCGGTCCCTTGAAATCCGAATGTTACCTACTTTTCTCTGGTTTTACGTGCTGGCCGATCCTGCATGGCGCAAGCTCTTGTCTGATGCTCTGTGTCCTGGGCTGTGTGAAAACCTGCCGAAACCGCCCAAATCCTGTTGTCATTTGGAATCCATATTTCCCATGTCTCTCGATCCAAAAATACGCGTCTCGTCGACATTGCTCCCTAGTGAAACTTTGGACACTTCTTTGTGCTCAAGGACTTGCTTGCAAGCAATTTCCTTATCGTTTAACTTGTCATGGCTCTCCCCTTCGCCGCCATCACCAGATCTTCTTTTGTGTCTTTGGATGCGTTCCGACTGTGCTCCCGACCTTGTAGCTTTCAGGGTCTAAGATCTGAGGTCGCGACTCGTTGAATAGAGAGTATTGGCGTCGTTGTTCACCGCCGCTTGGCTGGTAAGAGGCGGCCTTATTTTTGCCACTCGCTCGTTATTGACCTGTACTATGGTACCACAATCCGAAATCTGACTGCTCACCTCTTGCTTGTCTATTACCTTAGTGCATAATTCCCGACGAATTAGAGAACGCCTCCCCTTTGCTTCACCTGACTGTTGCGTGCTTGTCCTTCTCAGCTGGCGCGGCTCTGATCACCCGGACGGCCAACCAACTTCTACCCTATATCAGAACTTGTTGTTTTAGATATCTCTTTCAGCCTTCATGCGTCTTCGTACAGGCGTCATCGTACACCCGCAACTAGTCTGTAATGGGGCGCCAAATCTATGCGTTGCCTGGCATCTCGGCCGCTCCCCTTGAATGCCTGTTGAGGCCCTCACATAGATATAGGTCCATTACCAGCACCTACATATTCATCACCTAGACAGTGTTAATACGGCCGAAAAATCCGTTATTCTATCCATGCACACACATACGACATCTGACTATATGGAATTCTCTGGTTTACCTCTGTAGCTCCTGGATGGCCGTTGCCGGCAACATTCTTTTCGTCCATTGGAACGTGTTCCGAATATGCTCCTAATATCATGACATTGAGATTGCTGAAATCCAGGCAACATCCACCGGCTTGTGAAACGAAGGACGCGACATTTTTCGTTGAGTGATGGTGTGTGGCCCGAAGCCGGAACGCCGGATACGGGTATGTTTCTTCCAGCGATGTACTGATAGATGAATAGATGAAAACACGTTCTAGACATATCTAATCCCTTATTGTTTCCTTGGGGTCCTTGAAAGAAGCGAAGGCTATAAGGTTTCGCTTGAACAGTCCAGCCGTACCCAGCAGATTGGTATTTGTAAGTCTATACAAGCCGTACGCGAACTTTATGTGCATATATATTGTATTGATTGCCCAACCGAATATCAACTTGAAGAAGCATCCTGACATGCACAAAAGTAACTTTCCGTCTCTATCAACTTCTCGGGCTCATCTTCGGGGGAAATTCCTGGCTGCCGCATGCCTGTAACGTCACTCTAGGACATCATGGGGCCATGTAACAAGATAGAAGATAGAAGCTAGACAAACACTCCTTTACGAGGACAGCAGGGACTGGAACAAGTGCACCGTGCGACAGATGGCCAGACATAGGGCGAGTTTGTGACCTGTGACGTGACTGAAAACATCTTTACTCCTCCTACCGTCATGCGGATTGAAAAGTGCTATTTCTGTTCGACTAGCGTATATCCAGGGCATGGCATGTCAGTTTTGCTACAATTCTGGCATACGCTAATTAGGTCTTCCCAGGCTCTGCATTTGTTCGAAATGACGCCAAGGTTTTCAGGTTCTGCACCTCAAAGTTCGTATGCAATCGTCCTGCTCGAATAAAAATCTCATTGCGCTTTTAGATGTCATAAGAACTTCAAGTACGTTGCCTATTTTGCCGGCTCTCTTCTTTGAATATTAACGCAATGTCACAGGATGAAGCGTAACCCACGCAAAGTACGGTGGACAAAGGCGTTTAGGAAAGCAGCGGGCAAGGAGATGACCATTGTGCGTACCCAGACGACTGTCGACATTGCAGAAAGCTCATTTGAATGGAAATAGGACTCCACGATCGACTTTGAGAAACGACGAAACGTACCAGTACGCTACGACAGAGAATTGATGAAGACCACAATTACTGCCATGAAGCGGGTCGGAGAAATCAAACAGCGCAGAGAGCGGGCGTTCTGGAAGAACAGGTGCGTGGGACACCCTCTACACAAGGCGCCGTTTGCTAACATCTGTTCCAACAGAATGGCTTTGAGCCGAGAAAAACTAAAGGCTCACCGCAAAAAGAGTATGGAAACAGCCAAGCAGCCATCTTCCACCCTGGTCGAGCCCATGGCTATCGAACCATCCGAATCGTCAAAGATACGGGAGAAAATCAAGGTCCCTTCAAAGAGCCGGAGTGCTCTCATCCAGGGCGAGGATCGGTCAATGACCATGGATATAGATTGATAGTCTTCTTATTCTCTTCTGCGTCTGCCATGTATTCCATGATTCACGTATACACTATTGATACACTATTGAAGTATTATTCTACCGTAAGGAGGTTCAATGCAAAATGCTATGAGGTAAAAGATCGTAAAGATAAAATCAGCGCTGTTTATACTTTGCCTGATTGTCGTGGCGAACATTAGGATCTAACGTGTTGTGAAGACCCAGTAGAGTCTTGCTAATAGCCTCACTGGCGCCTATCATCGGCTTCAAGACTGCGATTGGAACTGCTCTTATAACGGAACGAACGGGTCCCTGTATCTCTTGTCAGAAAACCCGCCAATTGGCGTTTTGAACGAAGAAACATACCTCGTTACCCGATCTCTCGTAGACCTCCATAGGAACAGCCAAAATGGTCTGCGCAGCCGAATTCAAGTTTCGATGCAGACTCCTGTACGCCGACTGCACTCCTTCCTTAATGTCAGCTGGCTGCTCAGCGTACTTGCTGATCATCTCCCCAGCTTCATCCCCATCACCATAACCATACTGAACAAATTCATCTCCTTGCAATGTCTCCGCCATAATAGGATTGTCGAACTGTCCTCCGAGAACTCCTTCGGCCTGCTCCAGTATGACTTGAGTTCCGGTGGCCAAACGGGCACCAAGCTTAATGGCTTCAATAGCTGTCGACTTGACAAACGCTGTAGCACCCTTTTGTACTCCTCGGACGATCCTTCCATCCTTTCTGTACTGTGCAATGGGTAAGAGCACCAGATCTGCAATGCCTGATCCAACGTTAACTACGGAACGTATCGGAGCGACGCCGGAAATGACATCAACCAACTGCGTAGCTTTGACGTCTGGTGTCCATAAGTCGTTCAAGAGGTCGAAAAGACGTGGCCAACCAGAAATCTGCATATATTGTCAGCGAGTAGCAAAGGTATATAACTGCTAACTCACCCCTGCTAAAGTTATATGTCGAAGCGTCATCTCAGAACCATCGAAGTGAAAGAAGTTCATCAACTCTATTGTCCTACCCTCCTTCAGCGCCCTATAATCAACGCGCCGGGGTTTGTAATCCATCTTGACGTCGATAGGAAATACCTCGGCCAGTTCTAGTAAGATGGTATCAAGAAGCATATTTTCTGCATAAACAGGAAGCTTACGGAAAAAAATGTCATCATCTAAATCCTGGGGTGTGGATGGCAGTGCATGAGGATCCTTGAAACTAAAGAAGCTCTTTAGGAAGTCAAGTGCGTCTTGATCCACATGCAGCCTTAGGGGCAAGATCTTTGCCTAGTGAAGTGATGAGATGACCATCAAGCTAAGTTCGAAATGAGAATTACCTTCAGTCTCGCTTCTTCTGAAGAATGCCCATGCACAGGATGTATCATGCGAAGTTCAACACGAGCCATATTTGAATCCGTTTCCCGTACGTTACCACGTGAATCGGATCGCATACTCGTCAAAAATTTATTCCAGGTCGACGTCTTCATATGATCAAGAATCTCAAAATCTCGTACAGTAGAAAAGATCCTCGACACCGTCGGTTCTTCTGGCTTATACTGGTCAACGTTGAGCTTCATGTCAGCTAACCGAAACTCGATACTAGGTCCCTTGGCACGAGTAAGTCGTTTACCATGGACTCGAGGGACCTTTGTCTGAGCTTTGTTGGCTGCCGACGGTTTGAGGGACTGCCATGAGCTTTGGCTAGCCGTCTCATAGTCGTCCTTGAGTTCTTCATCAATCGCAGCAATCAGAGCACCGGGTTCTAGCTCATCAGCGTCCTGGTCCAATCCTATGTAGACGGAATTGAAGAGTAAAGCACTGGTCTCGTCTTCCAGGCTTGTGTCCTGTGTCTGCCCGCTGGCGACAAGCTGTCTGATCTTCGCCAAACGTTTCCGCATCTCCTTCACTCCCTCTTCAATAGTTCGTCTGGTCTTGGCCCAGTCGTATCCGGCATAGAGGAAGACATTGATGTCCGCGTCGTTCAACTGAACGTGCATGACTCTTTCTCCAAATCTGGCATGGTTGTTGAGAATCGTCAACACCGGGAAGGAAGATACTTACTCCATATGACCATCTATAGGTTCAGGCTGCAAAGTGTCGAAATAGTGTTCAACCGGATGAATGCCTTCCGGACGGAGCATCTTGATGGTCTCACCGCCCACTTTTGATACAATCCCAACCCGCTGGTCATCAGGTGTCTGCGTCTCATCGGTACCCTCATCGTCAAAGTCCTCAAGGTCGTCATCCCGCAGCTCACGCAAACCTGCAGCTGCGCTGAATGATTCATCCAAGTAGTCAAGATTCGTCGGAAGGTCGTCATAAATCATGTCTGGAGCCGGTCCTACATCAGGAACGCGCTTGAACGCAAGATCGTCGATGGAAGCTATGAGACTTGTTCATGAGAGTGGAGAAGTAAATTGAGGACAGGCACTTACACATAAGATTTTGGCGACTTGATGGTTGCTCGGAGATCATAGTCGGCCTTCGTTTCAGCTTAATTTCTCTGGGTGCAGAGAATGTAAAGTGGAGGAAAGAAGATTTACATAAGTCACTTACTGCTGTTCTGTCGGAGCCTTGAAAGTAGATACAAGATCACCGACAAAAGCAATCAGCTCTCCCAAAGTATCAGCACAAAGATGCAAGCGAAGTCCAACATGATCCACGGTTACCTGAGATGCAGACGTAGATGAGCAGATACACACAGACGATCAATACCAACACACTTTGATTCCTGACCCCTGTGTCGCAGTAAAATGCACGTCAAGAGAAGCAACCTCCGCAAGCAAAGCATAACCAATTTTCTACAAGACGTCCATCAGCCAAAGACATTCTTATAGGACCATAGGACGAACCCTCCAGTAGGAGACACCATTGCGAGAACTCGAAGTAAAGTTAGGCTCAGTGATGTCAGAGGTGTCGTTGACGGCGAGTAATGCAAAGGCCGGAACACTCAAACGAAATGAGACGTCAGACGATGATCCAACAAGGTTTGTCCCAAATTCTAAATCGCCAATATGCACAACGACAGAACCTGGGTGTTTTGGCGCCACAGCATTGATCGACCCATCAGAAATTCGAATCAAAATACGGGTCCGCTCGCTTGGAATTACAGATTCAAAGGCCTGGAATCTCATAAGCAAATGTATAGATAGGGAGAATTTTGTCACTGACACCAGGAGGAGCTTTAATGAATTCAGCAATATCAGAAGTCCAACCAATATCGGGATAGAACCTGAAAGTGAATCCCCATAATGAAATTTTTATGCGGGATTCCTTCGCTGTTGTCTCCGGTATAACAAGGGAAGTAAACTGAAGGCGAAGCAGACATTGAGAGGTCGCAGTCTGATAAGAGGCGAGTCAGACTTGAAAGAGATCGCAGAGAGATGAAACTGACCAGACTCCGAGGAGCAGTCAATGATAGATATGTTTCGAAAGCATTCGAAGTATCAGCATTCTTCAAAGTCAAATCCATGACTCCCACTGTGACGACGGTTTCATCCTTGGAGAATATTAGGCTAAATGAAATTGATATCGGAATACATGTTCTCGCCTTTCCATCGGGCCTCATTTCGACCAGGATATCGACGTCAGACGCGTACAAGTCTAACGGCCGAACAGACACCAAATCCTCAGACTTCCGAGGAAGAGCTATTCGAACAAATGCTGGAAAAAAATGTAAACCTGACGTTTCCCTACTCATCACAGATTATCTTTACCTTCAGAAATCGTGATCTTCACCGCCGTTTCACTCTGTTTCGGTTTACTGGCCCTGGTGGTTGTTTCGCTACCGCTCCCACTCCTTGATTGGGTGAAAAATCTACTGCCGATGATACTTGACTTGTCACTATCGCCACCACTAGGTGCAGTTCCGAACGCCCCTTCTAACAACTGAGTGACATCATCTGCCCAATATTGCAAGCCGTCGAGTGCAGGTTTAGACATATTAACACAGACCGATGGGATGGAAATGGTCAAAGCTAGTGTAGATGTGCGTGATGACTTCGTCACGACAGCATAGGGTAGTAGAGATATGCTAGCTTCTTCATGATCATCGGAAGAAGTCAGGGGCCCAATAGATAGGAGCGCTGCGGCCTTCCCGATTGTCATCGTTGAAGAAGATATGACGATACGCCCGATCTTAAGAGCGGCAAGTACATCGCCATCAGTTGCCAGAGAAGTTGCGTCAGCAAACCTGGTGCTGGGTGGTTTCCTCGAAAGTCCATTTGCGACACGAATGTCATGCAAATCGAGAATAAGCGAACCAGAGCGAGGCGATATTCCGGTAGGAAGTGGACACCGTACTTGCAAACGAATTAGAGGCACCTCGACAACGATGTTCAGTGAAGCTCCCTGTTGTTTCCGCGGCCGACGCTTGATTATCAATGAGACTGTGCAAAACGTTTCTATGAAAAAAGCAAACCTTTCGCGCTGAGCGCTTCTGTTCAGTCCTTGGTAGCTTCTGAGCTTGATAGTCAAAATCAAGATCAAGATCTTTCAAAACTAGTTGCTCAAGCCTTCGCCTTTCCCGCTCCGCCTCCTTTTCTTTGAACCTCAGAATTCCATGACGAGGCGTAGCGGGTGGTGTATCACCTTCAGCGTCGCCAACGTCCTCGTCCTCGCTGTCATTATCGAAATGATCCTCCTCATCCAGTGTCAAAGAAGTATGAGCCGCAGTGAGTTCATCCAGGAACTCCATCACACTGCACGTTGCAAGGATTTGTCGGAGATCCACAAATACATGCAATGGGAGGATTTTTACCTCAACATCTGTTTGATGGACCTTCCTGTTCTTCTCACGTTCAGACGATGAGGGGCTCTGAGACACGAACACTACGACTGCAGGATGGCTGCTGGGATCGGACCTCTTCTCGGGTCTATGTCTGTGTTTAGTCCTCCACTGTGATAATCTCATTCCATTTAGATGATGCCTATCGTCAGTCCAATCCAAAATATCGAAAGAGGGTAAATCCGGACATTCGCCACACTTCGAGATAGGGTCCGGGTGCTGATGTGGTCTGAGATATGATTCTGGAAGATGGAAATCAGTGATCAAAATGGGCGTGGCGTAAGCATCCTGGGATAAAGGCTCGCTGGGTTGAAATGCGAATGCAGATAGTTCATCCAGGGACAGTGAAAGGGTCGATGACGTGGTAGAAGCACCATTCTTGCCCTTTAACGAGCGGGATCTCGCACCCTCCATCGAGCCTAAAGATATTTCCGCGGAAGAAGAAATACCCTCAACGTGAAATCTTACATAGCTTTGGGGTAGTCTGGGTGGAATTAAGGGCCTTTCAAAGAAGCCTGTTATCCCATTTGTCGCTAGTGCCGCATCGGGGTTGGTCGATGGGAGGAAAAGGATGACCAAACTTCTAAGATTCAAAGCCACTTCCAAGCCCATCATTAATAGCGGTGGAGACGGTGAAATCTCAACTGCTGAAGGGGCTGAAGGGTGTTGGTGTGATGACCAACCATTTGCGATGTCCATAATACTCCGTACATGCCAGGCACGGAACGAACAAGCGATGATCCCTGCCGTAACAGAAAACTTGAAGTTTTCATTTGACGCAGTATCCTCGCGCGGGTGAGAATGACCTGGAGTAGTCAATCGCAGTGAGATTGGATCAGATCCAAATGAGAGAATGATGTCTTCATCCTGCTCTGCTGGATCATTGTCTTTCGCTGGCCTGAAGTCGGGCTGGTCCGGAGATTCACCAAGGTCGGGGGCAGGAGCCTGGATATCGGCTGTGTGATCCAATTGTGTCGAAACTGCACTCTGGTACATGCTACTAGTCACCGAACTTGCTGGAGAGGCAGTTCGAGGCGGTAGAAAGGCGAGGGATTGAGTCATGGCAAGTTGCGTGTCTTCGTCCAGTGACGAAGAAGATGAGGTTGGGGACGGACATCGAGGTGTACTAGATGATGACTGAAGCGTACTAGTAGGGGAAGACACTGGTCGGATAGATGTGGAAGACAAGGACATATCGAATGCTGGCCGAAGATTACGTGCGGAAACTGTGATACCATTGATGGATACGGACCGCACCTTCCCATCCTCCTCATCGTCCGACCTGTCTTCTGTACGATAGCGTATGTCTGAGATAGATAAAGTGAGACTCGTGCGACCTGGCAGTATGAGGGTTATCTTGGTATTTGCTGCATCGAATTCGAACCTCGCAAGGAGGCGTTCGATTAATACTGCAAACATGGAGACACCTGCTGGATCGATATCTGGCAAAGCATCCTCATATTCTGGGGATGTTATGAAAGGATCGAGACCACCAGGGACACTGGGATCGTCGGTGGCGGAGAGTTCGGAGTGAAATGATTCACGCAACTTGAACTCTTCCCTAGGGGTCAATTCATCGTGAATGAAGGTTTCCGCCACTGAAGCTACCGAAGCAACCGAGTCGGCGAGGTTGGTGGTATTTGATGTATGTTTAGACGAGGGCAAGAGAACGAATGTTAGATGAAGGGAGTTGAGAGAGAAGCCGACTGCAGAAGTCAAAGGATTCGGCCAGGGAATCCTAGCAATGACGGAACCTATGCGACCATCACGCAACTCGATCGGCAGACCATTCAAGAGCTCGTTGACAGCCTAGACAATGCGTCAAGCTTTTGCAACCGTCGATACTATAATGTCACGTACTTGATTACTCAACTCCAAGTCAGCAACCTGAACATATCCTGATCCAATCTGAGAATCTACTTGATGCACATCCAATTGACCGGGATTGAGGAAGTGTCCAAGAGTCTTTTTGAGCAGAAAGGATAGGAATCGACTCTGGATACTCGTTGGGAGGGAAATGTTGATTGCTGGAAGCTCCGGGAGCCAGGATGTGAACCAAGACATTGCAGGGGTAAAGGACATTGCAGGGTCGGAGCTGGTGGACGTTACAGGGCTGCACGAGATAGCACTGGCATGGGCCGTTGTCGATACCCTCGGACGCACACGTTGTCGGTGTACGAGCTAGGATGCAACGTGGATGAGGTTATTTGCAGTGCAATACAGCAATTGCAAGGATACTGGATCAGGGGAGGCTGCACCAATTTGGATAGAGGCCGAGCGATCACGTGCAATCAATTAGGAAATACACAAGTTACTCGGCATACATATCATTCAAGGGGACAAGCAAAGGCTCTGCTACAGATTCCCTTTGCTTTGCTACATCTCCCATTTCAATGTCCTCTTTTATATGTCCTTCAGACGACAGAAACACGGAACTCTCAGCCTCCATGTCGTCCATAGCTTCCCATCCCTCATCGTCAAAATCAGGTACTGAGCTTGGCCCACTGTCTCCAAATTCGTGCCACAACTCCTCGTCCTCGTCCATTGCCAATATGCTTGTGGCTTCTCCTCTACGTTCATCTGCATCCATCTGCGCTTCACGTATGAGCGAGTCCTCTTCATCGGGGCCTGACGATACCCCAGGTGAAGACGGTGGCCGAGTGGGAGGAGCAGGTGACGATGAAGCGTAGTTTGCGACTTCTGATTCATTGCCATTGTCAAGCGTGTCTTCGTCCTCAGCGGTGGGTTTGTTCACACCCATGACCTCGTCACGCCAGCTGGTCATGTGAGACTGGAGAAAAGATTACTTCCAAGCCCATTGTTATAAAGAGCGCGACGGACATGCATGACTTTGGAATGACAGAGCTTCTCTATCTTTTCTACCGTATCCTTGAACTGAGTCTTGGGGAACATCCGCTGTGTCCAGTACTGATACCGTTGTAGCAACCGATTAAGATCCATTTCCTATAATATCCACAGTAATTCAACGAAATGAACCAGAGAAAATGTAACAAAGACGGCACCTCGTGTCCCTTTCCCTTAATCTTGAAATCCTTCGTGTCCTTGATCAGCTGCGGAAATCCAGATGGACCCACCAACAAGGCTTCATTCAGCTTTGCAACCTTGTTCTTTTCCTTCATCTGCTGCTTGTCATCTTTGCCCTTTTCTTTCCCCTGATCGCCCAAATCGCGAGACGGTGAACTGCTAGGCAGCACCTCGTGCGGCGTCATCGGTGTTCGTGGCACGGGGTTGTTCTTGTACTTTTCTGCAATCTTCCGCCTCTCCTCTTCGACGTCAAAGCTCTTTTCCTCTGATAGTTTGAAAAGGTCGGCGTCGTTGAATATCTTGTTGACCTCGTCGGCATCACCATACATGTCAGGAACGAGGGGAGATTTACTGGGAGAACCATCTTCGCTGCCTTGATAGAAGAGCGGGGCGGCACTCCGAGGCGGCGTCGTCGGGATGAGTTCGTCGACGGGATTGTCGAAGAGGTCCGCCATTAAGACGCGTTCATTACGTAACGTGGTGTCCAGCTGGCTGGAGACAAATAACCCCTGTCTTGCCTTAAATCTTGCAGATTCCTCTAGTATTCCTCATTCGCCTATGTAATCTACCTCCTCGACCTTCTTGCCAGGGGGGTGACCGTATCATATGAATATGAACCTGCTGCTGGACGAAAAGATTGAGGAACAAGGTCTCTTTCATTATTTAATTAGCTTCATTCGTCCAAGCTCTCATGATAACGAGATCCAACACCCTTGTAATTTTTTTCTTATTTTTTTGGTCTCTTCGGAGCCCGGTCCGGCGTGAACACCTTTAGCACGTACGGTCATTATGGCTTCTTCCCCGCAGCCTGACCTGACTGACGGAATCGAATACTGGTCATCCCAGCCAGCAAGCCTTGATGGTGTCCTGGGAGGATTTGGGACTGGCGTATGTCGTAGCCATCCCTTGAGAGCATCATCTGATTTCTTCCTTCCCAGGCTCTACCACGCGTCGATGCCTTGGGATCACGCTTATTCCTTCTTCACCTATTCCCAGAGCTATCTACGGTTGACTCTGCTTTCAAACCGACAAGTAAAGCACATTTATCCCGCCGAATACGTGCGCTGGATGTGGGGGCAGGTATCGGCAGAGTCACCGCCGATGTTCTGCTCTTCCTCGTCTCCGATGTCTTGTTACTCGAACCGGTGACTCCTTTTATCCAGGAAGCACTTGGGCGGGCGAGACACGCAGCCAATACACCTCAGAAAAATTGGCGCGGGCTAGCAGACAAAAATACAAGCGTTACATTCGTTCAAGGCACTTTGCAGGACTTTGACCCAGCTCATCCGCTTGCTAATCCACCGGCAAAATTTTTGCAACGGCTTGGTTACTTCCCTGAGACGCCGCTTGAGGATGTTGATAGCGGATTTGACGTGATATGGTGTCAGTGGTGTCTGGGTCATCTAAACGATGCACAACTTGTTGAATTCTTCAGACGAAGCCATGTGGCCCTAAGAGAAAAGGACAGGGGCAGGAGCTTCATTGTGGTGAAGGAAAATGTGTGCTCTGATGACGCAGATGGCCGTCCCAAGTCTTCGTTTGATGATCAGGACTCGTCCTTGACGAGGTCAGACTTGTCTAGTCTTTCTTGGCAGCAGACTGACCGTCCGAACGACAGATCTGATAGCGCATGGAAAGCCGCATTTATGCAAGCGGGCCTGAGGCTGGTGAGAGAACAGGTCCAAGAGGGATTACCTGAAGGACTGTATACCGTAAAAATGTTGGTTGTTCCTTCTTTCGCCTCCGAAACATTCATGCTCATTAGATTTTCTTAGGTATGCTCTCCGATAAAAGCGTAATGATTCTTCGGAGCCGCGAAGCTGTTTGATGTAGAAGAAGCAGTGTATAAAAGGATATATCGTCACATTAAAAAATACAGGCAAATGAAAAGGGGAAAGCCCAAGCATCGCGGGAGTAGTAAATACAGTAACTCAGCATCCTATAAAAGCCAAAAAAAAACTACTCCATCCGACTCCCTGCGACTGGACGTCCGTCAACTAACATAGCATCGGTGAGACTATGCCTCCGCTTCACCTCCGCCCTCTCGCTGATATTCGGAAAGGCCGTTTTAAGTACTGAATCTAGCTGAGGCCAGATTTCATCAGACGTCTTCCCCGAGAGCGTCTTGAGCACGAGCTGATGCAGCGGCATCATTGGGAATGAGAGCTGGTGCGGGTGCTGATGCGAATTTCGCGCAGGTTCGGAGTTAGTCGCATTTGTAGTATAATACGATAAGAGGGGGGAAGTAGTGGAGTAGAAACTGTCTAGCCGCCTTGCGAAGATTTCCTGGGAACAAAGGATCAGGAAAGTGATTGAGAAGGAATGGAAACGGGACGCGAACGGGATTGTCATCTGGTCTTTTGGTCAGGGGTTCCCCTGTTTCGTCATCAAAGCCATCGACCGTGGGTCGGTTGTATGATGTGTTATAGACGCGTCCGGACGGCAGATGCACCCAGCGGTCGGAAATGCGGCTGAGAATGACCTGGTCAGGGACATCGAGGTTCACGACGAGGCTCAAGGGCGTTCCTTGTTTTCTGTTCGCGGTTAGATTTAGGGTAATGATAATGCAGCAGACGAGAAGCATACTTGAGATGGGCATCTAGAAGTTCACCCTGGCCCAGTGTTCGTGGGAAGCCGTCCAATATCCAGTGCTGCCCAAGTCGTTAACAATGAGGACGACAAGCACGAGGCAGGACAGTTACCCTGTTGTGCAGAAGATCCAGCTTGCTAGTGACGACCCTGAGCATGACTTCGTCGGGAAGTAGCCCACCCTGCGCAACAATGCCCTCTGCCTGTCGGCCGACCTCAGTTCTGTGGTGCAATGAGCAAAGCACCGGCGATGACGGCGAGGAAAAAGACGTACCTCTCCTGAATATGCTGCCTCAACAGATCTCCCGCCGAGATAGACAATATGTCGTACTTCTTCACCAGCCGCGCCGAGAGGGTGCCTTTCCCAGCTCCCGGTTTGCCAAACATGAGCATCCGGAGCATCTTTCCATTACGCCTAAGGTCCCGTTCACGGTTCTCTTGAGCAGCGGCACGAAGGGTGTTGAGGAAGAACGGCAGTGCCTTCCGAGTCGGGACCGTCGACGAGAGGAGTCTCTTGGTCACTGTCACCGTCGCTGAACGCGGTCTCGCGACTGGGAAGGACAACATGAAGACTGGAGCGGGGTAGGCGGGGAAAGAAATTGGGACAAGTAGTGTTGGTAATAAATAAATAACAGACGGTAAAGTTTGGGGCAGCCCCTGAGTCAGCTAGCTTACGGGGAGGCCTAGGCCAGGTGATCGAGTCAAGTCCGAATGTTGCTGTACAGCCAAATAAGAGTTAGATGTAATTGGCAGAAATTTATTCAGTGTGCTCCATTCAATGATCCGTCGCTAGGTGTAGCCATCCATCCTATCATTTCTCGCATCTCCCTTACCCCAACTGCCCCACTAACTGCATCATTCTCCAGCGCCACACAGACTGCCTCGGCAACATGGTCGACATGGATGGGTGGAATGGTGAGAGCATTCGACATGCTGTTCGTCACTTCTGGTACTGCCAATGCAGACCCTATCGAACGAAGTACACTTGAGGGCGTCGGGATCCCGCGAGGAACCTTGGAATGCATGACAGCGGAAAACTCAAGGAGCGCCGCAAATGGTGTGCTTAGGGGGCGAAAGTGCGCATGATAGACGAGACCTATATAAAAGGGAGGACGTTGGTGGTAACACCTACAAAAAGTGGCACGTACTGGGTCGAATGTAGACACCACGGAATTGGCCAGGTTTCTGAGACACAAGGCTGTCGATTCCTGCTTCTGCTTCGCGTTTGGTTTCAATGTATCGGGCGGGAATAATGGGTCGAAAAATATCCTCTGCTGATATGTATACGAACGGACGACGTGAGAGGCCCTCTGCTGGCCCGGAATTCACAAAAGCTTCACAAACTCGGAGCGCTAGCAGGAAATGAGAAGCGAAGCGAAGCATACTGGAGCGTACTAACCAGCATCACGGTTGAGGCTCTCGTACCCGCTAGTCGTCTTCTTCTCCAAGGGGTTCTGCGAGCCAATCAAACTCCCCACTAGGCCGGAAAGGCTCCCTTCGTTTACCGCGGTCTTGTATTTGCCGTCGTCAAGGAGCGTCCCAAGCGTATGCACTACCCCGTTGGCGTCCTGCAGAGCACCTGCAAACGTTGACGGGTCATGGGCCGTGCCCTGCAACCACATCACCTACACTCGCATGCGGTCAAGGTGTCGTCTTCGTGAGAAAACGAAAGAGAGCGACTTTCTTTTTCTGTCCATGTTGGGCTGTGGCCCTTGGGCGTACGGTATGGGCGCCCAGACGAGCTACAGGTGTGTGTCAAGTTGAGCCTGAGCGCGATTACGGATAACGAACCTCACAGACGTGACCTGCATGCCCTTTGCCAACGCGGCGCGACAGACTGCAGAGCCTATCAATGCAAAGTCTCATTAGTGGCATTTTTTGATGCAGCTTGTTCGCCTACCGATGAAGCCGTTCCCTCCGACGACGAGGATTTTTTTCAGGGCGACACCGCTCATCGAGGATGACAAGATCGGCAAATGCCGGTTTGGGAAATGGGCGTTCATTTGTCCTGCCCAGTCCCGGGTCTGGAGGAGAATCTGTCAGCAAAATATAATAGCAATAATTAATAATTTGAATAAATGCACTTTGAAACACGGTTCCAACTCACCGTCGTGCACACCGACGCATCCACGGTCCCACGCCTTCCGATGTCCGTCCCACTAACTTGCAAGTTACGTCGATCACACATCAAAGGCAAGATCCGTCAACAGATTCTATTACCCAGCGCAGTATGATCGACATTACAAGCGTAAATAGGTACCAGCAGGAACACAGTTCCCAACCCCACCCTCGAGTCCCGCCAAGATGTTTACAAAAGAAATCAAGTAAAAATTATTCTTGTCTGTGGTGGTTGCAATACGACGAGCAAATGATGGGATAATGTAAACCCAAATAAAAACGAGAACATGAAAGTGCAACATAGAAACATCAATAATAAATTCGACACTGACGAATAAGAATGATAATATCAATGCCAGGAGCAAAACCACCGTAGTAGTCAGTGTTCCTGACACTTGTCGTGAAACCCCGTATCAATCGTATATGGTAAATGAAAAGCCTTAGGCCCGCGCCCTTCACTCATAAGAGTGAAAGACGTTAAGAAGAGAAAGGTCCTGGCTGACCTCTGGGTATATATGTATGAACAAGGCCAAGCGATTGACGAGAGGCACGGTCTTAAACCGCGGGGAGCGTGAACGTGACTGGAAAGGGCATGAGAGATTCATGCAACCAAGACAAATGGGAGAGCTCACCAGGGAAAGTACCATCAGACTCGTCAGCAAGAGCGTCAAAGGTACCAGTAGAACAATCAATAGAAGCTCCTCCATCATAACAACCTGGGCACGTATCCGCAATGACAGCGTCGACGGTCTGTAAAGGTGTTGTTGGCCTACAGACATCCATTAAATGATTATGACAAACCTTTCCATTGGCAGTGTTGGTAAGGGTGATCGTCTTACCACACAGAGCCGAGTTCATGACAATGGCAGCTGGTCATAGTGGAAGATTCTGGTCAGCAGGGAATCCATCGTACAAATGTGTAACTTACAAACAGCCACGATCTTGTCGGAATCAGCATGAACCTAAGATACCAGTGTCTGAGTAACATCTTGGGTAAAGTCGAAAAAAACTTACTTGGCCACACGAACCGGCGACACCATACTGATAATAGAAGGTGCCTCTGTAAAGCAAATTTAAAGGAAGAAGCTGATTATATACAAGAACACTCACACGCCCCCCGAGTAGAAAGTTCCGCCGGAACTAGACGAAGACGACGAGCTGTCTGAAGACGCATTGGAAGTGCCCGTCGATGCGGCAGTGGAGGAAGAGGAAGTTGACGTTTCTTGGGTCTGGGTGTTCTTTTGGGCCTGCTCCTGCGTCGAGGAGGTGGTGGGATCCGGGGTCCATGTGCTCTGGCTCTCTTCACTTGACGACGTCGTCGCGGCAGTCCAAGTATTCGTGTCCTGAGTCCAGGTGTTATCCTGGGTTACAGGCATGCTAGAACTGCTGCTAACGCTAGAGCTGGAGCTGGAGCTGGAGCTGGCAGCCGGGGTCCATGTACTGGTAGCCTGAGGCAACTCCGAGGAGAATGAAGAAGTAGTGGCGGGTACGTAAGTGGCAGAGGAAGAAGCTTCGTCATCACAGTCGTCATATTCACTGTCATCATCTGAAGTATCTGTCGAGGTGGCCTCTACGGCGCTGGCGGACGAAGAAGCAGACACTGAAACAGAGCAGTACGAGGGACGATTAGCAGCAACGGTCTCATTAGCCTTTGGAATGAGCAGATTAGCTCTGATGTGATTACGAGGAAGACACGACGTACCAACAGGGGATGACAGCAGTCATCGAAGAACTGGGTGTCGTGCTGGTTCTGACAACCAATGGCGAGATACCGTGCGTGATAAACATCATAGGGCTCGAGGTAGCCCTCGGCATAGCCGGCAGGCTTTGTCGAACGAACTACACGGTGCAGACCATGAAGGCTGCTACGAGGAAAGTGGGGCGTGGCCTGGACAGCGGCAATGGCGACAAGAGCAACGGTGGCGAGGGAAGCGAACATTCTGGGCGGCAAGTAAGGAATGAGAGGTCAGAGAATGTATGCGACGACAATAAAGTCGTGGAATAACTGCCGTCGATTATTAGTACGGTTTAGGAAGAGCGATGGCGAAAGACGTACAAGGGTACCGTAGGGAAGGTCGGGCAGAAGGAGGGTGATGCAAAGGCGCAAATTTTCAACTACCTTGTGCTTCAGTTTATATACTTGGCTTCGATCATGCCGAGATCGGCCGTGGACCCACGCGTTTTCCCTCGATTTGATTCTATATCAGGGTTAAAACGTGTCAAAATTCGTGCCCGATTACCAAATGCACCTTGGTCCGAGGGACGATTGAAATTGATGGCTACCAGTGGTTACGCTATAACATCCCTCCTACAGCAGGCCTCGAGGCTTGCGTTAAGTAGGTATCCATGCGAGATTTTGCCATGTTGTAAGTTCCATGAGAAAACGGACGCTCTATTCTGGCGGCATGAATGCTCGAGGCATCCGTCGGATTTGCCTCGTTCCCGATCCTCCCTCCATCTGATCGATGCAAATTTTAGCGCCGATGCTCAGGCAGTGATTCGCGCGGACGGGTCGGATGCTGTGCGCGATGCAGCATCGGTTGACGCATTCGAACCGTGGCGGCCGTCGGCATCCACGTGGCCTTGTTTGTTCCCTCTGGTGCAAACACGTACTGTTATTGCTCGGGGTTAGGGTTAACTGCATACTTCCATTTGACACCATCCTGAACATGAGTGCATCTATTTCTGTTCCTTTATTATTCTCCCCGTACTCACCTTTCGTCAGGCTACGCTCAGAATCCGTTTGCCTCCACCCATTCCCTGGACACAAATCCATTCGATGACCCGACTCCACCGCAGTCACAGAGTACTGACACTCGTTTGGAGGAGCTGCAACAACGCGAGCTCGACCTAGAGCGACGCGAACAGGAACTCAATAGAAAGGCTGAGCATATAAGGCAGCATGGCAAGAACAACTGGCCGCCTTGTTAGTTTTCTCTGCAGTCGTCTTTGTTCCTCTGACTTCCACGTACTTCCAGTTTTTCCCTTGATTTTCCATTCTATCCCGGAAGAAATACCGGAGGCATCGCAGCCTCTTATAACCCGTCTATATCAGCTATGGCTGGTGCTTCTTGGCACACTTGTCCTCAATATGATCGCCTGTATTTTCATCCTTATTGCTGGTTCCTCTGATGGTGGGCGCGACGTCGGCGCCAGTATAGGGTGAGTCCCTGTGCTTCCTCTGCCGTAACTCATGTTCACCTTGCGATTCCCCGCAGTTACTTGTTCGTAATTTCCGTCACCTCCTTTCTTCTCTGGTATCGGTATGTGTGTCCGCAGTCCTTCGATGGCGCCTCTCTAACCGCCTCGCAAAAGCCCGATTTACAACGGTTACATGAAGGTGTGTGTCTCTGCCAGTGCGTCGTCGCATAATCTCACGCGATTACAGGAACAAGCCTTGTATTATTGTGTGTACTGTATAATCTGCTTTTGTCAATAGTGTCTTATGCTTTCTTAGACCTTTACTTCTTCTTTGGCGGGTTCCATCTCCTATTCAGCATCTACATGTGAGTCACTCTGCCCAACTTGGTGCCCGAAACTTATTGCCATGATAGGATCATCGGAGTACCTAGGTAACCGACATGTTTCTCGCCGAGTTGCACTGCGTCTCATTTCTCCTCGCAGCACTGGTTCTGCTGGCCTTATCCAGACGATTCAGATGTTTGTAAACCACCACTGGGTAGCTGCAATCTTGGGCTTGGTGGCTACAATAGGCTGGATCATTCAAGGTGTCGGTAATGCCTTCTATTACCGCCAGGTAAAGTTCGGTTTTATGTGTTATTTTTTGCGACTTACCTCAATCGACCATACAGATCTATGCACACCACACTGTCGCAGGGCATACTATGGAGAAGGCAAGATTTTTCGCCTCGTGTCCCTGCACCGCGCTGACTTTCTTTAGGCCAAAACGGAGCTGGCCTCCCACGGCGCGAAAGCATACTTCACACGGGGTTGAGTTGCGCCCCTCAGTTGCAAGCTCGAGCGTCTGTTCCTTATCTTGAATTATATTCTGGAGCATGTACTGTTTGTTCTTAGAAGTAAAAATCTATTGGACTTTGTATCATTGTACTTTGGTCAAAGGCTGATGTGTTTTTATCCGTGGCTGGCCCAAGAAGGCAAATGATCAATGCGTTGTAGCTGAGTTTGAAATTTGAATTGCTTTGAATCGAAAAGCGGTCCTTTGTTTTTCTTCATCCACCATCATCTAAAGGTCAGTACGTCCTTGTCGTCGTCCTCGTCCTCGCTGATGCAGAATTTTACCTCCCCTTTCAGCTAAAAAGCCGATAAAAAACATAAAAAACCTTTTTTTATCCACAAGCGGTTGTCTTGTTGCTCCTCCTGTGTATGTCCTAATCGTTGACTCCTCTACTTTTCGTTGACCTCAAAAGCAGTCGCAGAAAAGTTCATATAGCAGTAACGACCCCCCAATTCCCATAAAAAGCCCAAATTTTATTTGTTTGGAAAAAGAAACTTTCTGTCATGTCCACTCCTGCTGTCGTCGAAGCCGTTGCACCCGTTCCCGAAGTAGCCCAGCCTGCTGTTGTAGCTATGGCATCTCCAGCGCCCTCCGCTCCAACTTACGCCCCCCAGACGACTTCGTCGGCTCCGAGTGCTTCACTCTATGTTGGAGAGCTAGACTCTACTGTCACGGAGGCTATGTTATTCGAGATCTTCAATATGATTGGCCCTGTAGCCAGGTTCGTCGATTTTTTGCCGTTATATGCGCCGTATAGGATCTCAAATTATGCCCGAATTAGCATCCGTGTCTGCCGTGATGCTGTTACACGTCGCTCCCTTGGCTACGCCTATGTTAATTATCTCAACACTGCTGATGGTGTGTACCTCCGTGGTCTACTATTGAAGTGGTCTAAATTAATGCATTCTTCTAGGTGAGCGCGCTCTCGAGCAGCTCAATTATTCATTGATCAAAAACCGCGCATGGTCCGTCTGAGTTGATTTTACCTAGCTTGGTCTGAATAATAGCACCTTTAGCCGTATCATGTGGTCTCAGCGTGACCCCGCCCTTCGCAAGACTGGTCAAGGCAACATTTTCATCAAAAACCTCGACGAGTTGATCGACAACAAGGTGTGTATTGATTATCTTCGTCGACAGAGTGCGATTGTTCAACAATGGCGTTGCAGGCTCTTCATGACACCTTTGCTGCTTTCGGGAATGTCCTGTCTTGCAAGGTCGCTACCGATGAACAAGGCCGATCCAAGGGATATGGTTTCGTGCACTATGAGACCGCTGAGGCTGCAGAGAGCGCCATCAAGGCCGTTAATGGCATGCTACTTAATGACAAGAAGGTTTACGTAGGGCACCACATCTCTCGCAAGGTACGTCTATCTCCTTTGACTGAGATTCTGTTTAATCAGTGATCGTCGCAGGAACGCCAATCCAAGCTTGACGAGATGAAGGCCCAATTCACCAACCTCTACGTCAAGAACATTTCTTTCGAAGTCACGACCGAGGAATTTGATAAACTCTTCCAACAATTTGGAGCGGTTACTTCTGCTGTGATCCAGGCCGATGACGAGGGCAAGAGCAAGGGTTTCGGATTTGTCAATTTTGAGACCCATGAAGCTGCTCAGAAGGCTGTCGAGACCCTTCATGACACTGAGCTCTACGGTCAGAAGTTGTTCGTCTCCCGTGCACAGAAGAAGGCAGAACGGGAAGAAGAGCTGCGCAAATCGTACGAGCAGGCTAAGATGGAGAAGCTTAGCAAGTATCAGGGTGTCAACCTGTACATCAAGAATTTGGAGGACGACGTCGATGATGACAAGCTTCGTGCCGAGTTCGAGCCTTTCGGTACTGTCACGAGCTGCAAAGTTATGCGTGATGACAAGGGAACTTCTAAAGGCTTTGGCTTTGTGTGTTATGCATCTCCCGATGAGGCCACCAAGGCCGTCGCTGAGATGAATAACAAGATGATTGGTTCGAAACCCCTGTACGTCTCGCTTGCTCAGCGCCGTGAAGTTCGCAGGCAGCAATTGGAAAGTCAGATTGCTCAGCGAAACCAGATCAGGATGCAACAAGCTGCAACTGCTGGTATTCCTGGAGGGTATATGAATGGGCCCATGTACTACCCGCCTGGTCCTGGGTATCCTCCTCAGGGTCGTGGTATGATGGGATATGGTCAGCCTGGAATGTTGCCACCCCGTCCTCGCTATGCTCCCGCCAATGGGCAGGTTCCTGGTATGCCCCTCCCTGCGCCTTTCGGCCAACCACCCCCGCAGGGCTACGGCATGCCAGGCTACCCTGGAGGCGGTCGTGGCGGTGGACCTCGTCCTTCTGCAGGACGCACCTCCCCTCCCATGCCTGCTGCGCCTCTCCCCCGCGCTAATGGACCCCCGCCTGTCAACGGCGCTGTTCGTCCTCCTGGTCCACCTCAAGGCCCGCCCCGCCCGCCCGCGGCAGTCCCTGCCCCCGCTGGCCGTGCACCGCCTCAACCACAGGGTTATAAGATTAACCCTCAGACTCGCAACGCTGGTGCAGCTGTTCAACCCGCTCCTCCCGTTTCTGACGCTACTTCTGCACTTACCCAAGCTGCTCTTGCGAGCGCGTCGCCGATGGAACAGAAGCAAATGCTCGGTGAGGTGATCTACATGAAGATTGCATCGTATGTTTTCCGTGGTTTGTCAGTGACGAAGATGCTCATTATCCTTTCCTAGTTCTCAGCCAGAATTGGCCGGCAAGATCACTGGAATGTTACTCGAGATGGACAATGCCGAGCTGCTTCACTTGCTGGAGAACAACGATGCGATGAACAGCAAGGTCAATGAAGCTCTGTCTGTTCTCCATGATTACACTGTCAAGGAGGAGTAAGCTAGGGGCTGCCATGGTATATTTTGGACCACTTTTGGATCCGTCCTTTCGTTTTTGTTTGATGTCAATCGCCCCTGCACTCGCCCGCTTTGATACGTTTTCATTGATCATCTTGACTGTCCTTGTCTTGATCCATCTTGTACATCATCGTCATATGCTGTCCTAGGGTTTGGATATGTGTCGTTCCTTCCGTGTGTACTTTTTAGACAGGAACAGAGGTGAACAACTGCTTTATGATTACGACGTGTGATATTGGATTTCAGGACACCACCACCACCACCGCAAGTGGTGGGTTGCTGATGCATTATTAGGCAGAACCTAAGTAACGGTATATGGTCCGTAAGTAGATAATAAATGCATATGATACTTTATAATGACGAGCTACAGGCGCTTCGAGGCGTGGACAATGTTGATACGACATGATAAGTTTACAGAAGGGTGGTATAGGTCGTGTTGGGCATCCGCTACGAGGCTTCTAACTGTCGTCTCCGGAAGTCCAACAGTAAGAAAAAAGGGACGTAGGGCCGGAAGCAACAGCTCGTAATCCATCCATTGCAGCTGTCCAACAGTCAAAGCTACAGGCTCTAGAATAATCGTCAATATAAATTGTTGTTATTGGGAGGCTGAAAAAGGGCTCACCCCTAGGCCAAGAACCGACTGGAATGTTGCCTTCCCGTCTAACAATATTTTCAAACATTCCGGTAGAGACAAGCAGATCTGCCATGCGTTGCGGGACAGTAGGGTCTATTCTCTGGCGACGGAGGCAAGTATGATATGTTTCCCAAAAGGTGAACCAGCCCGATGCGTCGGGTTGAGAGGAGACAGCTGGTGAAGAGGGATCAATGGTTGGGGTGAGGTCTGGTTCTATAAGAATGACCAGACCGCCAGGGCGGAGCAGACGCGAGACTTCACGCAAGAATCGAGGGTAATTATGTATCTGCAAAAACGAGGTCAGATCGTGACTTGGGAAATAGGGCGCCTGAATTTACCTACCCCCATAAACATCGAGCGAGCATGAATGAGATCGAAATAACCGTCTGGGTAAGGAATGGATCGTTGGTCCAAGTCACAAAGTTCAAAGCTGCAGGAAAGAGGGAGAAGAGGGAAGTTTAGGACACGACATGACGGCGCAGAGACCGATATTTCTCACGTGCAGTTGGGCGGGACATCGCTATTGGTGCTGGTGAGCACAGAGGCGACGAATGTGGATTTCTGAGAGGCATACCGGGGCTGAATTGGGGCCAAGTCGATACCAATGACTTCTGCGCGAGGAAATTCGTCTGCCATTTCTATGGCCCTGAACAGAAAAGAAAGCAGGAACCTCGTCAATCCCCCCTCTACGGTTGATCATTGGATGCAGACGAAAATAAGCATACCAAAGACCCCCTCCTGTTCCTAAATCAAGAACTAGACGGATCATCAGGCCTGTGAATTCGATTTTCGCTGATGAACTGACCTCGACGCTGTTGTCCGAACTGCAAGGCTTCTCTTACGGGACCGACATAATTTTGGCCGCCAAACACGAACTTGAGCATCCGATGGTGGTATTCAGAACGCTGGACGGCAGGACGCGTAAGATAAAAGAGGTAGGTGTGAAAGTGAGTGGCTTGCCTTGACTTCGTCGCGATCGGAGCTGGTATACACGTGAGGGGGTAGATGAATAACGCGTAAGGGGGAGAAGAGGACGCACGGAAGCAAATAGGACGTGTTCAAAGTGTTCAGCGATCGACCATGTACATGGCGAAAGAATTCAGAGTCGTCATCTCCGACATACGTTAATTCCTCCCCAGTTGGAGGGACAGGCTGGCGCAACATACATACAGGAGGGAGATTTTACATACTTTCGCGCCTGTTTAAACAAGTCCTTTTGACCCTCCGACTCGGGAAAATGCACAGGCTTCGATTGGGACCACTTGAGTATATTGTCACGTCACACTCGGCCTTTCTGTTAGGCTTTGTTGCCGTTATTGGCTGATGAGAACAATTCACGCTATTCGGGGGCGTTGTGGCAGGAGAAAAGAGGCGAAGACACACTAAGAAGACAAATGTACGGTCTAGATCTCAAGCATTTGTTTTTTGATGTCGAAGAGTCCGGCGAAGCCTCCCAGTCCTATATTGAACTTCATTATTGACAGGTCGTTCTGTTCCTCGGATGCTCACTTCTCAATACACACTCGGAGGCTAATTATGCGCGCGATGGAGCAGTTTGTGATCCTCATGACTTGGCGGCGGGCATGTAAAAAATCTTACAACTTGAGATCCAAACAATGACGAAGAGACTAGTCGGTCTGCCCTTAAGGTCCAAATTGCGGCGTTGTGAACTGTTATTGAACATGCTTTATGTCATGCACAAATACTGTCCGTGTGGACTCCCCATGCCACCCGCGGTTGCTACTAGCACTTACTAAGAATCTGCCTCCAGGATCGACCACTATTCGCATTGTGAGCCAGACAGATCCTATCGGAAAAACACCAAAGAAGGGACCCACAAAGATTAGAGATGTACCCTCCGTGGTGGCCCGGTATGATCTTGAACTGCATCCCAGCCTTGGGTCTGCCAGAGTCAGATTCAACAACATCCACGTTCCACAGACGCAGATTATCGATGGACGCGCTGTTCCGAAGTCAAGGCATCTCTTGCTCGTGTCCAGGTACGAGACCACTTACCAGGCGATATGTTTGTTATCTGGAAAGGCGACGACACATGAAACTACTCCGGAGCTTGGTGGGTTTCTCAGGGTTTTCAGAAGCCTGGGGGTGGAGGTAGGACCCGAACGACCAAGCTGGCGTACATCCCAGACGTCAACGGTCCCGTTACGCCTTCCGGCATATATTTGGCCGCCGTCCGCAGACCAGCATGCCTGTGACGGAATAATATGTCAAAATCAATCTGTGCCCTTCCGGAGCCATAGCATAGCATCCGCACCGACAAGCACCAGGGTGGAGTCTTTTCATTCATCCAGAGTCTCCCTACTCCTGCGCCCGCCCCGTTCACTCTTTTGTCCCAAACGATCACCTGGCCATCTATAGACGCCGTCAATAAAATATCCGCCGAGAATTTTATATAGCTCTCAGGATCGAGCAAGGGGGGCGCATTCTTGGAGGGTGCTATTAAGCCGAAATTGGGACGCGGGGGTTGTTGGGGCTGTTGGGGCTGGGCTGGCGGAGGAACAGCTAGTCCCGTAGCCCCGTTTGCCGAGGCTCGCCATTTGTTTTGGGCCCTGCCCTGCGTATCGTTCTCCGGTTCGTCGAAGAGGTCATCGAAAGATCCATCTGATTGAGATGGTGAATCAGGTGCAGATGCAGCTGGTGGCACGGGTTGTGGCGCCATCGCAGGTGCCGATGCAGTGGTACCTTCGTCTGGTAAAGTTTCGGTTTCGGGCCGGGTGATGGCTGCAGGTCCTGCCTCTGCAAATACCGCATTTGTCGGCCGCACCGCAACTCCTGTGAGCTGGGCACCATGAGACGTGAAGTTTCTTATCTTCTGGCCTGTATTAAGGTCCCACAGCTGTTGAAATCCGGTTCACTACGTTCCGGATTCCAGTCATGCAACGACTTACAAGCGCGTCACCATCCCATCCAGCACTGAAGAATCCCTTTTCATCATGGTCTAGAGATAGCGCAGATACGGGCCCGCGATGACCACTCATGACATGACATAAACGTCCAGGATCATGCCTCACCGTATACAGGCTGATGGGGCCAGACTGTTGCTTGCTCGTTAGTGAGGCGAATTTGGGAGAAAAATGGAAAACGCACGTCGCTTCCCGCAAGAGCCCACAGCGCGTCTGAATGCATCGCTAAACAATATACCGGCGACAACCCTGTCTCATCCTCGGCCGAAGCAGTCGACACGTCTGGAGGCGTTGGATTCTCCCACCAGAAACGGAGCTGCCCAGATTTCATGATTCCCTCCACAACACCAGAGTGATGTCTTTGTGGCGCCGTCAGGAAGTTCTTTCCGTTAAGCGCCGTAAAAATATCGTAGTCACGGATATAACCATCATCAGATCCAGTGAGAAGATGCGTCATGCAGTGAGAAGAGGCGAGTGCATGGATGGGAACCGGGTGGGGTATTGCACATACAGCCTCGACGATACATGTACGATAAATGGGTACGTCAGAGCCTCTCGGATAGTAGAGAGCTCTTTTCCGAGCTCGGGCAGGCGAAAGAGATCGCTTGCGAACCAAGGGTGGTGAGGCATCTATTATTCACGTCAATACGATGGAACGAAAGGACGACCCGTCACCCACGTTTGACAGAAGATGAATGGGATTGGGATTCAGGTGACAGTAAGGACGCGTTCTGGACTGAGCTTTGCTGTGAGGGTATCTCGCTCGGTTGCACGTCTCTTGAAGGCTCTGACTCCTCCTCCTCGTCATCGTCGTTATCGTCAAAGAAACCTTCGTCAGTAGAGCTAGAAGAATCCTTGCAGAGAATAAAACATAGCACAGAAATACAGACAGCGAACACGCACATCATCGCCGTCTTCAGTGGCTTCTTCGTTTATGGCATCGAACAGCTCCTCCTCGAGGTCATTGTCAGCATCTTCCTCGAGGTCGTCTTCATTTTCTTCGAGGACATCGTCTTCAGTGTCTGAGGGTGGCATGATGAAGAACGAGAGTAATTTTTAAACAAGGCTGTATGCACATGATCGCCGCGCGACTTGAATTTGGTGACGTTGCTTGTCTGCCCCTTTCGACCATGGTATTAGCGGACTTGGGCCGCAAGCTCAATGCCGCCCTCTCTTCCCTCAATAGAGCCCCCGTCGTTGATGAGAAAGTCAGTCGCAATTACAGCGCTTCTCCGTGTTCTTGACTCTTTGTTTAGATTCTCGATGCGACTCTGAAAGAAATTACTGCTGCTCTCCTCGAATCGGACGTCAATGTCAAGCTCGTCGCATCTCTGCGACAAAAGGTCAAGGCAAAAGTAAAAGCCGCTCTTGAAAGCGCAGACAAGGCCAAGGAAGCCAACCGGAAGAATCTCATTCAAAAGGTCGTCAGACGCTCTACTACTTTGCCCCGACATTATCCTGAATGTGTATCTCTGTAGGCTGTCTTTGATGAGCTCGTGCACTTGGTGGATCCTGGCGTCGAGCCCTATAAACCAAAGAAGGGGCAGTCGAACGTGATAATGGCCGTCGGTCTGCAGGTGAGCGCACCCTACTTGATTTACTCAAACCGTTTCCAGCCCGGTCCCAGGGTAACGGTAAAACTACGACATGCACAAAGCTTGCTGTACACTACCAAAAACGAGGCTTCAAGTCTGCCATCGTCTGTGCAGATACTTTTCGTGCCGGCGCTTTCGACCAAACACGCCAGTCAGCGACGAAAGCCAAGGTCGCGTACTTTGGATCGTACACGGAGACGGATCCGGTGGTAATCGCTGCTCAGGGTGTTGCAAAGTTTAAAAAAGAGCGGTTTGAAGTTATCATTGTGGATACCTCTGGACGGCATAAGCAGGAGTCGGAGTTGTTCGAGGAAATGGTACAAATCGGTGAAGCAGTCAATCCGAATATGACCGTTCTCATTCTCGACGCTAGCATCGGTGCGTTGCAAACCTTATCAGTAATATACACTAATCTGAACCATTATGTAGGTCAAGCTGCCGAGGCGCAAAGTCGAGCCTTCAAAGAGAGCGCAAACTTCGGAGCAATTATCGTAACTAAGATGGATGGTCATGCGAAGGGTGGAGGCGCCATTTCTGCGTACGTCGTCTCGGGCGCTGAAGCGAACTAAACACTGAACCCTTTCCAGCGTCGCAGCCACAAAGACACCAATAATCTTCCTCGGTGTAGGCGAACATCTACACGATCTGGACCGATTCTCTCCCCAGCCGTTTATATCAAAGCTTTTGGGTCTGGGCGATGTTCAAGGACTCATGGAACACATGCAAGATCTCGCAACACAAAATCCAGACAAGCAAAAGGAAATGGCGAAGAAACTGGAAGAAGGTAAACTAAGTATTCGAGACTGGCGAGAGCAAATATCAAATGTTATGAATATGTCAGTCATATCTTCTCCCGGGAAATTGCCCAGTGCTGACCATCACGGTCCATATCGCAGGGGACCGATAAGCAAAATTGCATCAATGATACCAGGTCTACCTCAGGATTTATTGCAAGGGTCGGATGAGGAGGGAGCGATGAGGATGAAACGGATGATATACATAACGGATAGCATGACAGCGGTGGAACTGGACTCTGACGGTACACCATTCATGGAAATGGGCAAGGATGGCAAGCCGACTGGACTAACGTGGCGTGTGACACGGGTTGCCCGGGGAAGTGGAACGAGCGTACGCGAAGTGGAAGAACTGCTTTGTCAATACCGGATGATGGCGAACATGGCGAAACAAGCAGGTGGGAAGAATGGGTGGTAAGTAAATCCTACTTTTTGATGTTTGAAGGTGACGATGTCTTGAAGGCTGTCGGCGATGCAAAAAATGCAGGCAGCGGCTGGTGGCAAAGGACGTGGAGCGAATGGAATGCCGACGCCTGCTCAGATACAGGCGATGCAGCGGGCTATGCCTCCTGGTATGCTGCAACAGATGCAACGACAGATGCGCAATGGGGGTGGGATGCAAGAGATGATGAAGGCGATGATGCAGGGCCAAGGAGGGGACCAGATGGACATGGAGGAGATGCAGAGTAAGGAAGAACTGTTGCTGCTGTAGTACGGTGGTACTGACGATGTTCCAGGGATGATGGCTTCTATGGGAAACGGGCTGGGTGGATTAGGCGGCTTGGGGGGACTTGGTGGAGGGATGGGAGGGATGGCGGACATGCTCAAGATGATGGGTATGGGCGGGCCGGGACGGTAAAGCGGCGGTATGTATTATTTTGTATATGTAGATTGTAAAATGAAAACCAGGGTAGGGGCGTAACGTTAGAAACCACTTGACTAAGTTTCCTTACATTTTGTCATTTTTGTTTCCTTACCTTTGCCAACATCCGTTCGACGACAAGACTGGAAAAGCGAATACGGTGTGTTAATTAAATCGACGGACACATGGGACGAGGTAACGGTGTGTAACCGTCACACCCGACAGCCGTCGGACCACGACCACCTAGCATGCCTCCTCTTCCAGCGAGGTCGCCTCTACGCCCGCCGCCGCCGCCGAAACAGAGCGAGGCGGTCGTGACGAAGAGACAGCATGCTTTGCAGGAGCTGCTCTCCTCGGAGAAATCGTACGGGTCTGACCTCGCGCTGGTACGGCAGGTACACATACCGCTCGCCCTGGGTGGGTTACTTCCGAGCAATGAGAACGATAAAATTGACGCAGAATGCAGGTCAGCCAATACACCTGGGCGACCAAACCCTAACCTCGACCGTTGACGCTCCGATGACGTCCACCGACGTCAAGCTCATCTTCGGCAACATATCTGACCTTTCTGCCTTTGCCACCCACTTTCATCACGCCCTCAAGGCCGCCATCGATGCTGACACTGTTGGTGCCCTTTTTCTCCGCTCAGTGCCCGACATGGAGCGCCCTTACAAGTCCTACATCGCCCGCCATGAAACCGCCTCCCGCCATCTCCGCTCGCTTCCCGTCACAACCGCCCTCACCGCCTACCACGTTCAAACGCGAACAATCGCCAGCTCCATGTCGCGCGCCTGGGATCTCCATTCGCTCCTTATCAAGCCAGTCCAGCGGCTCCTCAAATACCCTCTGCTGCTCGGAACCATCTATGAGGAAACACCCGACGGTCACCCTGACAAGGGCAATCTCCGTTTGGCAAGGGACGCGGTGCAGGATCTCGCTTTCAGGGTGAACGAGGAGCGCCATAGGGCAGAGGTAGTCAAGGATATGCTCAATCGGAATGTCGTGCGCGTCAAGAGCGTCAAGGGCCCTAGTCCTACTGCCGCCCTGCCTCCCACCGGCGATATGTCAAACTATCACGCCCGTCTGCTGAGAGTTCAGTCCTTTTCCAACCAGCTCGCCCAGAACGTCCTCCACTGGTCGCGTTCAGTGGCCGCGGCTTCCACGCAGCTGCACGCGTTTGCCCACTCATTCGGGAACGTCATTGGTATCTCAACAGAGGTTCAATCAGACTCGTTTGAAGCTTTTATGACGCTCATTAATATACATCTGATACCACTGACAACGACGCTTTCGCAAACATTGAGCAAAGAGCTCCTTACCCCACTTTCCCAACTCTTGGATGCGACCGCCAAGCCCCTTCATCTCGTTGAAACACTACAAAATACTCTACTGCCCCTGCATACCCATCTCATGAATATGCCTGTCTCACACAAGAACCGCCCCTCGGCCGAGCTGCTGAAAGCTTCCGCGGACTATGTAGCTCTCCGGGGAAAGCTTGCAGAAGAGCTGCCTTTGTTCGTGGAAAAGGCTGATCGGGTTCTATGCGGATGCGTCTTTCGACTTGCACGGGCAGAACAAGAGTATTGGAAACAGGTCAATGCTGGTTGGCGAGAACTGTGGGATATGCTAAGCATGGAGCCTGGGAACACGGTCAAGGTTTGGTGGGATCGGTGGGAAGAGGTTGATGCGGTGCTTTCGAGGATGCGATGTGTACAGTTTCGTCCACCGTCTCCATCGTCAGCATATTCTTCTTTGTCCAATGCGACCACGGCAGTTGGGAGTGTCTTGTCATCGTTAGACCCCAAGCGTACGAGCGTCAAGTCCAAGACGCGGTCAGAATTCGAATATGACATGGATGACTCCAAGACTCATGCGCTAGATAGCCTGAGGCCTAAGCTACGCCGGCCGTCAACATCGATGCCATCATTACCACGGAAAAAGAGTTTCCGGCGGAAACTCTCAGACCCGAATGTGAAGGAAAAGGCAAAGGAGGCGCTTTATGTTGTCCGGTCTGTGTACCCGTTTGATCCTCCAAAGAAGAAGTATTTCTATGACTCGCATCCGTTTTTGGCGCTGAATGGACAAGGAGAAGCGCTTGACGTGTTGAAGGAGGCAGGGCATCCAAAGGACCACCTGAGTCGGGGTCTGCTGCTATATGTCGACGATGGTGAGTCGGAAGAGCCCGACTCGCTTTTGTTGGTACGGCGCAAGGCTGGAGGCGAGGTTGGGTGGGCTTTAGCAAGTTATCTCGAGCTGGTAACGATCTAGGTGTGTGGGTTTAGTGCAGCATATTAAGGAATGTAAAGTACATATAATATTCACTCCTACATTTTTCTGTAAAAACATAGAAGTGAGGATTGTCTCGGAGAAGGGAGCACCGTACATGTCTTGTAAACGTTCTGTTCGAATCACAGAGTTTCTACTCATGTTCCGGTTGGCTTCATGGGGTTGCAACCTGAAATGTTGCGCGAGTAGAATGCTCCCAAGGTCTGGATCCATCTTTCTTTGCGTCCGCCTACACGAAGTTCCGCACATACGAGTTTTGCGGATAGAACAAGCCTGCGTGACAGAAGCTAAGGTCCACAACGAGATCATTTGGATATTATCGCTCATTGAAATTCAGGTTTGGGGTCTCGGTTTTGGTACCAAATGAGCAGCCCGTCTCATGCTGTGATATCAAGCTATCCGATTATAGAAATTTGAAGTTGGCGCACCCCATATGTAGGACATAGCCGGACTTTAGCAGAACTAGAGATCCTGATAGATATGAAATCAATGACCGAGGCAAAATGGCGTAAGTACGGAGCACAGGGTACAGATGATAGAGCTTCTTGTGGCATCAACGACCCCTTTACATGCGATAAATGAGGTCAAGTAACGCGACGGGAAAGAGGCGGAGAGTATTATGTTAGCCCAACACACACGAGGCAATAGGGAATAGAAGGAAGCATTGGTCCTAAGATCTGGAGATTGAGTTCACGACTACAAGGTTTTAGTTTCAGGCCCTTAACCACTGTCGTCGTTGTAAGAAGAATGGAAGCCTAATGACGCCGGCAGCGCGCTTAGTGGCGATGATTTCAGAAGAAGTACGAAGTCCCATGTGGATTCGTCGGTGTACCCGCATTAAAAAAAAGACTGAAACTCGTATCCGAGTCCGTTTGTGGCGCTGAAAGGCGCGGGGCATCTGGGGGAGTATCTGAGTTGCATCTGAGATGTTGCATGTGGATAACGAGGATTCGACGGAGCCGACGTCGGCTGGATAGTTCCTGAGCCGCGGTTAGATACTTTTCACTACAGATGTAGATTAAGAATGTCTGCTCTTCCATCTCTTCTTCTCAGCGGACGCTGAAGAGGTGTTGCCAAATATGAAGGACGAAGTGTGTTTATCGACACCGGTGGTCTTGGATATCGAAGACGAATTCCCAAAAACGAGCTATATGCGTGTTATGGCAGGGCTGATAAGAGATGCAGATGGCGTACGATCCAAAGACCCCAGATGGCGATGACACCAGCCGCCACAGAGGTCAGGGTGGCGAGAGAACCGACATCTGTCGTATTGTACGCGAGAAACGATGAGATGAATGAGCACAAGGTGAGTGGGAGTAGAAGGGAGTGCTGCAAACAAGTGAGTGGTACCGAGCATGGAAGAGCCTGGGACATACGTTGAGAACCAAGGCGAGAGCCACAGCGAAGAGGCAGATGCCAAGGTGGAGCATAAGGAACGATTCCAAGGACGTGAGCTCGCGGTGTTCGGAGGCAAAGAAGAGGAGGAGCCAGGGCGATAGTACGAGTGTTCCAGAGGCGATGGTGAGTCTGGAAACAGGTCAGAGGCGAATTGGCGGCAATACTGTACTGACAGGGCAGAGCAGGCCAAGGACCATGTAAATAGCACTGTCGAGTTGTCGTCCTTGGCTGGCTGTTGGTGCTTGGGCGCTGCGACGACGTGCATCTCGTATTCGTCGATCATGGTGGTGGTACTAGTAAGCGGTGATTTCCAAATTAGGGTTGACGATGACTACCATGTCCAAGGTGTACCAGATCGGCTCCCAGTGGCCCGGCTTCCCCGCCATTCGCAACCTCTTCGTCTTGTACGATCCCTTTGTTTTTTTTGTTTTTCAGGAATATCACTCATTCCTCTGCCAGTGGCGACTCGTACAGCTCCGTGCTCACTGCCTACTTTCGTGGTCGCCCAGATATCCGCCCGTCGGCGGCCCTACCCTTGGGAGTGCCGTTTCCTGGCGAGATGGGCGGTCTCTGGAACGAGCCTGACGCACCCAACTGGGTAGGGCACCTTATAACTAAACACTGCCCGCATCCTCGATACAAGCCAGACCAAGAACATGACCCCGAATTTACCGCCAACCCGTTCCTCGTTTACGATTATGCCATCGGCGGCAACACCGTGTCCGGCGTGCAGACACAGGTCAGCTCCTTTCTTGACGGTGCCGGTGCCAAACCCGACTGGGCACTATGGTCGGGGAAGGACAGCTTGTTCGTGACTTGGGTCGGAATCAATGACTGCGCGTCAGTCAGCGTTATTACTTCAGTCGCGCCTTTGTCGTTCACTTTTTCGTTCACAGCTACTCGAGGGATCACAGTGACAATATCAAGACTCTCTTTGACATTCAGCAAAGGCTGTACGATGCTGGCGCTCGCAACTTTCTCTTCATCGATGTGCCGCCCATGCACAAATCACCCGCAAGTGCGCCTACCTTGCCTCATTACACACACGAGCTGATATCAGCCTAGTCTCTTACTACCTTGCCGACTCGGCCAGCGTGTCCTATCACGACTGGAATTCTTGCCTCGCCACGGCACTCAATTCCTTTTCTTCCTCTCATCCCGATACCACCGTCATGCTCTTCTCCTCATACCAGACCTTTTATTCCATCTTTGACAACCCCGTTGACCACGGCTTTGAAGAGAAGGACATCCACAAACGCGGCGGCGCCATCTGGTACGACCACCTCCATCCCACGAGTGCCGTCCACGACATTGTTGCCGCCTTTCTCGCTGACTTTCTCAGTGAAGTTACCCCAGCCAACTAATAGCTTTCAGATGAATGCATATCTTAATATGTCACAAATGTAGAACAGTATAAACACCTCAGTCCCAGCATACTTTTTCCTGAATTCTCTCCGTGTCATGAGTCTACAGTAGTCCGTTATCAGTGCAGTCGTAGTAAAACAAGGATTATACCCGTACGTCACAGTGTTGATCGAACAAGAGACTAATCCGTGCTGGTTCAGAGTACCCAGTCATAGGCTGAGGCACAGGGTATGATTCTGTGTCTCTTGATTTGCTCCATACGAATAATAAATCTGGATTCATCAAAAATTCCGTAGTTGCCTTGAGGTGCAGGCCAAACGTAACATGTCGTCAGGAGGCAGGTATCCAAGCATCTTCGGGGCAAATCAGAAATCATCAATCCATGGAAATAATTTCCTTCTCACTTCGAACCAGATATCCAGTGGCATATTCAGCATGCCCTGAAGAATGTCGCGACGGACCCTCGTTCTGACTATTCCACACAAAGAAAAGCGAAAAGTGTGTCAGGGGAGTAACAAAAAGGCTCAGCTATACGAAGTTAGGCGTCCTTGATATGAGGGGAGGGAGAAGGAGGTGTTCGCCACGCAGCAGTGGCCACTGGCAGCACTTACAGCCAGTCACGTGGACGTGAATACAAAGGCTGGCCGCTTAGCTGCAGCCAGCTTTCCAGAATAACGTGCTTCAACTATACCACCACTCAAAGGACTTGAAGTCAGAGCCAAGATGCTCGGAAAGAAAATCCTGCATTAGCATCTCCCATGGGAGGCCATGATGTGGAATGCAGCGCCCAAAATACCGCAAGGCACGTCAGCAAAGGAAACAGAAAGACGACAACATATTCATTTTCGCCTGTTGAAAAGAAGTACAGCCGTTCTTTATACATGTAAGAACAACATTCTCGCATTCCCAGAGTGACACGATATGAAATGAAAGAGATACGATGCGACGAAAGGCCAGAGACGATGCTAGATGGGAGTATTTTCCCGCATCCGTCGAGTCTGCGCCAGTGATTTTGAGAATGATGTCGTGGCCAGTTCTAGAACTGGCATCAGCTGACAAGTAAAAGATCAAAAAAGAGCAGATGGTACATCAAGTCTTTAATGAGCCAAGTCGTGGAGCGAGTTCCAAAATCTGCACCCAAACGACGTTTGATAGAATATCGATTGTTAAGAACGTCTCCTTCCCCAGCAGGATACAGAAGCACCTGAGGCGTTGGAGAAGATTTCACAGGTAGTCCGACAGTAAAGAAGCGACGAATGCTAGGCAACATGTTCGTTGATGGGAGGGAAACAACGGAAAAAAAAACAATAGCGCCACAAGACACGTAGACGATGTTCAGTCCTCTTCTCCTCATACCAGACCCTTATGTCGCAAATGTAGAACAGTATCCTTCGTCATAGACTTCTCTCAGGCTTAGCAAACAAGTGAGCCAGCCCTAACTGAGCTGAACCAGTAGCAAAATTATGTGTGCTTGCATTCACCTCCAGGACGACTTTGCTTTTCATGCCGAACACTGAACCATGAGACGACTAGACTAACATTGCAGGACCGCATTCATTGAACCAAAAGCTGTTGACAATCTGCATGACGGGAAAAGAGGAACAAAGACAAATCAAAGTACATTCTATTCACGCGCCCAAAGCACACATCGCCCACTTGCGTTGCCACTCACAGCTCGAGCCACGATCTTGGGATGAGAGCATGTAACTGCCTGGACCGCAGAAATCCTAGTCTCGCAGTCAGCAAAGTTCGATTCGCGACAAGACAAGACTTACTGAGTGCTATCAGAAAGCCTTGTGATGAGCTCGCCCTGTTGGCGGTTTAGATGGTTTATGATAGAAACAGGTCCACCAACCTTGCCAGAAAAAATATCTAGTGCATGATTCATGTTCCCAATCTGGGGGTGGGTTAATGGCGCCTAGCTGAAAATCCTTTAACATACCGTAAAATGCGGGTGCGCATCAAGATTCGGAGACCACTGTGCTCGAAGAATCGTCAGCCATTTGCCCTACAGAATTTGAATTCGCTTTTAATACTCGAGAACCACAACACCCACCGTCTGACAATTATGCTTGATACGACTAAACGGCTTAGATGACCCAAACGGACCGGGTTTCTCAAACACGGTGGTATCAAAATTCCAAACTACTTGTCCATCAGCTACGGATATCAATGCGATGGCATTCACTCACGGCGTATAGAGTCATCATAACTCGTACTAACCACACTCCTCCCTCGAGGATCCCAATATGCAGAGCTCACAGACTTTTCATGGCGCCACTCGCCACGCAAGCACCCATGCCCCTTCTTAGACTCCACAAATTTGTTCACACTCTCCAATCCAATCTCTACAACGGAACTATCCGACGAAGTTGGTGGCGTACCCAAGGGCTTCAATTTTCGCACATCCCAGATTCTTTGTTGTTCATCAGTGGTGTTCTGAAAGACAGAAGGCAAAACTTACTTGAGGGAACGGCTGTTACTCGCTGTCAAGACAAACTCTGGTCGCACCGGGTTAACGCTGACACATCCGATCTTCTGGTCAGACAAGCCATACCAGGTGCCCTTTGATTGGTGCTGCCGAAGATCAAGATGCGTCAACCCACCTGCAGCATCTGAAACCCACATCTCGTTCCCGGTGGGCGTCAGATCGATGCTGCAGAGAAGGGTCTCATCAGACGAGAATATCTGACGGGAGACTCCCGTCGTGAAGGAGAGATTACGGATCGTGCAGTCATAGGCACTTGTATAAACCTAAGGAGAATTGAGGAGCTGATGTCGTGTATTAAAGTTGTACGTACAGTGTGAAAGTCGACTGGGTTGAATTTGACACACGAAATAGACTATAAGATTGTCAGCATTAAGATCGAAGGACACCATGCTAACTTACCGACTTTGAAGTAGCGGGCCAATGGACTTGCAATCGCCAATACTTACCGCCCTCCTTGTTGCCGTCATCCACAACATCACCGCCCTCATCCCCCACCTCTTCTGGAGGAGCTTGCGCGTCCCAAATACCCAGCTGACCGTGTTTGTCTACCCGAGTTTAGCTCTTGACAACGGCGCGACGGAGATACTCACCTCCAAAAAAGATAAGGTCCTTCTGCATATCTGGGTGGTAGGCGGCACTATACACGCGGTTCTCCGTCACCTTGGCCCGAGATACGAGGCGCATTCCTTTGAACTCCTTCTTTAAGTCCTCTAGCTCACTCTTCATAATCCGGCCCTCTTCTTCGGCATAAGTACTTGAAACCCCCTTCAAAACATCTGCTAATCGTAACCTCTCCGGAGCATCTTCATCATCCAATGTGGTGGCGAGCTCCAAGTCCTGATGCCTGGGCCTCTTGGCAATTCGCGCGCGTTTCTCTGCTTCGATACGCTCCTCGGCCTCTTTCGCACGCTGCTCCTCCAATTCGGCCTACGTTTTCATAAGGCTTTTTCGAGATCAAAGATGATACACATCGTACCTCGCGCTTCCTCTTCCTCGAAGGACTCTCATTAAGATCAGTCACATTCCGCAGACGTGCAGACTGCCGCCGGACGGTGGGTTCTTGGTCCTCTTTCTTAATTTGCTTCTTTTTTGATGGCTGCACGGGCTTCTTGGTTGCAGATTTCGAGGATTTTGTGGGAAATCCAAGGCCCTCAACAGCTTGCTTGAGCTCAAGTTCTTCAAGCAGAGCACGGTTCCGCGCGATATTGACTTCACGGTCGATTTCGCTGGGATACCAGTAAAGTTTCACGTATACTATGACGACAAGAGGTAGGACTTACTACTGAGAAAGTTTTACCATGATGATGGGTGAAGAACAAGTTCGCTCCACTATCTTGGCCACGCGAGTCAGAAGACGCGTTATGTCACATCCCGTGACCTTCCAGAACGGGCGGTGCCACTGCCAAGGTGGATACAATTAAGAAAACATGGAAAGATTTACTACTACCGGTACTATTACTATAGGTACAGACAGCGTATACCACAGAGCAATGGAACATTGAAATCATCAAGAAACCGTGGACGGGTCGTGAGGTACCAGACTAGTATGACAAGAGAAAGAAAAGGCTACAGTGGACGGGACAAGAGTAACAGTAATATCGCCCGATTAGTGACAAGTAGTGTCCTGGAGCAGAGAGATAGAAAAAGAAGCATGGAAAAGAAAAAGAGTTCCAAAGTCTAGGTCACCTCCAGCACGGCTGTTTCCAGGACCCTGAACATAGTCGAGTCCTTTGACTCCTCTGTCCACCCTACAATTTGTCTCCAGTTAACCGTATTAGCTTCCTTCTCCCCTGCACCGGCAAAGATGCCAACATCATCATCGGAGAGTCCTCGCCAGATAAGAAATAACCGCAGAAACACACATGGGTCTGACGTTACAGAAATATCGATAGCGGCGGCAATCTTTGGAGGAGGAAGGAATCGATAGGCTATATTCTTGTGTGCTGAGAAAGCACCCATATTGGTACTATTAAGAAAGAAGAGTGCAAGAGGTAAATCTTCCGTTCCGATCGAAAGCGAAACCACTCACTTAATAAAATTCGTGCGGGCATAAAGAGACATCCCAAGCTGATCCAACACATTCATGAGGTGAGGAATGAAATCTCGGAAAGACATAGCATATCCGTTACGGGGGGCAATGTAGTCGTTAGGATCCATCATGCCGGGTTCAGGGCTGAAAGAGATTGAATCTGTCAGTAAATGATGGACGTGAATAGGAAGCCGTAACGTACATTGCTTCGTAGTACAAAGCCGTCGACACCATTTCACTTTCAAAGTGCTCCATAGCGCCACCAGGATGAGCTCGCAAGAAGTATTTTACCTTATTATCGGCCACCTGTTCTGCTGGAGGCCACGTAATGCCCAGCTTCCACAGAGGCGAGAAGACGAGAATGACATCACAATATTGCACGTCGGGAGTCAGAAGGCTGAGATGACATCTCGCAGTGGTGGGCTTCGCAGCGACAGCCAGCTTGGTCATGACGCGAGAATCAAACATAAACTCGGGAGTATATTGCTCATTCTGCAGCCGAGTCCCGCTGAACTCCATTTTGTGTGTGTCACCTTGATGGACAATATCAAGTTTACCCCAAAACATGCCGTCAACTGTAGTCCCATCTTCCATCCGAGCCATATCTAGTTCGTCCGACGATACGGTGGTGTCGAGGGCAACGTGTTGGCCGGGCATTAATTCTAGATTGAAGGTCGCCGGCATCTCCAAAACGGGTGGTGGGCTGTGGACGAGAACATCATGGGTTAAGGGTTCATGATCAATATAGAAAAGAACGGCAATTTACGGTGGTGGGCTAGAGAGAAACCCATCTTAGAGTTGGTAGCGCATGGAAGAGAAGTAGACGTACGGTGGTTCATCCGGCGGGGGGGGTGCATCGCTGACAATTTCGACTCGCAAACCCTGGACCCCCATTTGGGCGATTTGAAACGAGTCTTCTCCGGTAAGCTACGAAATCAGTCGTTTGAAACAGTTTTGTGCGGATAGATAAGGTTGCATACATAGATGTAAGGACCGGAAATGAGGCGCTAAAAAGAACTGAGTTGAATGAGATGAAATAGCGCCTGATAGAACTCACAGCAGCGTTCAAAGATGCATACTCTACGGGTATACGAAGAGAAAACATGGCATCGGGTGGCGGTCTTGTCCACTCGCGTGCGACGGCGTCGAGTTCCTTGAAACGATATTAGACGCGACCAAGATAGGGAATTAAGCGACGTACGGCTAGGGTATTGGGCAGCTGTTGTGGTGGCGCTTAGCTCTAGCCCAGAGAAACAGTGGGCCACACAACGCACCATTCGAACAGTCTCCATGTCTTCGAAACATAGTGTCAAGAGGCGCTGTCTAGCAAGAGCCTGTTGTTTCTGCATTTCGTCCTTGTTTTTTCCCTTTAACCTGTTCCATAGACCGCCTTGATGTGGCAGACTGGTGTTGGTCGATCTGATAGGCAGAGAGAGCATGGCGGCGATTGAGATTATAAGTGGGAGAGAGCAGAGGGATGGACGCCTCACGCTGGTGATGCAAGCATGTTCGGTACAGGCGGTTATTGGTGTTTAGTAGAAAGAAAGAGTCATATTCCTGGAAAGGTATCGAAATTTGGGCTTGTTCCGAACACGAGGCAGATGAGGGCAGATGGTATTTGATAGATCTGCGTATCGCAAACAAATCAATATCCATTGAGACTCTATCGAGACAATCAATGAAACAGTTACCGTTTTCAGGGGAATATTGGGAGCCGCAGTAAGAGAACGAAGTGGTGGTACAAAGGTAAGAAGGGAGAATAAAGGTTGTTGTAATGACATCATCTCTCGTAATCTCGAAATTTCTTAGCCTCCGTTTCCCTCCATCATAGCCGGCGCCATGCTCTCCGTCTCTGGTAGAACAGCTGCTCGTCTTTTCTCCCAGCGAAGGACCTTCGTTTCTCCCACCGTTCTGTCCCAACCATGGGACACTCATTCCGTTTCTCACCTCAGGCAGGAAGCTCGAGCTCGTGGCCTATCCCCGTGTGTCCCTTTTACTCTCGTGTTTGGCTCTCCGTCTCAACGCTGAAAAGGAGAGGAAACAAGTCGGCACTGATTGCACGTCTGCAAGAGCATGAAATTAGTTTATCCTCGACGGCAGCGAAGCAGACTGTACGGAACGCGTCGACAGACGCCGCTGGTGCAGGTATAGAAGGCGAGGCTCCTGGGATTCCACCTGCGCACGAGTCGACAGCACCGACTGGATTCTGGGATATCAAAATGCCAGACGTGGCGTTGCCTGATCCAGAACCTGCTATCCAGATCGTGAGTGCCTTGTGCCTTCACCGCCGTTTCCTGCTTTTTTACGTGCGTGTAGCCGTACACGCCTGACTTTTGGGAGTCGTCGACATTGGCAGCAAAGGAAGAACACTCTATTCCTAAAATTCTCGTTGTCGCCGGCTCGCAAACGCATCCTGGCGGCGGACCGTCTCACACGCTCCTTGAGACTGGTGAGACGGCGGCAGATGACGCCTTGCCGGCCAGCTCTGATGCATCATGGGAGGTACCACGGACAGCTACCGGTAGAGGTGGATTCTGGGACGACGCATCAGAAAATTTGGATATCCCGTATCCTGGAGAAATCAAAAAGTCGTTCTCGGGTGCATGGTCTAACCTGAAAAATTGGCTGAGCTGAATTACATGTAGCTACAACGTTGTGATAGACACCAAAGTATATAGAACTAATTCTCTCTCATCTCCAAAAGGTGATCATTTTGCCCAGCCTGTCCATTGCAACCCGGGCGGCGAACAGGATGCATGATACATTCCTTGCTCGCCATTCACGTGTGTATTGCTCTGTCCGATCCGTTTCCTGCATCACCCACTGCTTGTAAAACTCGGAAAGCGCCTTCTCTTTATCTATCGGAGTCGCAGTTGATGGTAAGCTCGCCAGAACGGCTTCTTTACCGCCTTCGAATCGAATATTGCTCTGGCAGGCCATGAATACGCGTTCACGTCGATATGAAACCGCTCACATACATCTAGCCAGAAATTTTGGTCGAGGTCATCTAATTGCTGTCGCTCGAGCTTCCACTGAATGTCGTAGGCTCCCGTTCCGACCGGAGGCTCTGGGTCGAACTCTGCTAATGAATACGGATGCTTGAGCAGAGATGGCGGCGGAGGCGGCGGGACATCGTCATATATAACGGGGCGTAGATGGGAGACAGGGTCAGGGGGGCCAACGAGGTGGCGGGAAGCGACAGAGGAGTGAAACAGACACCGTAGTGGTGGAGGTTGTGATCGTAGTAGACCAAGCATGCGGAAATTGCCGATTCACTGCGAAAAATATGGAAGATGCCTGATTTATTAAGTATGTATTGTATTATAACACAGTTATGACACTATAGGACTTGAAGGCGAAGCAGTCATCTTGGAGGCTTCGCGGTTTCAACGTCAGCGTATCGGCGTTTGTATTCAGCGGGAGACTCTCCTTTCACACCCTTCTTCCACATTCCTCTACGAGCTGCTCTGCATTACGGTGAGTGATGGGTAGGGAAGAGAACACTGTACGACACGTACTTGGCTTCGCTTTCTACTCGGAGGAATTCTTCTTTGCTCCATTTGCCGTATTCAGCGCCTGACTGTTATGTGAAAAAGTAAGCACGAGGCAAAACGAGATTGAATAGCATAGCTACCTACCTGCATATATGTTGTCACCCAACCATGCTTTAACATCTCCAACGATAGGCTCTTCCCATAGAAAAGAGAGCCTGGTAATATTCTCGGTGGCAAAAGGACGGTGGATACCTGCTCCAATGTAAGAAACAGGCTAATGGGAAAAGGGTAGACATACAATGCGAGCGTACTGATCACGCCTCGATAGCTGACAATACACGGTCTTCCCGAACACCTTCTCTTTCAAGAACGCCAAACTCTCCTCCGCGTATGGCTGCGCTGGCCGGCCAAAGTGTCCCGCCTGACTCCTTGCTTCATGAAAGGAATACATGAATTTGTACAAAGTAACGCGCACCTCGGGGGCATCGACACCGCCAATTCGTATATGGAGTGTCTTGTCTTTCAAGTCTAAATAGGAGGAAACGTCGGATAATGGCATCTGGACAACGACTAAGAGGCGTACCTTTCGCGGTAGTCGGCACGCGCCTCAACTTGATAGGCCATCTCCATCCAAAGGCAGGAGTATGGTAGAGACTGGTAAATAGTCAAATTGAGCCAGAACAAGCAATTCAGGACCAGAAGAACCGAAAATTATCAGAATCTCCTACACTGCCCGCTAGTCAATTCACTTCAGGTGCCAGTGGATGATGAAGAGAGGAACGGACCTAGTCACAACACCCTTCACCCAGCGTTTCCTTGTTAGCATATCAGGAGTGACCCAATCACCATTCTGAATTCGCCGGAAATATCGTGTATAAACTCGTCGACCACCAAAGGTCGTTGCTGCACCAAAGGCAAATGCTGAAAAGACTAGCACCTCTGGAGGATATTGGTCTAGAGCCTCGAAAAGTCTGTCGATCCCATCCTTTGACGACATTGCTGATATCGGGAGCTGAGATGGAAGGAGGTACTAAGGCTTAAGTAGGAGGGATCCAGAAAAGGCGCGTCTGCCATGCTTGGAGCACGTGAATAATCCTAAGCGAACCTGCCCTTGATTCTCTTTGCATGGACTCTGATCGTGAATGCTCTCAGGATACAGCAGACAATATCGCTCGTCATTTCAGACGTGTTTATCACAGTCGATGACATTCCTATGGAGCATGAATCCTCAGACAGATTTATTAGATGAGTAGTAACAAACGTATAACCACAGAAGACTGGTACCAGGACGCTCTCCATTTTCAATTATCCTGTCAGGAAAGCACATAGCGACCCCTTTGTCCCTATCACATTGGGCTAGGTTCAATCCTAATGATGCTTCTATATTCCATTCTCTGCAGCCATATGATGATGTGATCCATTTCTTGCTGACCAAATGGATCATACGTAAAAATTGGATCAGTCAACTTTCTTATCAGCTATTTAGAACACACTTTATCATTGTACATTTGGCTGCTAAGATGTAAGTACGAATATCTAAAGACAAAAGAACCATTGATGTAAATCATCTGAGAAGAGGGCCATGGGAATACTTACCTTCCTTCTATTCCCGATGTCAACTCACTTGCCCGTTGACTTGGTAACATTACCACCAGGGGAAGTGTACTGGGAATAACCTGTCCCACTATTATAATAGGTCGAACTATTGGAGTTGGAGTAATAGTACGACCCATCGCTTAGATCGCAGTGTCAATGATACAACCAGTCAAGACAATAACAAGCAATTACGTATTGGAGTAATGATACGAAGGTTTGCCAGTGCCACTGTCCGCACGACTACAGTAATGGTTCCCCTGAAATGCAACGACTCAGCTGACTAGCAGGCGATACTGAAAGGAAACTCACCCGACTGTTAGTGCCTGAACCAGTATAAGTGTACCCTTTGTCGCCTGGCATCGCGTTCGCTTGAAGTGACTGAAGACTGATGCTTGGAGGAGATGATGGTCACTATGAAAGATGCATTCGCTCGGTCTTTAGCCTTTATATAGGACGAATTCCCTTTCTTATCTAAAAAGATAGGGACTAGAATCCACGGGCCTTCTTCAATTGCAATGTGTCAGCCGGGTCTTCCTAGGCTCTCAGCTTGTCTGTCACGCTGGCTTCCGTGGCTCCGATTCTTCGCTGGCCTTCCCACTGAGAAGAACGGCAGATCTCGGCACAGATTTTACACAAAATTGTGTTCCCGAAATGTCTCCCTGGCGGGCGATAGATTCCTCCAAATTGCGAAGTTCACTGACCTCCAGACGATGCTCCCAAAACGTCAAATTCAGGTTTGTCGAAAATGTTCATCTTTCCGGTGTGAGTTTCTCGTGGCGTTTCTTTCGACCGAGCTTCTTGACTGAACAACGTCAGAAGTTGGCTCGTCACCGGGAAGACCGCTAGGATTTCTTCCACGATGTTTGGTTGGTAACGTTTGAATCTAGGTACTGGAATAGAAGTCAGATTGCATGAGCCCATCATGAAAGGGCATATCCTTGAGCTCGAGTCTGGTTCAATCAAAGGAGATATAAGTAAAAGATACGTACCACACCACACTTCATAGGAAGTCAATATCCCAATAATTAAATGCGATGATCCATGAAATGACATAGCCAGGCCTCAAGGTTTGCTCTTCCGGCGAAATTCACTTTATGAAAGCGTGCTTTATCAATAGTTTCGACCCGCACTATTAGATCAGAATGAGATGAAAGATAATTGAATATCAACAGTGTCCTTCAGCAGATGATTTTTCAAAGGGACTGGCCAGCAAAACGTCGGAGAGCTCTGAATTTTGGTGATACACGAGGAAAGCTGAAAAGAAGATCACTTCAAATATTGAGCAGCAGTCCTAAGATCGTGGTTCTATAAAGCCTACTTACGGGAGAAATGAGAGTGCTTGCTCATCAATCGCATGGTCAATATGCTTTGAGGAAAATACGTTTCTATCGATGAGCCGGCACCCGTCCGGTCTGAGATTTCAACAACGATGGAGCATTCAGGGCAGAATCAGAGCTGCTCGTAATCAATGAATGTAACGCCTGATGACAGCCACGAAGGGAGAGATGGTCAAAAGTTACATGAATGAACTGAAGGGATTCTAGGTCGCCCGAGTGGAGGTAAATGGAAAGCTGTACCGTAAAGACAAATGTTTATAAGCAGCACGGGTGCAAAACGGGCTCGTCGCGTCAAGGAGATGTCGTTGCGAAAATGAAAAGGCAGCACAAACACAAGGCCCGTGGTATCACTGGTAGAGCGACGTCAACAAGATGTGTAGATTTGGAGCCGAGCGTTGTAGCAAAACGAACATCAAATTGCCACATGATGTGGGCGGATTTCAATAAGGGGTTTCGTCGCAGGGCAGGAACCAGAGTACAAGGAAAAAGGCTGCGTCATGCGGGATCAGGCAACGCGTAGACAGGAAGAAAGCAGACTCTGTTCCAATGGTCCTTCGGATTCAAAAACATCTCATAGAGTACCCTTGCGTCTTGGCACGAAAGGGCAAAATTTTGAAAATTTGGATCCTGAGTCGTGACACGCTGACGGGGACGACGGACGTCCAATCGGAGATTCCTAGGGAGGAATTTCACCCCAGATTTAAGCTGGAAAGTGCTAAATACTTTCGCTGGTAAAATAAGGATTAATACCAGAAATCGGAAAAAGAGTGCGGGTATAACTTGGTGTTGGATTTCAACGCGAGAAAGGAGCCAGAGGGTTCGCAAATCAGCGATAAACTAAAATGAGGTCGCAAATAGAAATTGAACGAGTTCTACAGGAAAGTTCCTGCTCCGCTCGGCAGAAAAATTGGGCCCAGCAGCCTGCAAGGGCTGCATTGAATCTGGCAGCGTCGGACAACGAAGAAGCAGTACAGCAGGCCCAGATGAACCTAAAATTCAAACCGCGACAAATTGGGAACAGTCATTTTGCACGGTGTCAGTTTGAAAAATCGACATGGTCGATTTCGATGATGTAAACTGCGCCGGAAGACTGGGAAATGCAGCTATTAGAAGGAGAATATTTATTAGAAAGAATAGACAGACGATGAGAAAATGTTTGCGGCAAGAAATTGCGATCGGCAGTTCCGAAGGTTCTGATTTGTAACCCTATTTCTGCGATCACCACCACCACCACCTTCGTCGACACCGTCATCATCACCTGCATTGTCTACTGCAGCGGAGACATATTTCGTTCAGTCTACAGCGATAACAATGGATTTTTCTCACTTACAAGGCACATCTGGTCGGTTTTTATCGTGGCCTGGTCTTGCTAATCGTGCTTCTCGAGGGCAATGGGCGCATACAAGTCTTCGGCGCTGCTCCTGGGCCATCCTGACCACAGACAAGTCCTCTAGAAGCATAATTGACGGGGCCAGTGGGTGGTGATAGTGCTCAGATGTCACCTTACGATTCGACCAACAAGATACTCGGCGAATAGGACCTTACGACCAAGGGATTGCTCTTCTTGAACCTTTCAGTGGCCATCAGAGACGAATATCAGGATAATCGACCCAGGATCGTGGAGGATGAGGAGGAGATGCTCTCAAAGGTGGATACTCAGAGAAAACGGGTACGGCTAGAAGGTGTGTTGCTGTATTCTTGCATTTATTCTTGAAGGGTAATAATCCTTTGGTCTAGACGAGTACCGCGGTGTTCAGTCGTTTATGGTCCGTGCACACTGACTTTTGGTCAAATCATTAGCCTTGGCGAATCTTGCAAAAGGCGAGTTTTGTGTTGAGAATTCACTCCAGTATGGGGTACCTGAACGACGACGTTCATTTCAGTGGTGGTAGTACATCACTGATACAGGATAACGCGACATACACACGGTTCCGACCTTTTATTGCTGTGACGGGAAATGACTCATTAGGTCACGTCACACTGGCGCGCGTCCGCGTTAATGCCGTGGGCGACAAAAGGCGAAATACTGAAGGAAGTGAACGGAAGATACGAGGGATTTTTCAATAGTACAGAGGAGTTTGAAAGGTAAAACTCTCACCTGCTTGTACGTTTGGCGCGAGGATATCACTGTGGACTGGGAGCAAGAACGAGGCACACATTCTCTGGCCTGGCGACAGCTTCGACGTTTTGGATCGCTAGCAACGGTGTCTGTTTCAAGATATGGCGGAACAGACCGAGCGTTTCCTGGTCATCATATCCCCGACTTCCTAGTTGGCATGTCCATTCTCACTATTCGGCCTCGAAGCTGTCAAGGCGCGCTGCGACGCGTTCCCTACAAATTGGACCCAGTCTTCCGGATCAGGACCCTTCTTCGATGGGAACGGTGTCTGCTGCCTGTGACTGGAGACCCGTGTCGTGTCGATCAAGATTGAAAAGAATCTTCGGTTAGGGCCCTCACGACTATCTGTAGTCCACGCATGTTCAAAAGGAACCAAAGCAGTGCCAATTTCGGTTGCTTTGCAATATTTTTTTTTACGAAACCTAAAATTTTGACTCTATAAGCTACTGTGAACATTTCGGTTTCCTGTGCCGCCCATCCCACAAAATGCCTTGCTATCGTTCCTGCAAGAAATTCCTCCCTCACTATTCTTCTAGGCATGATGAGACTCTTCATCAAAATTCTTCTCTCCATCTTTCGATTGGTGCATACGCCGCACGCTACCAACCGTACTCTCTTTCTTATAGGGTACAGTATATCATGGCCTCGTCTTCATTTCAGTGCCTGATTTGTCTCAGTTTGAAGCAGAGTACACGGACGTGCCTGTTCCACAAACACCTGCAATTGTGCCGCAAACCGGCCAAGTAAGTAGGTTGCAATCTCTCTGGGGAAACCACGCCGATTATCCTAGTTCATCGTTCCTCCTTACTATGATCTTGATGACTATGTCAAGTATGACGGTGAAGAAGCAGAAGAAGAGGACGAGGGCGCCTGGAACAGCGACGAAGAAGAAGACCAGGAGGGCAACCATGAGGAAGCGGCCTATGCACCGCTGGTGAATATGATGAATTTTTTTCTTTCGGACGCCATTTCTCACTGCTATGCATCACATCAGTGTCTTCTGGTCGTTATTGTGTGGATATTCTGCTTCGCTTGAAGGATGCTCGCATTGTTCTCTTCTTGCATGTATACCTAGTGTCTTCGGTTTGGGGGGAAGAAGGCGCTGAACGTTCCCAAGTTCTTTGTCGGACTGACGCTTATTCATTATTTCATCAGTATCATAATTGTAAAAGTCGATGGCAAGCGTTTTCTTGATATCTATCAACATTGTCGCCAATTTTGCTTGAACAACGTTGTAGATCAATTCAGTTGGGATTACAAACAGATTCTAGGTGTCTACATCTTCATATTCTAATTCTTCTGGTGCGAAATAACCAAGAAGGTCTGGTAAGGATATTCGAAGGTCCCTTGGCTTTCGTCTATCCATACTTTATCATCGCCTCGCTCTACGATGGCCTTGACGTCATCCAATACTTTAGATCTGACATCGTCGGGTAAAGTCTGGATGTAGCTCTTACTGTTTGCTCTATCTACCGCAAGTGAGACGTTGCAAGGCAAGGTATATGCCCAAGTTTTCTCCACTGGCGGTTGAAAGACCTTTTTGTAAGAATCAGTATCAAAAGTTTTGCGCCACAAGCCCAGACGGAACTGAGGAGTGCCAGCTTCATGTTGTTCGATTTGGTTCCTCAGTTGAGCAACCCATCGTGCTGCATCCCTGGTGGACAAAGGTATTGGATATAGAGTACGCGAAGACCAGAAGAAGAACTAACCTATCCTCGAGGTTCCAAATGAAGGCGACAACACCACCAGGCTTGAGGATCCTGGCAAACTCGACAGAGGCAGCATCAAAGTCTGGACACCAATGAAATGCCTGCATTAATCTGAGTGAGAAACTCTCTCCTGGGGACAAACGCGTGCCTGAGCAATCGTAACAAGATCGGCCCAGCCGTTTTCAATGTTAGTGGTATCAAATGTTCCCTCCCTCACGGAGACACGTTCATCCTGAACGGTCTTGACGAAAACTTCGCGCATTCCAGCGCTAGGTTCCACGGCCCTCAATTCCTTGATTGCACTGGAGAAATCTGGATGCTTGAGGAGCGACTTGGTGAACAGACCTGTTCCGGCACCAATTCTATGTTCGTGGATGAGTTCAGGACATCTAAACTCAGGAAAGGCGTACGTACTCAACGACATTTAATGGGGCGGTAGCCTTTACTGCCTCCCTTATCGCTGACAAGGCATTAGATTGATACGACGGTCGGGCGCTGAATGTAGGAGTCAAGGAGACCGGATCGTTATGGAACGCAACGGTGACGCTTACCGATCGTAGAGTTCGTTTGTGCCAGAGCCAAAACCACTCTGGGCAACGTTGTGAACGATAACCATGCCTCTTCGCAGATGAAAGAATAGCGAAGATTGCGCGATACGCTGCCTCTTAAGCAAAATCCAACATGGTGTCATGCGGGGAACGGTAGAGTCGGCTTTATGGTCCGATTAACCACCTACGCCTTGAATTCTTTTCTTCCGGCTGATCTCCTTTCAAGTATACGCTGCTCTCATCTCATTTCCTCTCCCTGGTCAGAAATATTCTTTCCCCTCTCTGCGCGCGTGCTGGGAATTATCAACCTGCCATTGACGATCTCTGCTTACCCCGGCCAATACTGCATCCAGCACTTGATTCGTACATATGGGGGTCCACTTGCCCTGCTTTCATTCCGTCTACATCAACTGCATCGTAAAATCAGTAAAGGCTCCAGAAAGTCACGTCTGACAAGGTACGATTCTGAGGGCTCGATCCATATATATAACTCATCACCATTTCATTACCCTGAATGGGTGGCTTTTGCATGGTCTGCGATGCATACCTTTGGTGAACATACTATTGGTGAGGTTAATGGTACTAGGATTCATCGATCGGAGAATATCCTCACATCTTATAATGTCATTCAGTATTACTTCAATCGGTTGGGTTATGGTTCGATGTTCCATTTCAATTCGGCCTATCTCATGAATGACCCTGCTAACTACAGTGAAAACATTTAGCGAACTAGAATCTTTAATGCTTATAAGAGGTGCAAGTTTGAGAGACTTCAAATATCTTAGCATAGCGTAATTCTCTATTTCTCGAGTTGTCGATACACAGTTGAACGGGTAACAGTGTCATTACAAAACTTAGTACATCTATTTTTTCGATTCTATTAGCTATGACTCGTAGGGGCCTATGCACAAATATGCGACAAAGAGGATGAAGAGGCTATTATACTCGAATGCCAGCAGCCATACAGATCAAAAAGATCTATGACCCATCTTCGGCAAGAGTATCCATCATCTCAGTCCGTATGCTATCTCCTCTTCCTCCCGAAGAACATTTTCAATGATTATCAGCACCTGACATATAATCGATATGAATAGCTAAGGCTGCGAGGGCAGTGGTACTATAGAGCTTTTGAATCATGTATAGAGACGGTGACAATATGACTTGGGAGACGGGCCAATAGCCATGTTTTGTGTCGACATGTATTCATCCTAGGTGGCATCAATCAAGAGAGGAATATCATGTGAAAACCACAGCCCTAAAATCGATGTCGTGAACTTTTGTACGGACATCGTCGAATAAGCATCAAATGCTGAAGAAAACCTCTGGTGCTCTATGCAATCAGAGTCGACTGATAGGTCTAACAAAAGAGGTTATCAAGCTTGTACGTTGCTAGTAGTAGCCTGCTATTCCATCTCTTCGGCCTCATGTCAGAAATCGATCATCCGGCTTTGGTGTTGTCGGTCCAATGAGCGACGATGGAAGTCTCATGAGTTGCCTGCCTATCGTTTTCAATCGAACCCGAAGGAAACTACTATGCATTTGATCCTATTATTTCTTCTGCGCGATAACCAAAAAAGTCTGGTAAGGATATTCGAACATGCCTTGGCTCTCGTCAATCCAGACTTTATCATCGCCTCGCTCTACAATGGCCTTGACGTCGTTCAATACTTTAGACTTGACATCGGCGGACAAATTCTGAATGTAGCTCGTGGTCGTGGCTCTATCGACCGCGAGAGGGACGTCGCAGGGTAAGCTATACGCCCAGCTTTTTTCTACTGGAGGTTCGAAGGACCTCTTATAAGAATCCGTGCCAAAAATCTTGCGCCACAGGCCTTGACGGAATTGTGGAGTGCCCAGTGGTTCGTGCTGTTCAGTTTGGGCCCTCAGTTGAGCGACCCATCGTGCAGCCTTTCTATTAATTTAAACTGTTACATGCAGATTGCGTAGAGGAATAAGAGACTCACTTATCGGCGAGGTTCCAAATGAAGGCGACAACACCACCAGGCTTGAGGATCCTGGCAAACTCGACAGAGGCAGCATCAAAGTCTGGACACCAATGAAATGCCTGCATTAATCTGAGTGAGAAACTCTCTCCTGGGGACAAACGCGTGCCTGAGCAATCGTAACAAGATCGGCCCAGCCGTCTTCAATATTAGTGGTATCAAATGTTCCCTCCCTCGCAGAGACACGTTCATCCTGAACGGTCTTGACGAAAACTTCGCGCATTCCAGCGCTAGGTTCCACGGCCCTCAATTCTTTGATTGCACTGGAGAAATCTGGATGCTTGAGGAGCGACTTGGTGAACAGACCTGTTCCGGCACCAATTCTATGTTCGTGGATAAGTTCAGGACATCTAAACTCGGGCAAGGGTACGTACTCAATAACATTTAACGGGGCGGTAGCCTTTACTGCCTCCCTTATCGCAGATAAGGTGTTGGATTGGTACGATGGCCGCGCGCTGAATGTAGGAGTCAAGGAGACCGGATCGTTATGGAACGCAACGGTGACGCTTACCGATCGTAGAGTTCGTTTGTGCCGGAGCCAAAACCACTCTGGGCAACGTTGTGAACGATAGTCATACCTGTTCGTCAGCACAATACGTGTCTTTCAAGATAGATAGACGAGTCGAGTCGTATGGGAACAGCGTCATGTGGATGGGCGGTGGGAATTGCTCTTCGGCTTTTCAGTCCAGTTCTTGTTCATCATGACAAATATTTAGAGTTTGTGCGTCAAAAAATCTTGTTGTACGTGCTCTACGTTGATGATTCTTCTGTATGGCAATGGTCCGATAATTCCTGAACAAGCTCGAGTAAAGTTGTTGCGGTTCTAAATTGGTTGAATGACTTACCTTCATACGGGCCGTTAAGTCTGGTTTACGAGACTAGTTGCGCCATGTATAATAATTATTCGTAGTTACTGTTTGAGCAACACGTGTTCGTAAATCGAACGTCGGTAAATACATTACCCGGAGCCGGATCCGTCCCTTAGTCGACAGTTTACAACGTCTGTTTTGCTGGAGGATGGGAGAGCAGGCACTGACCATCCATGTCGTTTCGTCTGGAAAGCCTGTCACACTCACTTATTCGGATACCTCACTTACTGTGAAGGGCGGCGGCAGTACGTGTCTTCTGCTTGTCTGTCTGTCTCCGTCACCTTAGTTGCTCTAGAGCCTAAGGATATACCCTTTTATCAGCTCATACAAGCCGACTTTCATCCAGATACCCTAACTCTCCAAGTTTCATATCTGTGGAAAAAGAAAACCAAAGGTTACCTGTCTCTAGTCCGTCTTGAAGGGACCGCAAAGAAGAGCGAATCTAGCACCGTCAAGGAATGGGCTGAAACGGTGCTGAACTCAGCTTTCAAAGGTGCATCGTTCGGTTCGGCTTTGTCATGTTGCGACGACAACTGACGACCTGACAGATGCGGGTGTCAATCGAGGACGTCGGCTCAAAATCCTTGTCAACCCACATGGCGGAACTGTGTGTCCCGTACTGCTACTCTTGACTTGTAACTTATTTTTCGTGATAGCGCAAAGGTGCTGCTATCTTCACCAAAATTGTCGAACCCGTCCTCCGTGCAGGTGGATGTGCGTTAGACGTGCAGTGTGAGCCAAGTCTAACATTCTTTTAACTTGGTTATCCATTTTGTTTAAATGACTAGACACGACGCACAGTAATCATGCGTATGAGATTGCCAAGGTGCTTCCGCTGGAATGCGATGCTATCGTCACTGTCTCTGGTGATGGTCTTATCCATGAAGTCATGAATGGCTTTGCCCACCATGCATACCCTATGAAAGCATTTTCCATTCCAATTGCGCCTATCCCAACGGGCAGTGGAAACGGTCTTTCTTTAAACCTACTTGGCTTAGCGGTAATATCACCTTTTCTATTATTTCCAAAGTGTTCCATCTCATCCTCCACGTTCGGAAGGATGGTTTCGACGTGGTAGCCGCAGCATTGAATGTTGTCAAGGGTAAGATCAACAAGACTCTCCGCATCGCGCTATTCTGAGCCCTTTTCAGGTCTCCCAATGAAGGTTGATGTGTTTTCATTCGTACAGAATGGAAAGCGTTCAATTTCTTTCATGTCTCAAGCCATGGGTCTTATGGCGGACCTGGATCTCGGGACAGAACATTTACGATGGATGGGTGACACACGTTTTGTGTACGGCCTCTTTCGTGGGCGTAAGCCAATTTTCATTGAAATGCTGCCGTCAGACGTTTGACAGTCATTATGCGCAGTGGTCACTTTTAAACCATGTTCTGTACAATTTTCTTATAAAGCAGCCGAAGAGGACAAGAATAAGATGGCACAGGAATGTTACGCTAGACGTGTAAATGACAAGTCTGCTAGTCAACGTTCCATCCCTGCTGCGACTGAAGCTGGTGACTCAGCACTCCCGCCTTTGACGACTCATGAGTCAGATGAAGGATGGACCACCTTCGATCAACCACTTCTCTACTTATACGCCGGCAAGGGACCTTTTGTTGGACGGCAGGTATTTTGAACTATCACCGAGCTTATTTGGCTAAGGAATGTGCAGCGACTTTATGGCCTTCCCCGCCTCTTTGCCAGATGATGGTCTGATTGACATAGTCGCCCAGACACTGGTACGAAATATGCGTCACCAAAGTTATCTCCCCATTGTAATTCTTCTGTGACAGTCCTCAAGAGGCGAAATCGTCCACGACCTCGCTGAGGGGCCTAAGGGGGGTCACTTCTGGAAAGACAGCGTATGTTTCTCCATTTCGCACTCACTTTCGTAAAACTCACCGGTCATAGTTGCATTACATTAAGGCGCATGCCTATAGAATGAAGCCACTCTCACCTAAAGGGGCTTTGTCTGTTGACGGAGAGATGTTCCCATTCGAGGCTTTTGAAGTAGAAGTGCATCAAAAGCTTGCAACATTATTAAGTCCCCACGGATACTATGCTGCGGATTTCCTTCCTCGGGGAAACAAATCCTGAATCTTCGTTAACTTCGACTTAAACAACGTGGATGTTATGATAATATGAATCTTAATAATTGGAAGTCCTTTCCCTCTGCATTTTCCTGTACACCGTGCAGCGACTCGGAACTAATCATATATCCTTCAAGTGGCCGCGAATTTTCGGTCACTCGGTTCACACAGCTGTCAACAACGCTTTAAAGGAAGTCTAGTTCAAAAGCAAAATGTGCATATCAACCGAAAGGGTAGCAATGGTTTTATTTCAATGTCGAAGTCTGAGAGACCTAACCTTGGGGTATTAAACGATGCGCCGATCATTCATAATCGGACCTCCTTGCAAAGATCATCCAGAACTTCTCCGGCACGAACCCCCAAGACACTGAGGAGAGAATCGCTCAATCCGTGAGTGGCTTCTTCAACGCCCTGCAGATAAATCCTGGATTTCAGGCCTCCATCATTGGTAGGTATAAGGCGGTATCCTCTGCTGATATAGATTTTGTGGTCATCATGACGGTCCAATTCGGTCACAGAGAGAGTTGGTGACGTAGGTGGGGTGCTCACAGCACTTCCATTGGATGACTCGGCCGATCTTCCACCACCATGCAGAAGAGAATCCAACTCACTGTCCTGGAGCGACCTCTTGGTATCCGGAATGAGGCGACAAGTACCTGGTTGGCATGCAGAGGACAAGCCAAAGTGCTTGCCTACGCTGGAATTTTTTAACAGATTTATCCAGGACGTTCGTTGGTAGCCTGTAGCGCAGATGACCGCGTCATACTTCTCCGTCTCCAACTCACGAGAAAGAACATGTTGGATGGTGAACGTGAAATCCGGGTCACCATCGACTTCGGGTGCATGGGCAGCAACGATGCAGGAATAGGGTCGAATGTGAACCAAAGGGATAGAAGAAGATGGACCGTTGGTTCTGCGCGCGATGTCACTGTCCACCTTTTGACTATAGATGACTTCGTAAAGCTGTTATGTATAAATCAGAAAGCGGCTGCAATTTAAACTCGGATGTCTTTACTGCATCTAGGGTGAGAGAATTGATCACGCTGTAATTCGTGCTCCTGAATTCTTGAAGCTGTGTAGCACGAGCTGCGGTCGATGGGTGAGAAAACCATGCGTCAGTAGCTGGAGAGCACACAATTAACATCAGCATTCCATTTTATAAGAGATAGACATACCCTGTGGGTCAAAAATTTCGTTAGCGAACGGGGTATCATCGCTGGGCCTCAAGGCGCCCTTGCGGATGATCATATCAATCTGGTGTCTCCCAGCCGGTACAGGGATGCTCCTCAGTCTCTCCCGTAAGTTGAGAGTTATCTCGCCGGCGGATTGGCCCGCGCCGATGACAGCGATACGAAGACTTGCTTTGCCCTTTGCAGCAACGGAGGCGATAATAGAGTCAACAGACATCAAATAAGTCGAGCTATGGATAATTAGAGGGTGTTCAATGAGTGGGGCGAGAGGTGCTGGGATGCGACCGGTTCCACCAGGTGAGATTATCAGGTTGCCTATATCGCAAAACAGATCAGAATCATTATTCGTCTGTACGGTTCAAGAAAGGCTCACGAGTTGTATACGATGCGACATCGTCATTGGCGACACTTTTGGTGTGAATAACAAGAAGACCATCAGAAGTAGAATCGACGCCGACCACCTCTGTACCAAACAAGACGGGGATACCATGATCTTGGACGTAGCGGGCAGCCCATGACAGATAATCTGCATATTCCCTTCGTGTGGGGATAGTAGAGCCTCGATTAATAAATTTGATCAGACGGTTCTGGCTGTGAAGGTATGATAGGAAAGTGATAGGAGATTGCGGCGAACGCAAAGTAGCGAGATCTTTCATGAAGCTGGCCGGAACATCAAAGCCGGTGAGAAAAGGGTTGCTTCATTGAGTATAGAAGCAAATACCTGATCTGCATACGAGCATCTGGAAGGAGCATTCCAGGGTGCCATTGAAACTTTATATTCCTCTCGAGGAAGAGCACCTTTTTGATAGGATAGTCTTGATGACTAGAATCCTATTTCCCGGTTCGGGAGTGTTAGAGGGCATATTGGAATAAGATAAGATGCAGGACATACCCAATGGACAGCCCAGCTCTCTACTAGAGCTCCGCCAATCGCAATATTGGCGGGACCGAAGCCAAGCCCAATGAGGTCAAAAGTCGTGTCGGGGCTCTGCATACCTGTGATAGATGGTCGTGGGTCAACGTATGAGTACCAGCAAGATGGGGTTTATTTTATACGGAATCAAACGGGTTGAACACGACAGAAAGACGTCAAATTTGCCGAGGATGCCATTTGGACTTGAAAAACTTTTCGAAAGGAACCGGAACATTGTTCCCAATATGAAGATCTAGATCAGGAAGTAAAAGGGTCAAGCTCGTCATGAAAACCACTGGTTAGGCTCCAAATGGTAGAATTCGTCCGGCAGAGAGGCAGAAGGAGTGTTGTTTGCGAACCACACTGATCATTGTGACCAAAGTAGCATTCCTTATCTGATAACCAGTTATCTGATAGTCTACCATGCTGCGTCAAATCAAATGTAATCTTATCAGATAATCTCGTGATCAAAAATCTTTCCCACCTCCTCGTTATGTCCTATGTTGCATCAGTTACACGGGTCTAGCCTGCGTATAATTACACACCCGATCAGGGTCCAAGCGGTAATATTGTCCATCGCTGTTGATACATCTCCTCCTGGTCCAGAGGTAAGGAACATAGCCGATCATTCAGGATGAAAAACGCTTGGACGGGTCTCCTGGCTCACTTGGAGTTATTCGTACCTCTGTCAGTGTGTTCAGAACTAGTCGGCGCCTACGTGACTAATGCCTAGAGCTTGCCGAAGTCCAAGACTTCAGACTGATACGACATTGACCGCCGTTGACAGATTCAACCCGACATGATGTTTCTTACTTGACACGTAGGAGCCAGTTGAATGCCGGCATTCCTTTCTCGTGTCGTTCTCCGGATATAATTCATGCACTTGATGGGAGTCGATTTGTAGGGTGCATTACTTTCACCCGGTCAGGCGAATCAAGCCGTGAAGCGAGACACGGCCGAAAGCGCGTCTGTTGAAAGGCTATAGTCGGCTCCCAATACAATTGTATGATATTCTTCATGGCTATACCAAAGTGATCAATACCGGAAACCAATGGACGGAAGACTAGGACCCTTTACACATGTACCACACTAAGCCCTTTCCAGGAAAAGTAATCCGTAAAACGGTAATTCAGCGAGCGAAGGAATGAAGCGAGAGTATTAATGGCCGCGACGAGCAACTCGAAGACTTTCTTCCTCCAAGCCTTCTACCCACACAACCTCTATGCCAGCATCCTTTAGCTTCTGTGCACCTTCACAGGTGACAAAATCGGCGGGCTCCCCTACACCGATAAAACACCGCTTGATCTTGGCGGCTATCAAAGCATCTGCACAGGGCGCCAGCCCGGATGTTCGGATGGAGCAGGGCTCCATGGTTGTATATACGTCGAGACGAGCCAAGATTTCACCGATGTCGAGTGAAAATGGTACAGAGGATGCGGAAAATATATGGCAAAGCTTATCCTGTGGGAGAGAGTGTAGCTTTGTAAGGGCGTTGGCTTCAGCGTGTGTATTTCCTTCGAGTTCCCTAGAATAACCTGTAGAGACAACGGCAGGGGTGCCATTATCAGGCCATCTCAGTACTAGAACGCAGCCCACGCAAAACGCTGTAGGAGACGCCTGACATTTTTCTGCCTCCGCCAGCGCAAGGCGCATGAACGCGACCTGTTCATCGACGTCGGTGCTCATCTTGTCAAGGCCTCTGTCACAAACATGTCACAACAAGCAAACTTACGCTGACATAATGCTACAAACAGATTCTTGCCCCTTGTTCAGTTGTTTTCTCGACAGCGGTCTCAATTTGAACCTGTACCACCATGTCTTCGCCTGTACCAGACGATGCCAATGAGGTGGCATTCCCCGATGAGGATGTTCCCATGAACGGTTTCGAGCACGGCGACGATGACGAAGGTGAAGGTGATGTAATAATGCCTGGAGCCTCAGATGATAGCTCCGAAGAAGATGAAGACGACCCCGAGGAGGAGAAGAAGATAAAGCAGGGATTCATTGTTGACTCTGATGACGAAGAAGAGGACAGGCGGCGAAGAAAGAAACGTCGAAAGAGGCATCACAGGCATCGAGGCAAGCATTTCGGACACATGTATGCCGGAGATTTTTAACTCTCGTAACAGAGGAAGAAGAAATGCTAGAAGATGATGACCTGGATTTACTCGAAGAAAATACAGGCACCTCATTCAAGAGAAATCGTCTCAAGCGTCTCGTTAGACATGGATCAGACTCACCTCCAGCCGCGTCGTCTTCACGCCGTGCAGTGGTCGAGTCTTCCGACGATGACTTAGATGACGATGACGAACTGCCTCGGATTCAAGATATTCACAAAATATGGGATGACGATCGACGAGGAGAGGAAGACGACGAGGATGCAGACGGGGATATGGATGACTTCATCGAATATGAAGATGAAGACGAAGGTGGTGCCATGGATGAGCAGGCTCGTGAAGAGCGGAGAAAGGAAAGAAAGAGGCAGGAATTGGAGCGCCGCAAAAAAGCCCGTGAAATACGGCCAGAGTTAGCTGGAATCGATGCGAAGTACGACCATCTCCCTCTGGTATCTTTCCTTTCTAATCTATTTCTAGTGCATGGGAGGAGATTCATGATGTGTTTGGCGATGGTCATGATTATGACTGGGCTTTAGCAGCCGATGACGAGTATGAATATGACGAAGAGCAAACCAAACCTGATATTAGGTACCAAGATGTATGTTTATTTTGCTTCTCCATGGCTGTTGGAGCTCCTAACCATTATTTCAGGTCTTTGAGCCAACTGACATCCGAGCTCGAATGTTGACCGAAGATGATGATCTGATACGCGCTCGGGACATACCCGAGCGAATGCAACTGGCGACATCATCCATTTCTCCGAACTCATCTCTATCTCTGCATACATCTCTGACTCCCGACGACATGAATGGCGCTGCCTTATGGGTTAGTCAACGGCTGTCTCACCGAAAGACCCTAGAGTTCTTCAGTCCTCTTGGAAAACATCAAGACTTGAAAGGAGCACTGGTGTTAGCCGTCACTTTCGCGCTCAGGCAGCTCTTCATTGAGGAGTACGAAGTTCCCTATATTTGGACCCATAAACGCGATCACATATCTTATTTCGATGTCAACGACGTTCGAGCACGTTTCGAGCTTCTCAGCTTGTCAGAACTGTGGAAGATTTACTCCCTTGGCCAGAAATATCGATCCCTTGTCGAACGTCGAAACACGCTGACGGCTGCTTACGAGCGGCTCCACGTGAGCGACAAGTACTTTGAGGAAGAAGTCTTGCCACAGATAGATGGTATCGAAGTAGTAGCTGATGCTACCGAGTGGCTGAATATGAAGTACAAGAACAAGAAGCCCGACGAAACATTTCATTTCCATGATGACGAAGAGACCGACACTAAGAAACATAAAATGCCTAGTCGCGTATCGATTTACGAAGTCACCAAGAAGAGCATTGTTTCTCGCCTGGCCCAAGTGCGTTCCTAGCCTCTTGTCCAGCGCCGCTGACTGACATGAACAGGGATTTGGCATTCAACCGCACGAGGTGGTCCTGAATTTTGTGGCAATGAATCACGTGCATTTCATTGAAGACCAGGACCTTAATCCTTTGGTATATGCTGAAAGATTTGCTGATCCGGACCCTGCAAGAGCCCTTCCAGCCGAAGAATTACTTCGGCAGGCACGCATGATCATCGCCACTGAGTTGGGCAAAGATCCTCTGCTACGGAATCATGTCCGCCAGGCTTTCAAAGAGGATGGCCAGGTTTCGGTGCTTCCTAACGAGCGAGGCAAGACGAAGATAGATGAACACCACCCATACTTTGTGGGCATCTTTTTCTCATCTAGGGGCCTATTCTGACGATAAATTTACAGAACTTCAAATATTTACTCAACAAATCTGGCCGTGAAATGACGATGTCTTCGCAGTTTCTCCACATGATTGCTGCCGAAAATGCTCACTTAGTGACTATCTCCATCTTCCTTCCCGTGAATGCGTATTCGGCTTTTGAGCGAAGACTAAATGATGCATTTGCGTCTGATAGTTTCAGTGAATCGGCAAAGGCTTGGAACGAGGAACGTGCCCGAATTGTTCAAGAAGTGCTCGCCCAGCATCTGATACCAGCCGGCATCAAATGGATGCGGGAGTACTTGCGGGATGAGGTCGAAGATTTCCTGGCGGCTGGCTGTGCTGCAGGACTCAGGAAGGTGGGAATCACAAATTTCATTATGTGTCCCCTCATACTTATACGTATATAGCGTCTTGACGTTGCACCATACTTCACGCCCAAGATGAGCCTCGGTGACACTGCATCCATCTTGGCCCTTTCCTGGGGTAAAGGTGATCCTCAGAGGGATCCTATCTCCGTCGTCTTCATGGATGAAGCTGGTCGCATGCGTGAGAGTACAAAGATTGACAATCTGTTCGACCAAGAGCAGAAGGATGAATTCTTCGACCTTATAAAACGTCGTAAACCGGACGTTATTGTCATCGGCGGGTTTACTATGGCCACTGCAAAGTTATCGTATCGTGTCAAGGAAATTCTCAAGCATGGACCTGGACCAGTTGAAGGAGCAGAGCAAGACCCGGATTTTGATATTCCTGTCATCTACATTCGCGACGAGACTGCTCGAATATATCAGCATAGCCCTCGTGCTGCGGAAGAGTTCAATGCCCTATCACAAACTGCCAGGTATTGTGTAGGTATGGCCCGATATGCTCAGAACCCTTTGAACGAGTACGCTGCTTTGGGTTCTGATATAGCTGCCGTGACTTTTGACGAGGATGATCAGCATCTGGTGAGTGCTTGTCAAATTCTCTTTGCGTCTCTCTGACGTTTAGACCAGGTTCCCCGAGAGAAACTTCTAATGGCGCTGGAGCGGACTTTGGTTGATGTAACTAACAAAGTCGGCGTAGATATCAATCGAGCAGCGGCTGATAGTTACTACGGACTATTGTTACCCTTCGTCTGCGGTCTCGGCCCTCGGAAGGCACAGGTCCTTATCCAGAAAATTGCTTCGCAGGTATGTCACTACCGAAGGCAGTTCAAATCCAGTCCGCTCATAAAGACACATCCTAGGGTGGTAATCTGGTCAATCGTAATCAGTTCATCAAAGGAGGACTTTTAACAACCAAGATCTTCTTGAATGCTGCGGGCTTCCTCCGTATACATCAAGAGCAAGAATCGAAGTCCATGAGAAACCGTCACGACGATGACAATGCCCCAGATCCATTGGACGATACTCGCATACATCCGGAGGACTACGAATTGGCTCGAAAGATGGCCACAGACGCCTTGGAACTGGACGAAGAAGACATACATGATGAACACCCATCACATGTTGTGACAATGATCATGCGCGATCCAGACAACGAGAAAAAACTTTCGGAGCTTAACCTTGACGAGTTTGCTGTCAGTCTTTTCAATGCCAACCAGGAGCTAAAACGACATACACTCAACGTCATTCGTGAAGAGCTCTTAAAGCCCTTCGCGGAGCAGCGTAACCGCTGGCCTGTTCTCGAGCCGTGGGACGTGCTCACAATGCTGAGTGGAGAAACTCATCGGACGCTGCGTGTAGGTCTGATCGTCTCTGTTCTCGTGCAACGTGTCAAGACCAACCTCGCTCATGTTCGCTTGGATTCTGGTATTGAGGGTATCGTCCAGCCCGAATTTATGATGGACAATGGAGGTCACCTTCTTCCAAATATGGCCGTACCAGGTGTTGTGATAGAAGTGAAGCTCAGTCTAGAGACCGATCAGTTCATGGTAGAGCTGTCGACTCGACAGTCTGATGTTGGTGGAGGTGACAGCGCGTTTCGTCGTGTACGACCTGATGAACATTGGGATCACCAACGGCACGAAAAAGACCAAGAAGTACTCGCTCGGAAGAAACGGGCGGAAGGTGCTAAAAATCGGCGGGTTATCAAACATCCCAACTTCCACAATTTCAATACCGCACAAGCAGAGAATTATCTCGACAAGCAACAACGTGGCGATGTGGTCATTCGTCCTTCATCCAAAGGCGCCAACCATCTTGCTGTTACATGGAAGGTCGATGATAAACTTTATCAGCATATCGGTGAGTGTCAATTTGCGACAGATCATGTTTCATCTTCTGACATCGACAACAGACGTCACGGAGCCCAATGCAGATCCCACCGGCCAAACAATCGGTAGTCAGCTCATTGTAGACGCATCTCACCGATACGCTGATTTGGATGAACTAATTGTCAACCATGTGCAAGCGATGGCTCGTCGCGTTGAGGAGTTGATGGCCCATGATCGCTTTAAGCAAGGTTCAGAAGATGAGCTTCGTAAGTTACTCACAGCATCGTCGAAACCAGTGCTGACACAATTGCTCTACAGATCTCTTTTTGAAGCAGCAGCTGGCGGCTAATCCCGCAAAAAGTATGTACGGGTTTACACTCAATCGGAAAAGGCCTGGACACTTCAGTCTCTGTTTTCTCGCCAACAAACAATCGGCTGTGCAAACATGGGTACGCTGGTCCCAAGTCAATCGATTCTCTGAAGCTGATCGCTTCCATCCTAGCCGGTACGCGTAACCCCGGAAGCATACTATTTGTTCGAGGCCGCAGCTGTTGGAGTGCCCGAACTCTGTGATGCTTTCAAAGTACGGTAAGTAAACATTTTAATCGTCATTATACTTTCCAATTTTAAGCTTCCATCAGGCATCTCCATGAATCTCAAAATCTGGCGAACACTGGAGGTCGGACACCGTTTGGTGCAGGCATCCGAACTCCTGCCCGCACGGGACAAGCTACTCCGGGACATGCATCCATTCGACAGCCTGCAAGGACGCCGAATCCATACGGAGGCGCTACTCCTGGTCCTCGATACGGCACCAATGGACCTCCTCCGCAGATGCCCTATGGGTACCAAACACCCTCTCATCGTCCGGGTGGTTTCCCGCCTCCTCAACCTGCCGCTCTTCCCACTGGTATGAATCCTCAACGAGCCCAGATGATACAGGAGGGTGGTTGGAGCAGTCACCGTTGATCCACGGCTTTTGTTTATCCTCGACTCCCGTTATTTAACCTATATTCCTACCACTTGTATATCAGATCTTGTCACAATTCATAATTTAATTTCACAGGGATCTATTGAAAGCTTGGGCTTCTACTTCCATCACATCATCTAATGATTCCTCCCAACACGCATGCATCATGTCATTTTCTCTGGTGGTCTCCTGCAACCGACCTCTCACCGCTCTTGGTTGGCCGTGCATCCAACAAGGTATAGCTTCACCATCACGCTAACACCAGACTCGACTCGTTACAAGGGGATGCTTGGCTGGAACCAGCATTTGATTACGCTCGAGAAACCATCATACATCATGATTTTGAAAAGGCATATGTCACTTAAAGACCTGCTCGGAACTTAATCACAGCCCCCAGGCTCTTCGTCGCTATCCCTCACCGTAAGTTTTCTTCCCTTCGTATCAATGTAGCTAATAACCATCCCTAGGCTCAATTTCATGTACAACTCGCGATCGTGAGGAAATCTATAAGTGACATGAACAGGACTGATTTTGATTCTTGTTTAGCACGGAAAACATATGTCGGTCGACGTCGGATGGCTTAGCATGGAACCAGAACGTACGGATAAGTGGTACAATCATGCTAGGAGGCACTTCCAGTGCGAAAGCAAGCTTCGACATACCTATACCCATCATCATTGGGTCAGACGCGGTCGTCTCCCGACTTCCGGTCACTTTGTGGAGGAAAATATTGGCAGAATTGTCTCATGAGGATATTAAATCCATGACGCTCTTATCTGGCATCTTTCGTTCCCTTTTCCAGCCGCTACTTTTCCGGAAGCTCGTGCTACACCCATACTACACATCCCTTGCCGATCGCGGCTTCATATATCTTCACCGACGGCGATGGATGAAACAATCCGAGTTCTTCCTCCTTCCCCACATTGCACCTGTTATCGAAGAGTGCTACATAGTACCCCACGGCTTTCGGCCTGGAGACGGGGAGAGTAAGTGGGCCACCATAGATGACATTGTCGATTCCATCTTTAATATTCTTCCCAACTTTCCGAAACTGGAAAAATTGGTCTGCCACCAAGTTGACCTTACGTCGAAGCGCATGATTGGGCTCAGGGTTCTTTCACTGAAGTCTATCTGGTTGGACTCATGCTATCGCCGCGGGCGAATATCTGACATGGTCCCTATGCCTTTGGATACGGTTGTCTTGTACAATTCAGTGCCGCCGCGGGGGTCTCATATCGACCCGTCGTTCTTGTCACTCTTCCTCCATTCACCCTATCTCAAAAAGCTTGTTGCAGGGCCTACGGACGATATCCTCGTTTCCATGATCCTGCATCCCAAGCCATTCTGGCACTTATCAGAGCTCGACGTGTCCATCGACTGTATCGTGTCGAATAGAAACTTCGTCACCGCGCTAAATAGGTGCCCCGAACTGAAGAAATTGTCCCTACGTCCATTCCACAAACCAGTGCCGAAGCATGGTTTAGGTTCATTCCCCAGCCATATCGTTCCGAAGCTTCAGTCCTACAGAGGACCACACGTTTGTTTGCCAGTATTCGCCAATGATCGTCGATTGAAGACGATCGATATCTCCTTTGTGTGCTCTCCAGAGAATCTAAAAAAATCACTGGATAGAGTAAAACAACCTGCCCAAGACCATGTTGAGTCCTTGACTGTCAAAGTCACCGATAATCCGCTCGCTTCAGCATTACTTCATCATATCCATATTTCGTTCCCCTCTTTGCGAGTGCTGAACATCAAGCAAGCAACATGTTCTGCTCTGGATTGGCTCGCACTTCTGAATGGAGAAGAGCACTGTGGTATCCAGACCTTGCAATTTGGTGTGCATATTGGGGATCCATACTTGACGTGGAACACTCCTGTACAACAGATACGTAAAGTCACCAGAGCGTTTGTATACCTGTACCCTTCACTCATGCGAACATATCCGTCACTACAGAGGGTGCAGATTGTGTATAACATCAATGGGGCATCGTTGGTGTGGCGCAATCGTTCACCAGGTAGATCTACTTCCTTGGACCTGAGGGATGTCCGTGTCGAGGTGGATTCCAACAAACCTGAAAGCACAGGTAGGCGCCTACGACCTGTGGAGATGCAAATGAGCCGTGGACAATGGTCAGTCGTGATTGACCGCAATCTGCTCCTAGGCTTGAAACCCTCTTTAACATATGCCTAAAATTCAGTTGCCTGATTCGAAACTTCCATCAGAGCATACAATAGCAATTACGGATAATTCGAATAGCAGTCTTTAGGACGATAAAAGCTGGCAAGCAGGCGGCTAAGGCAACACATCAAGAATTGCAAGAATTTGGTAGTCATCTGCATAACGTACCGAGAGACTTCTCTGAAGGTAAATCATGGACAACGATGTTTGATCCCCATCAATCGGAATAGCATACGACCATCAACGACAATCCTCGTCCACCACCAGTATCGTTAGGAATGCCTTTGCATCTGTTTAGCTGGAGACGGAAAAGATGATTGGTCCGCGAACGAAACTGTTGCCAACAGGTGTGATTGAGGGTGAAAAAGGATGAATACAAACAGACTTTTTACAGGCCATATGCAACGGCGTCGACACCGCTGCATCCAGAATTAGCTCTAGACAGATCCAACGGTGTAAATCAGCTCCTATACCGAACGACGAGTCCTGGAGACCCAGTGGCATGTCGATGCGACAACGACTGCCTGTACATGTCAGATTCTTAAAAAATCGACAGGTTTGCTTTTGTAGAGTGATGTCGCCAAATTAAATCCGGATTGAGCATGCTTGGGAGGGAAGAGCAAGGAGGTTACGGTTGACGAAAAACGAGAGAAGGATGGGTGAAAGACGAGCGATTGAATTTCTGTCACAGTGGGGAACCTCGGCGGAGAAGATCGTCTATCTTCAATCTTTTTGGCTGGAAAGTCTGCGTCAAGGACACTTAGCAACGTCACCAGAGATACCTGGACTACAAAAAGGAAGACTTATCAAGCACTTTCCACGGTCCAAAAAAATCCCATTGTTAATTGCACAAATTCTGCGATTTCTGTCCTCTTTGCGACGAATAAGAATTGTTAGAATTGCTATTGATTGGCGTAATGAAGGCGAGAGATAGCAGGCCAGCGACGGCCACGCAAAAAATTTGGGGTAAGGAGTGAGAGTTGAAATTCGATTTATATATTTGACGTTGATAGGTGCAGCCACTCGATTCTGGCTTTCTTCTCGACGTTCATCATCGCCTATTGCTGAATGATCTCTGGCACCTTTCCTGCTGATGGGGATTGCAGTGTTTCACTATCTTTTGCTCGATATCGGCTTTTTGCATCAAACATTGGGATGCAGGATTCGCTACTCAGGTTGCAAACCTACCGGACGTCTTCACTCGGTTTCCTAGGTCGAACTTGGGCATTTTGAGGATCTAACTGGAGTGAAAAGGCTCTTCTTGTCCAGGAAGACTTCTGGTAACGGGGCAGTTACAAGCTCGAGGGCCGTGCTGCCCTTGCAACCTATCGAAAATGTCGTTCCACATTCGGAAAAGGCCACAACCATGACTTGGAGACGTTTTATTCGAGTCTTCCATAGGAGCAACAATAATCTGACGAGTCTTCGTTCATGGCCAGCTGAGAGCATGTAGGACACAGTTCCACAGTGAGCTCACTCTTTTTCACTTGTAGAGTCTTCTTGATATTTGATTGACACTGGTATTTTGTCCTCGCAGATTCTTCTATTCGCCGATCGAGGTCCTCAAGAATGGTTTCAGACGTGACGCGGTGATATTCGAATCCTGGATCTTTTGAAGAAACAATCTGTCTTGCTTGTTCCGATATCTCTTCAGGGTACCGCTGGGCCTTGGCAGTCATCAGCTTTGATTTCACTCGCGAGCGATATGGACAAAACATACTGAGTCATTTCCTGACAATTTAAATTTTAACTTTTTAAGGGCGCGGTATGACGTGATCACATGATCTTAGAATGCCCATATAAATCTCGCGAGTCGCAAGAATCTGAGCATAGGCTCCAAAAGGCCGCGTAGATCAAGGAATAGGCCACCAGATCGACGAGAATCGGAATCCAGTCCAAGAAGAGCGTAGATCGCTAATCAGGCTGACAGTCCAGGACCCGCCGCAAGTCTGGATGTTCGAGCATCGACCGCAATTGCGAGAATATGACCAACAAAGAGAAGGCGCCAATAACGACAGACTTGCACCTTAGACCTGGACTGATACGATTCTCTCTCAACACTTCAAAAATTTTGCAGAGGATCCGCCGGACTCACCGATTCCAGGAATAGGAAATACTCGATGGTGGACTTCCCTGCATCTTGTTTGCGTATGCTTCACAAAGTTCCCACTGCAAAAAGCGTATTTGGATAACCAAATTCAGACCTCGGTTTCCTTGTTTAAGGGTTCGAAGCGAGAGGGAGGCTTTCACTCGCCTTTTTTTCCTTCCCATCACCATAATGAACGACAATTTCCCCCCTCCACCTTATACAGCAAGGCACTTTGACCGTCAGGCGTCTGAGCTTAGGGCTCCAGCCTACAGGCGTGCCCATATGCGTCGCTTTCACCCATATCCTAGGTACAGTCCTCCACTCGTCGTCGTCGTCCTCCTACCGGTCGGTTTCCCTTTATTATCTAGCCAAATTTTCACTTACGGCTAGCCCTCTTTCTAGCGCCAAGATTCCGAACTGATTCCCTCAGTGGCTGCAGCTGCTATGGTAAGTATGCCTTTAGTCCCGGGGGGGCGCTTTTTGGCCAATTTTGTTCAACCTTCTAGGTACGCGAAGATGAGACTCGAGAGAAAAAGTTTGAAGGTGGCAGAAGTTGGAAATGGGTGCCCATTGTCCTTATTGTGTGTTCACATTTCGCCTTCCCTGTGCATGGCTCACATTTTAAAAGGTTTTTGCTGTTCTCTCGCACATTTTGGAACGCGCCAATCTCCTCTGAGTTGACGCATTTATACTATCACCCCTATCATAAGTGTGTTTCTATCTTCCCCGTTGGCGTCTCACTAATATTTCCATCATAGATCATCACATCAGTTACACTTTCGCTCCGTATTTCTTGCTGCCACTGGCCAAAAAGTACATATCGCTATTTCTACCATCTGTACACTCACAACCAAATCTCAAACAGTAAAAAGTGTATCACAATCCTTATCATTGTATATATATCTTGTCCCCAACCTAGCGCTATAACAATGACAGGATCATCATTGTGGGCCTATGTACGAGTCTCGACACGTGCCCTCTTGGTGCGCCCACTCTACAGCCTGCCTATGCTTCTCCCAGAGATCAACGAACGGAAGTTCAATACAAACAAATGTCCAGCCAGTTCATTAGGCGACCCTACAAAGGCTTCGCTGGTAGTTGTGTCAAAAGTACACCATAACGCTTTTTAATGGTGACGCGGTGCCTTGAGAACTTGTCATCTGGCGAAAACCTCGCTAAAGAAAGCTTGAGCTCGTCATTGCACGAAACATGGGTATTCGTAGTTACCAGGGTGAGCCGACTTGGTGATTTTCCCGGTGTCTGTAACTTTCTAAAGTGGAAGAGTCAGCCTTCCGCTACATAGAGAATAGTGGGGCTTACTTTCAGAGTATAAACTCTGTTTCCTTCCGCATCCAGAGTGTACATCAAGTGCATTTTGGGGTGTGGTGGAAAGAGTTCAGAAAAGAGTCGGAGATTGCCGAAGGTCAGATCAAAAAAAATTTTTTTTAGGCCACGTGATATATTTAGCATGTAAGTTAATTTAAAAGCAAACTGAAAAGGCAGCCAAAGGGTGCTCAAATTATTTTTTTGGTGGAGCTTTAATGGCAATTGGCAACAAACAAAGTTAGCCTCAAATTGTCAGCTAGATGAGCAGGGATTTTCATCCTGCTGGACCAGGGTAGGAATGCATTTGCACATGGATGGTCCAAAGACTGAACAGTGTGAGACTCACTATTCAGCACTACCAACTAAACCTCCCAATGGAACTGCTGGGTTTGAACCCTGCTCTTGCAGACTCAGCATCTTCAGTTCACCCAAAGACCAGAGCCAGACTGCTCAACTATCTAGCCTCTCACCAAATTTAATTTTGTACATGTGTTGGAATTTTATTCTCAGGCATCAAAGGGGTACCCACCCAACCACATGATGGACAATGATGCAATATATGACATAAATTTCATGACTAAGTATTTAAGCCTTTGCCATGCAATGGTTTGGATGCTGTAACTGCAGAAGCTGTTGAAGGACACTTTGGGACCAACCAAGAATTCATAAAATTTTGGCTTTTCTTGTTGCTGGCTTTGAGTTTTTTGCTGGCTGTGTTTTTAATCAGTGCAGAATCACAGGTTGCCATTTTCCAATGGGTTTTAGTCATATTCTGGATCCCAGCTGTTCCAAGATGCACTGTAGTCCCACATCTTGGACAGAGAGCAGTATTCTTGACTGTATCTATGTGAATATTCTGGGAGACCATGAGAAAATCATTGAAACTTGAAGTTTATAAGTAAAGGTTACCTGAAAGTCAAACACTTCATTTATGATTGTGTTAAAGACAAGTGGCAAGGCCTATTTCAAACTTGAACCTAATACCCTAATTTGGATATCTGGTGCCTAAATTAATATTTGTTACTAATAGTACATAATTTAATATAGATATGTTGTCATTATAGCAAAAAATAGGGATTCTCATAAAATTTTTTCAGGCCTTTCAAGGTGAACCAACCACCCTATCAGCTGTGCCAGGCCAACATTCCCAAGCATTCTAGGCAGCCTCTGCCTGGTGCAAGAAAAGGCATGCCTTTCATCCTTAAGCCTGAATGTTCATTAGGCACATAATTGTTGAGATTTGGTTTTCACAGCTTTAATGTCACATTCTATTTATATATATTTACTGCTTACCTTATACTTTGATATTTTCGTACCTATCGACTTGACTTGGAACCCCCACTGTCCCTACTCTGTATGATGGAATATACCTTCCTCTCGAGTCCAATATGCCTCCTTCCGAATCATCAGCACCTAAATTCCAACAACAATGTAGAACCAGTGGATGCAAACCATAGATTAAGATTTTCATAGTATTTACGGATATGTATGATCCTCTGAACATCAGCGGGCAACACGACACTTAGTTGGATTTAGAAAATCAGACCGATTTGCTCATCGATTAGTCATTCAACATGACCGTAAGTATTGCTTACCAAGCCACCATGATGATGATGATGGTCTGCTTTTCCATTTATCACCATCACCATCGCAATGGCTCGCCAGGAAATCATTTCTCTCCAGAAATTCAAGAAGATCGTGCATACGGTGGATCTATTCATCTGCAACGTTAATCCGTCCAGGTCGACGGTTCCAAGCCAGTTGTTATTGACTTCTGGGCAACATGGTATAGCCTATGCAAGATGATTGGACCTGTCTTCAAGAAACTTTCAGAAAAGCCTGAATTCGCTAGCGTTTACTTCTACACTGTCGACGGCGACGACCAACCCGATATCCTGGATGAACTCCAAGTATCTTCAGTAAGACTCTTGTGTAGTCGTTGATCTACTTCTTACCCCGGCTGGCAGATGCCTACTTTCATTGCGTTCAAGGATGAAAAAAAGCTAGGGACATCGCTGGGTGCCATTCCCAAGAACCTTCTTGTATGAGTCATCGTTTCCTCTTGGGGAATCGTTACTGTTATTATGCTCCTATAGGAGCTCATCAATAAAGCAGTTGAAGCTGCACCTACAGCTACTGAGGGCTCGTCGTCTGCGGAGGCTAAGGGTAGGCTTCCCTCTATATGCGAACCGACTGATAATCTCCTTAAGCTGAAGTCCCAGCCTCAGCCCCGGCCCCAGCATAAATATCCCACATAGAGGTACAGTTAAATTTGTCATATGTACGTCTGAATTCGATCAAGATGCCGGTTGTATTTTATGTGATCAATGGCAACTCTTAATCCTTTTCTGCTACTCGCGAGGTCTTTGGCGGGACCCTTTTTGAGTAGAAGTGGTTTCAAGCTAATCAAGTGATGCCGGGTATGGGTTGGTCGAGGTTTTTATTTCATTGCATGGAACTTTATTACTTATATATTAGCGGTTATGTATATATATCCTGCTTTTCCGCTCTCCACTCGAGCAACGCTTGGGGTCCGGCGAAACACGACTCGTGGGCTAATGAGAAAGGTCCTAGTCAAGATGCATTGCATGCTTTTTCACCTTGGCATGATGCGCTCATGGAATCGTTCATCTCCTATGTTATGACACGGTATTTCCGGATGGTTTCTTCGAATTTCAAGCGCCTTTTAACAAAGAGGGATCAGATCTTATAACCTTAGGAGAAAGCGCAGATGGGTTACTACGATTACGACGCAATGATCAGAAATATCGTTTCGTATTTACAAAAGAAGGACCAGTTGCAGTATAGACTTGTTCACTATCCAAAAGACGTAATTGCGACAATTGATTATCTTTTGCCGTGAGCGTCGGTATCCTGAAAGGCTACATAGACGGGTCGAATCCAAACTTGTTCTGCTTGATGCCATCCTGGAGGAACTCCGTGTTTCTAGGGCATTGACCTGGGTTTACATGAACACCCATCTCATTTATCATGATGGGGTCCGTAGCGAATGATTCGTGCCATTAGATTTCAGTCAAGATCATCAAGGACGTTTTCATCGGTGTGGCGAATTGCCCTGGTTGCTAGTCTACATTTCCATTCTGATCTTTACGTTATAGATGGTACAGTGCTTTGTTTGGCTCTACAGATCTACTTACGAGATTTGCGAGTTTGACTCACACTGTCTATGTAGCGTCTAGCGCCGACCATGGATCCTTCTTTATTTACCCATTTACTACACTCAGGATTGTGCTGCTTCAAATTCCTCACCGCTATTGTTACCTTGGTTTGAAGTTTCTCATAGGCAGCTAGTATAAGTCAAAGGCCCTTCGCACCAAGTCAATGACTGCTTGCAGGCATCAAAGGGTAATATTCCGTAGAAGGGAGATCGTCACGTCGAACCATGTTTTGCCAGGCAGGTCAACCTACGGTAGCACCTGGAGACTGCCAATGATTGGAATGTCCAATCGATGATTACTTTCAACAGGTGCTTTGACCTTGGCCTAGATCGACATTACTTCGCAGATGGTGCTACGTTAATTCAAAGTTGGGCGCCAAGCACATTGAAACGGCATGCACCATCATCTCACGCTTTGAATTGGCATAGGGTGGACGACTCGGTTGCTGAAAATGGAAGAGACAGCGAAGGTTGAAAGATATATTACTAAATGTAGGAATAACAGAGGATCTTACTCTGATGGATATTCGGTGACTTGGTGGCCATAAGATGCGGGAAGCTTCTGTAATGGATGAACCTGAGACTCAGCTTGAGAAACGTACTTATGGACTGTAGAAAAATCAGATAAACTGCAGCGGGCCGCTGACTTCATAAAACCATCAGGCGGATGGTATTATCAGAAGTAATTGATATCAATATTACAATGCGCCCTTCATATGGCAACAGATATTTTCCTTATGACACTAGTAAAATCTATGGCTTTCCCCAAAGCCACCCCAGAAGGAAAATAGCCTGCGAACGACACAAAGCCGTAATATAACGAAGCCCTTAATATGTACGCCTCCTTTTCATGCTAATGTACATGGTCCGTATTTATCTCAGCTTTCTACAACCGCCACGGGTTACCGCTGCGTTATGACACAACGTTCGGGGGCCTGGGATTTCAATACGAAATCCGTGGTCACCGCGCTTCTTCTGATTAGTGGATGAAGAAGGCGGGAATGTTAAAGCGAAGATGAATCGTATTCGCTTCCGGTGTAATAGGTGGTGGACGGAATGGGAATGGAGGTTAATGCTTGCACGGAGCAGTGGGATCGTATGGAGTGCAACTTGTCACGGTGTTGTTCTTCAATGTGCTCATCAGCGACGCGTATAAAATGAGAAAAAGACTGTTACATACCTCGACAATACTGTTGCAGCATAACTCATGTACACTGTCACAAGAATGCTGCACACATTCCTGTCCGAAAATTTTCTGGTCTTCCTAGACGCGCGATCGTCAGTCAATTGGAAACCCAAGAAAAGGGAAGAAACCCGACAGTCCACAACGCCTGGCAGCAGTAATACTGGTTCCCGCTCGGTGTTAAGGACTTGGCTTCTGTCTGAGAGACAAAGAACGGGCGGAAAAAGAGCGCCAATGCCAAAAGAGCGTGTGGTTGGGGAAACATTTCTGATCGTTCGCTGGCAGAAGGAGTAGTTTTATACAGGTAGGAAAGGGAAGAAAAGTGGCAATGGCATAATCTGCGAGGACTGTGTATTTAAACGCGGCGGGAAGACGGTCCCGGAAGCTTGTGGCGTAGTAGTACTGCGTGATCTGTCAAAAAAGGCTCGTTGAGAAGCTCTGCACCCTCGTAAGCAGTCGTAGCCTCGTAGTCCAGATCCTTGTCAGTCAAACGTCAGTTGTTCAGAAGGAGGCGTCAGTACGAGACCGTGTCTTATGCGTCCGATGCACGCTCACAATATGGAGAGCCGAAACAACGACAAAGCAAAGGCCTTGGTTACGCTCAAAATTTTGAACCGAACAATTGGCACCAATGGCTTCGTAAGACGGGTGTCGCTGCCGTCTGAGTCTATTCGAATGCGAGCTTGCAGGTTATGAAGGACATTGTAGAGCAACATACTATGCGAAATCAAATGATGACAACTTCGGTTCAAGATGCAATATCGACAGTTTTGATACACGGTCAGAGCTGTGGCAGACCATTAATAAACGGACGGTTCTTGCACGGGGCATTGATATCAGGGAGCGGGCACCGAGCTGACGGCTGGTAGGTTTGAACCGCTCAATATGCAGAAGACCTGTGGAACGAAGCTCGGCCTTATTGTCTTAAGGCTGCATTGTAGTGGTCTACGGATGAATGGTCACTGCGAGTATGGAGCATTGCTCCGAGGCGAAATGAACTGCAGTACCTTTCAAAAGCAAGCTGAGCCTCTGAGGACAACGCACGAAAGCGAGACCGGCTTTGGGGATCTGCGCCACAATATAATACGAAAGGACGGTACCGTTAAAGCGACTGAAAGGGACCTGCGAGTGACTGTTTTGGACTGTTAATAATACTGTCTCTTGCTGGTGCCTATAGTATTCTGGCGGTGGCGAGCACATAACGAGGATATATAGCGAATCTGAGTAGTCGAAATGATAATGAACCATAATCGTATACATAGACGTAGGCATTTTGGCTATTATAGATGACTACATTCCATTCTGTTTGAGGATCCACAAGTCAGGGTCACCATGATATACTTGGTACCAAAAAAAACACACCAATTTGACTCGAACACGAAGAATATCCAATCTTTGAAAATGGAGTTTTTACGCCAACCGTAGAGGTTATGTTAGTTTTATCTCGAATGCCATCTGATATGAATAATGTCCGTCTAGGACAAATTCATGCATCGACGGTACTATCCTCCTGGGCGAGCTTCTCTTGCCTCCACTTGTCGAATTTCCATCGCGCGAGCTCCATCAATCTTTGTTCTTGCGGAAGGCCTGTTCGAGGGTGTGTTTCATAGAGGTAGTAGGCAAGAACACCAGTGAAGACTCCAAGCAAAGGGTCAAGACCGCTGTTAGAGACGTCAGCGTTGATAGTAGTACACGTTTGCAGGGTGCATCACCGAGAGAGCAGAACAGGCGGCATGCCCGTCGTCTGAACGATATTCCTGGTCAGCCAAGGGAGAGAATGAACTACAAATACATACCTTGGTGAGACAGGATGGTGGTATTTGTCAGGCGTTCATTCGCGATCGGCAGCAAACGGAAACCCGAAAAAAAAAGTCGGCCCGGGACCATCGTTCTCTGGTCGCGACATCTTCGTCACCATCGTTCTTGCTGTTGCTGTCCTATTCCTCTTTCCCGCTCGTTTTATAGCGAATGTCGAGTGCACTTGATCGCCAGGTTCGCCCAATCTACGGTCAGCTGTCACGGTCGAATTTGTCCAGCACTTTTCCAATGTCAATCCTACCACAGATGCTCTCGATACTGGATCGAACAAGTCGGCCATTGTAACGTGCAACAAGATACTGAAAAAACAGCCCAAGAATGAGCTTGTCAAGGTGCATTCCCCTTCGTTTTCTCCTTTCGACGACAGAGAAAGTTAAAATTCGGAAAGGCATTGAAAGCTTTGGCATTAGTTCGATCCCAAAAGGTCGAGGAATCACTGGTCCTTTGCGACGAGGTGCTTGCGGCTAAGCCGACGGACGATGGAGTCTTAACCGCCATGATGCATGTTCTCCGCGGGTTGGGTCGACGTGAGTCCACATAATCATAGCTGGACGAATTGGCTAGACGCGTTCTTTGCTAGACAGAGATACCGTCGTGATGTTCGAAGATGCATTCAAAAAGGAGCCTACCAACGAAGATTTAGGGGCCCAAACATTCTTGTCCAATGTTCGCGCCGGTCATTGGAAGTCTGCTCAGCAGGTGCGACGTCGTTCATAAGTCTGTTGTGTCTCTCAGTGTCTTTCGCGTTAGATTGCAACTAAATTGTACAAAACATTTCAAGAAGATCGATATTTGTACTGGAGTGTAATGAGTGCTGTCCTACAGGTGTGTAGGCAATATACGCCAATTCGATTCAATAAACGCGTACCGACAGGCAAATGATATGTCGACCTCTATTGCTATGCGCCCTGTTCTCTACCAACTGGCTAACAGACTCATCTCTTCCTCGCCGACACCCTCCTTCCACAGTGCTGACCGATTCCACCTCCACCTCTCCATCCTTCGTGAGCTCAAGCTCTATGATGAAGCCATGAAGCTTCTAGACAGCGAGATCGGCATTCATATTTGTCAATCCAGTCTCGTATGCAATGAAATGAGGCGTGATATTTATCGTCTTAAAGGGCTACTTATAGAAGAAGGCAAAAAAGCCGAAATACTAATCACGGAAAAGAAGTACGGGCACTATTCGACTGTTCTCATGCTCGCTAAAACCTTGTTTTAGAGATCGCAACTGGCTAGAATTCCTTTCCGTCATTGATGCAACTTTTTCTACCGTGGATTCTGATAAAGATGCTACTATTGCTGAATGCTCCAGGGTCAAGGATCTTTTTACCGGCATCATGGAAAATGATGGTAAGAGAGACCGCTCTGGGCTCCTCGCTCTTCTCGAACTGGAAAAACGGTGCAGGCAGTACGGTCTTCCAACAGGCAAGTCTGATCTCTTAAGGGTGAACGATCAACAAAAACTTTTACAGACTCCACTCGAATGGTTGACCTGATACAGCAGTATTTTGAGAAAATTGGCGACAAAGCATGCTGTTTCGAGGACCTCTTGCCCTATGTCCATTTAGCCGGTGACGATTTGTCAAGATGGACGTCGTTCCTACAATCCGTTCCTTCCACCGTTGTGCGCCTTTTCCTTTTTTTCGTTGGGAATCAATGCCCTCAAGTTATTGTTAGACGACCACCAACGAACTTCAACGATCAACAAATTCCCACAAATTGTTGCGTCACAATCTTGCCCAATCTGATCTTACGATAGAAGCAGAGCTCTCGCGTGCCACTCTTTATACGAAACAATACTTGGAGGGTCTTCAACTAGGGAAGGATCTACCAACTACAGAACTTCAACCTGCCGATGATCTTGCTATCTTGGCCGGACACGCCTTCATCAGTTTGTGGGTTCTGAGCAACGATGAGAAGTACCTTCTCAATGCGGTTTCCCTCCTTGAGTTTGCTTCATCAAAAAGCAAACAGTCTTTCCGGATACGGCTGATGCTCATCAGGCTATACCGGATCCTTGGCAAGTGTCCTTCATAGCGTCGGTTGAACAGAGATGACATGGTTTATAGGTGCGCCATCACCCGCTCTGGAGCATTACCGTGCTATGCGGATTAAACAGATTCAAAATGATACGCTATCTCACTTTCTTTTCTCTCGATCATCAATGTTCTCTTTGGCTCCCTCCGGAGACCTAACTCTTATGAGCGAGTACGTTGAAGCTTCCCAGATATACATCAACAACTCCCAAGACGTAATTTTTTTCGTGTCGGTCACCAATTTCAAACTGATGTCTTGAACAGACCCCGGAATTCATCGTTCGAGCATTCACATCAGAGAAGTATTCTCAGGTATGCGTTTCATCGTAATTTGTGGTATTTATTTAACAATTATTAACAGATTCCCGAATTCATATCATTTGAGAACCGTCTGGAATGCTCTCTTCAACGGGATATCTCGAAGTTAGAGCACACGCGTATGAGGCTTGCCTTTGAGCCGGTCTCTGTCGATATTATTGACATGGAGCTCATTGAATCAAAGTTCATTTTTGATCGAGGTGAGTATCATATTTGTCGCGTTGCGCTTAATATTCATCTAAGAGGTTAAGAGCACTTTGATAATCGTGACTACAAAGTTATGCCTAATTACCAACCCCGAATCCAACAAACGTTAAACGAACAGACTCTCTTGTTTGGGAAATCAGAAGGGGTACGTTGCCGTGAGGTAGATCTGTACCTACATCTACTCATTTCCATTATCAGTTGGGTTGGCTCTGGTCATTCTTAAAGCTGTATGTCAGGGCGTTCCAGCATGGAAGCGACCTCGATGAAACCGTCGAAGAGAAACTACTGATCGGGGACCGGCCGAAGCATATTCCAAACGCCCACCATTGTCCCCTGAAGGAGCGTTTGCACCAGCGGAGTGAAGAAGAACTATTGGAGGTATGGTCTTTCCCCCTTGGGCTGACTGATGCTGAAATTTTATGTCCTTAGTTGACACCACACGAATTGACCTACATCCGTTACGCCGATGTGCTAGCAGATTGGTTAGAGCCACACCACGATTATGTTCGACCACCACCGGCAGTCGTGTTGGCAGAGGCTGCCAAACAGACAGAGCTTAAGACGGGTCACCCTCTGAAAGGCATTGAGCTTCCAGTATTGGACGGCATCTCTAATGGTCACAAGAAAGACGAAGAAGCTCCCCCTGTGACTGAGGCTCCGGCAGAACTAACAACGTTCTTTGATGGTATAGATGTCTGCTTGATGAAATGATATCCATGGCTAAATGATACTCCTAGATATGAAAGCAAGATTTGAGAAAGTGAAGGAACAGTCCTCTCCGACTGAAGCGCTTGCTGTTGCTTGCCTCATGCAGGAGGTGACAACGGTCTTTTTTTACTGGGCCTTGAGTTGCTAATCATATCTTTATAGGCGTTGATCTTGTTCATGCTTGAAACTCTGCGATTCAAGCAGGCTTCTGTCGTCAAGATACACAAATTAGGAAATGTACGGCGTCCCTTGATTGAGAGGCACTTGTGTCCTGATTTATTTTAGCTGGTGGCGTCCTTTAAAGCTATCCGAACTCATGCGCTTGCTGCTGTCCGAGATGTGTCAGCGCAGCTCGTCAAGATGAGCGAGAACGAAGGCACTGTCGAGCAGCGAAAAATCATTGTGGACTCGTGTGCCGAAGTCACCATGTCAGAGGTAGGCCCGTCAGTCTTTTTCCCTTAGAAGCTTGTTGACTGGCTTTGCCAGCTTGATCATGATTTTGTGCTCAACGTGGCCAAAAAATTATCTGACGCACGCAAAAAGGTGTTGGAAGGGTATGGGAAGGGGATGTTACGCGTTTGCACCTTGTATGCGAACTGAAGTAGTTTGAATTTCATATTTTCGATTCCTGCGAGTAAATAGCGGTCAAAGCGGCGAATTTGTGGATAGGGCAGGAATTTGTTTGTCTACAAACAACGCGTGACAGGACGTGAATGAAACGCGGTTTTTTTGTCACGCTTCATCATACTCATCTCTACACCTACACTCACAACACAAAAATGAGCCGTGCGAATGACCCTGCTACCTTTTCTTCCTTTTCTGAACCTTATATACAGAAGGAGGATACTACGGTGGAGGCGGCGGTTACGTGCAAGGTGGCTCACCATACAGCGCCGGAGGTAGCCCAGGAGGTGGTAATCGAGTCCGTTCCTTCTCTTCGGTCCTGCGGATAGGTTTCTGACCTTTTGACTTCTCATTTCAGAGAACGGACGCGTCTCAGTCGATTAGGCCGTTTACTATCGCCCAACTCGGAAAAGCCACTCAAGCGCATACTGATGCAGAGTGGATGCTGGACGAGATGGTTATTGGACACGTAAGAGTGTAGTGTATTCCTTTTTTGTCTTGTTATCTCATCGTCAGCACAGGTAACAACAGTAGGCCAAGTAATTCGCATCCAAAAGCAGGCGACCAACAGCGTTTACAACCTTCACGATGGCACGGGACACATTGAGGTGCGGCACTGGAATGAGACGACGAATGAAGAAGATGACGCCAAATGGGGTGGTATACAGTGCGTATGCGTCAATTTTCCCCTTGAAGTTGTCTGAGCAATTTTCATTAGGGAAAATCAGAACGTCCGTGTTGTTGGTTCCTTGAAGACATTTGGCAGCAAGCGCTACCTGAATGCGACGCAAATTCGAGTATCTGAAGACCCTCATGAGACATTCTTCCATATCTTAGAATGCGTTACCTGTACTTTGATTGCCGACAGGGGACCAGTACGCTGTTCTTGCCTGGTATCCACGCTGCTGTCTTGACGTCCCTTGTAGCCCGTCATCGGCCAGCAGCAAGTCAAGTCGGACGGACCATCTGTTGCTGGTTCAAGTACGTTGGCGTATCAGTCTCATTCGGCGCAACCGGTATCGAATGACGAATATGCACATTTACCGAAACTGCAGCGAGACATTGTGCACTTCATGCTTAAGCAGGAGAGCAACGAAGAAGGGGTCCACGTTGCATCTATCGCTCGGTCTATCGGTGGTGGCGATGCGCAAATGATCAGGTTGGTGATCTCTTTTGTGCTGCTTGGACCGAGACTGATGCTTCGTAATAGTGACGCCCTTGACCGCTTAATGGACGACGGAGTCGTATTCAGCACCATTGATGACTCTCATTTTAGTGTGTCTCGCTAAGATGCCTTGATCTTGTAGTCGTACAAGCCAACGTAAACGGCCAACCCATATTTGTATTCTATCACTTGCTTTATTTATCCTTCTTTTTACCACCATCATCTTGGGGTGACGCATGGGTATCAGGCTCAACGATGGATAAAGTTGCCATGAATGAAGGCGGGCATAATAATAAGGTATAGAGCAATGCAACAAAGTGTTCTTTTTATTGACCCGCGATGCCGTAGGGACCTCGGTATGATGTCAAAGACTCGATACGTTGCATCACCATTGCTCAAGCAGGGAAATCTGAGAGGATGCACGATGCTGCACCTTTCAAAATAGATGGGAAAGAAATTGGACAGGTCAGGATGATTCACGCTCCCCCAATTGAATAGCTGAGCCAATATCGCGCACGAGGTCGCGATAGTTGGGAACCTTCTCTCCTACTCCTTGGAAGCAAACTATACAGCATACGAGATAGACGACGGGACTGGAAAGATTACTGCCTGTCTGTGGAAATCCGATGCTAGCGACGTCTTTGTTTCAGATATCGAGTACGTTACAGTGTCGTCTCTCAATCTCCGACAACAGCGACCAACGAGGGCCTTTCTAGCCAGGAGACGATCAATAATTTGCAGCTCATTCGCGTCATTGGCAGGCTTGGCCGATGGCAGACTAAGACTACACTGTCTAAGATACTATCGATACATAAAATATCTGATCCTCATGCAGTATACTGCCATTTGTTGCAATGTGCAACGGAGAGCTTGATATACGAACGAGGCATGCCGGTGGGTGATTGTCTACATTTACACATTTGAGTATTGAAACCAGAGATTTAGCCTTCCCAGGAAACAAGCGTTCCTCCCGCACTCCGAGCGTCTGCGCAGCCGGACGACGGTATCCATGTCGTGACGATGAGCTTTGCGGAGACGTCTTTGAGCCCTTCACCCAAGCGAAAGCCGCGAAAAAAGCTCCCGTCTAAGCAGCCGACCCCATCTCCTCCAGACTCTCCCATTGAGATCCACATGATTGAGCATGAAATTGACGAGGACATAGTGATGTTAGAATACCCCAATAGATCCAGCCCAACGACACCCCAGAAAACACCGTCGACCCGAAATCAGGCGACACCGTCGCTTTTGTTCTCACAGGATGCGACAACTCCGACGTCTTCATCAAAAAGGCGCCTCAGAGATCATATTCACGATTCGCCCTCGAAAACGCGCCCTCAGAATCGTGATCCGTATTCAGATCTTAACGCCATTCAGAGAGACATCATTCTCTTTATCAACGAAAAGGCAGGCAACGTTAGCCTGTATCCTGCAATGGACGGCAATCCCCACGCGTTGGCCTTTGAGGAAGGCATTTCCCGTAACACAATTATCAACACGCTGAGCCATCGCCGCGTGCCCGCCGATGCGATACGGTAGGTTAAATTCCGTGTTTTTCAAAACCCAATGCTAACAGATTTTCACTACCAGGTCCGCCATTGAATTTTTAATAGCCCGCGGTTACATCTATTCCACGGGTGACGAAGAACATTTTGCAGTCACTTGATCATAAGGAACGTTCTCTTATGACATGTCGTGCAACATCTTGGAACCTATTTCTTTTCATGTATCACGTTGGAGCAGTTTGTTGTAATATTCTTTTTGTTCGATCTTGCTTGAATCATTTTCGACTTCCGGGACGCGTCATCAGTGTGAATACTCAAGTTTCTGTCCGGTCTGTCGACTACTCAACGAGATGCAGTAAATCTCCGGTAGAAAAAGTTACAAAATTTAAAACAAAAGATTACAGTGAATGAAAACCAAGAGATGACGCAGTAAAAAGGTCTATATACATTTTTCTACGAAATTTCAAGCTAGCAAAAGACGAGTAGTGATGGCGTATCTTACTGTGACCATGCTCTACGTGCCACATGTAGTCAGGCGTTTTTGGTAGAATGATGAAAAATGAAAGAACGTGAAGATACTGTAGAGTTCCTAGGCGGGGAATCGCTGATTCAAGAGATGGGAACTAGTTTTATTGAGCGATCACTCACTTGTCGAGGTCACAATCGGCGACAGAAAACACGGTCAGCTAGATGCCCCACAACTGCAACGACCTGGACACGACTAAGACGACAGTCAAACGACCTGGAAGAGACGTACAACCGCAACAGCCATGACTTTGAACCACAGAGTAGGATACCCGCCTCGTGCCGGCGCTTGGTTTGCTGGAGCAATCTAAGATAATCGGGAAAAGTCAGAAATAACAAGAGTCCGGGAAAAGTTCAGCGTGCCCTGAAGTCCGGAGGGGCTGCAACCGTCATAAACCCAGGGTTGACGGCATTAGCCACCTGTCAGCATCTTGAGTGACGATGCGGGGAAAAGAACGCGTGGGGAAAATACATACCGCAGACCTGCGAAAACTGCGAGTTGAAGGCAGCTGGGGACGAAGGTAAGGATGGGCAGAGCGACGGTCTCGTCGTTGAGTGAGGACCTTGGGCATGGTGGTGGTTGAAGATGGAAATTTTTCGTACCTTGAGCCGTATAAATACGTGGGGAACAGAATGTATGTATACGACTTCCCAACTTAGAACACCAACAGCAACCATGTACAATCACGCCGGGACCAACCGTAACAATCGTTATTTACCTTCCAGCTGCAATGATAGCAAGCTATTCTGCAGAGGCAAAGGCGAAAGCCCACCTTGGTACTTGTCCGCTTCCACAGCTCCCAGGAGGTTCACCGATTGTTCGTCTTGAGCGTTGTGGCAGGTTTTCGAGCCATGTACACCAAGCAGGGAGCCAAGGACAAAGAGGGCATTCCTTATTCACCCTTTAGCGTCGACGTGAAGGGCTGTAGGACCCTCATTGCGATTCGAATCGCAGGCGCCATTGTCGGATACATTCGGAACCAACAGTGTATCGCGTGCTTTGTCTGAGAAATGAATTAGGACACCAAGGATAGTTCCTCTGGGTGCTGCGAGGTATCGTAGCACTCCACGCCTGTGCTGTTGGGTTGCTGTTTGCGCGTCATTCGTTGTCTCCTCAATGCATGCACTATTCTTCCTCTCTCTGTAACATTTCCGTCTGCCTCCATCTTGCCGCGCATCCATCCGTCGTTCTGCTATCGTATTTTCTTCAGAGCGAAGTTGTATGGCAGGGTTCACTGACTCGGACATAGGACACGGAATTTGTGCTTTCGAAGTCACATGATCGACAAGGGTCCGTTTTTCGATTTCTCGATTTCAACACAAATCTGACCTGCGCCCCCAAGCATCTCGATAGACATCTCATTACCCTTAAAACTGGAGATCAACGAATAGCAAATGAGCGTTTGAACGCGAACCTCATACCGACTGAGCTAATATGATATCTTGCAAACCAAACATTTAGCTGGACGGGTATATTTTGTACGAAGCTTCACACAGCATCGGAACAACTTCAAAATTGGCCGGAGCGCAAGGTACACTGATAAAAGCATTGGTGACTAACAGCAACTGTCGCTAACAGTGTATTCGAACACAGCACTTTCAGCATAGCGGATAGTGACGGGTCTAATCGGGACTCCAGTCAGTTCAGCGCTTGACGAAACGGAAGCTGCGCATTGAAATCCGGCCTTTGTCAGACTAGAAATTCTGTACCGTTTTAAGCAATTTCGACGTCCAGATTGTTCAGCTGCAAGTATCTGCCAGAATGACCAATAGGGAGGCTCGGTGAGAAGGCAACGTATTCTAAATGTAATGTAAGCTGAGAAGCGACAGAGGGGCAATATTCTCACCATTTAAATATCTTAGTGGCAACCAGAAATGGCCAATTGTCCTCTTTGAAGGACCATCCCGAAATCGTTCGAGCTTGACAAGCTGCCGGAGAGACGAGCTCGACATTACGTCGTTCTGAGTCGTCAACATTCGCAACCGTGACGACGTCAGTCAAGGCATCGACGACGACAGAAAATAAAGCTCCGCATCCACATCTAGACTCCGGTCCATTCAGACAGAAATCTCTATTTACCTCATTCGGTTATGGTCTCTCGTCGTTTATATATCGGAGCCAGTAGGTGTGCACTTCAAGTTAGCAGCTCCAATCTACACTGCATGGAGAATTCAATAGCTTAAAATATTGAATTCTATAATTATTTATTTTTTCAATATATTAGTCTCTAATATTAAAATATTATTTCAATAATGTTTAAAATAATCTTTGAATATTTTAGGCTGAAAGCTGGAAAAATAAAGATATAGAATTCAATATTCTAAGGCATAATATTAAAATTTCCATGCAGTGGTTGGAAGTCATTCAGACTGTTGGATGGATATAAGCATCTAGATATGAAGAATTATCTGAACAAAGTCTTTCTCTCACAGATGAAGGATTATGAAAGACAGATGAGAAAGTTTGTATCAGATCCCACTGTACTTGGTGAATTTCAGATGATCCCTTCTGACCTGCAGCCTAGAGAACTTGAACTTTCAGGATGAATCCTGTATGCATACTTATGATACAGTTTTCCATGCTTGGTATATGCTATCTTGACTCTATAATGCCTGTTTAATGGATATTGACTCATTAACAAGGTTCAGTTCAGATCAAGCCCTTATGCCAAAAAAGATTTATAGTCATCTCATTCATATTTCAGAATTTTGTGCTATTTTTAGTGCTGATCATCACAAGTGCCACACTTATCAGACTCACTATTAGGATTGGTAACTATTATGCTGTGCATTACTCAGCTAATTTTCTTTTCTTTACTTGAAAATTCTAGTTGTTAGACCTCTATTAAACACTCACAAATGTCTAGCACTGCTTTCACCAGAGTCTAATTCTAGGTTCTGAGTCTGAGTCTGATTTCAGTATAAAAGTATAATGAGGATAATGAGGTAGATAATAAGAATTTCACAAAGGAGGATGAAGGGTAGTAGCTGGTAGATATAGTCTGCCATTGTGGCAAGAGTATTCACATCAGGTAGTCAGAGAGTTTAGCAGGTGTATTAAACCTTAGCTCAAGACTAGAGTATATCAGTGTGTACTACTGCCTTATATACTGTCTAAAGAACTTTATACCCTATAGGCAACTACTGTCTGCTTTTCATGCTCTCTGCTCATTGTCTAGGATAACAATGACTGTGCTCTTGCTTTTGTTCATTATTGTTGCTCTGCTATATTATTGCTATGATGAGTTTTCCATATGCCACAGTTTCTATTGTGTTTAAGATGTGAGACAGTGATAGTTACCACATTGTTCCTTGTCATCTTATTGTGCATTGATGAATAAGGTGTAGCCATAGTATTATCATATCTTTATCATCTTTTGTAAGATTAGTAAGCATCTGCTTACTAAGCATTAACAGATTATGATTTAGAGGCAAAAATCATAACATTACCTCCTTCTCAAGGCAATCATCTTTGATTGCTCAGAGCAGCCCAGGAAAAAGAGATTGTGCTTTATTCTTACCATCAATTTCAGTGAAAACATTATTGATGTGGTTGAGAAAATGGGATTGGTCAACAAAGGTTCCAGCAGCTAGGTTATCTTTCTCTTACCATATAAATAGCTTTTTGCATTCAAAGAGGTGTCAATCTTTTCTGAAGGGCAATCATTGCATATGGATATAGTCTGACTTATCAAACATTAGTCAACCCAATAGAGCAAAGTTGACAGCTGCCAGAGAATTTTGGTGTGTCTGATATTTGGCAATAAGGGTCTTTGCATGCAGAAGGTCTTTTTCTGCATACCATCAGTTTTCCTCATTGCTATATCTCTTGAAATAGACTAAAAACCACTGTTTTCTGTACCAAATCTTATTGTCAAGAATGGCATTGATTTTATATTCATCTTTAACCACCACAGATTTAGGTGGTGGTGGTTTCTGCTGATTAGGAAATTCAGCCTGTTGGAATGGTTTGAGCAAGGCTTTATTGAAGACTGAATGGATTTTTTAAGTCTTCAGAATAAATAATTCATATGCCCTATTGCCTACTTTCTTTGCAATCTTAAAGGGCTCTCCATATTTATCATTCAACTTTTTCATGGTCCTGTCTGTCTTCAGGTTTTTCATGTCTAGCATAATCTGATCTTCTGATTGATACTCTTTTCTTGTCATATTGTTTCTTTATTGAGTCTGCTGCTTTTAAAAGCACTTGTTCTGTCTCATCATAGATCTTCTTTATTTTAACAGTGAAATCTTTTGCTTGGAGTACTTGACTGTCCCTTTATGAGGGATTTATTCCAGTGTTAGAGTGTACACCAGTGTTTATAAAGAATGGGCTAAATCTTGTGGCAGAGTTTTCTCAGTTGTTGTGAGTGAATCCTGCTAAGAGAAGCCATTCTGCCCAGTCATTCTGCCAGTGATTGATAAATATTTGTAAATATTTTTCAATCTCTTGATTGACCCTCTGTTATGATTTTTTCTTGTCCTTTCTTAATTAACCCCTATTTATGCTTAGTTAGAGCACTTAGTCCAGTGTTTAAGACTGTAGGATAGGCTTACTTATCACAATAAGACTGAGTCCATCATTGTCTTCTAATGCAATGACACCCCTTGATGATGGACAACAATCTTTTTGTAGATAGTAACAATGCTCAAAGATAAAGGGCATAATAGCTTGAACAGACACAATTAGTAGTAGTATATTTATCTCAATGAATGAATAGTATATAAGTAGCATAGCTCTTGCTGTAGATACCCAGCTTTGAGCTAAAGTTTATTCATCTACTATTCTATCTTAAGCCTACTTGCAATAGTCTTAAGACACAAAGCCATATAAATATATACAAGTGAACTTAGACATAACTGTATGAATATGATACAGCATTTATTTACTATATGTTCAGATCACATGTCACTTGAGCTTAACAATTAGCTCAAAGCTTATGCTTTTCTTTCCTTATGCATAATAAGCATGAAGAAAACTGAATGCCACCATCAAACATATCATCTCCTGATCTCACAGATGATTTCTTTAAGCTATTAGCTTCCATTATAGGAATGCTTCTAGGCTTGTTTACTATTATTCAACTTTGCTGAGGATGACAATCAGTAACCACTTAGATAGTTAGGCACTATCAAGCTTTTCAGCAAGTATAACAAGTCCTATAAAATATCACATCAGATCTCTCTTTCTACAACATCTCTGTCTCTGTCAGAGTCTTCTTTCAGCCTCTGTTTGGATTCATACCTGAAACTGGATCTAGTGACTTGCATTCATAGAGTGCTGAGAAAAAAGAAAGACACTAATACCCCCCTCAACTTTGACTAATGAACAATAGAAACACTCAGCTCATAGGGTTCAGGAATCTATGAGTCTCACCACACCTCTCTTTAGTCCTGGACCATAAGGATGAAGATCTCCCCAACAACTTCTTTGATGATGAGCTATCCTCTGACTCTTCTATCACTCCACCTGAGCACAGAGTTGGAGACTGTGCCAGAGACTCTTAATGCCACTCAGATGGCTTCAGGCTTCTAGCACTCATTCTCTGACTCCAGACACAACTCACTATAT